GTTAAAAGAGCATCAACAAACATACGTAGGTGCAATGCCAGTGATACACACACCCACACACTTCAAAATCTCCAGAGCCGGAGCCGCTAGCTTTGTCAATGGGACGAGTTTTTGGCTTTAAAAGGATTTCCATTCAGCCTTTTTAGCAAGACCTCCAATACGGGAACATCAAGTCGTTCACATTAAGGGGGACAGACTTAGTATTGTTTAGTATTTTTTATGTCTTTAATAATTGGTATTGACTTTGTTTCACACGTTTGCTCTTTAGTTATTTTTAAAGAAACGATGAGGAATGTAACACTGATTTCATTAAAATTTGTCGTCAAGAAAGATTCAAAGTTGTCAATAAGCTTACGACATTAATTAGTCCGTATATTTCCAGAGCAGTTTTAGAATTTAAAGACAATTTAAATGAATTAATTAATATAAATACTGTGGCACAGAAACAACTGGCTTCCCTGCTCACTTGAGCGCTCGTGGCAGTAAGGACTACATCGAAACTGGGGTTGCAAACCACAGCGCCATCGTTGACATGGAAATTCAAAACGTTGAAATATCTGAATATCCTCAAATCTGCGGATAGCATTCTTTGTCTCCTGAAAGGATGCACAATTTCAGCACAGTGGAGTCTTTGCATTAAACTCCTGTGCACCCAAACACACCAGATCGCTAAACTGCCAAAATAGCCCTGGTGAAGGCCAATTATAATTAACATGGGACTCATCTAAAGGATATTCACTTTTACGGTTGCACTTTTACCGTTCGTCCCACATCTCCTAAAGACTCAAAAATTGCCTAAGATGGCTGAGCTTATTTACGATTGACCATCTGACCCAGACTCATGACCTCAACCATCCACAAACTGTTACTAGTAGGTTGTTGAACTTCCGATATCTTTATGCCTGAAGATTTGGGTGAACAATGTAACCTATCCACATCGTCTCCTCCCTATTCTCTGGATCTAGCTATTGTGATTGAATCTACAAAAAGTGCTGTTTTGGTATATAAAAAAAGAGGTTAGTCACAGCGATCAAATCCCCACACTAATTTTGACTGACATGTAGGCGGAGATATTATGCTTCCTAAAGCATGGGTGCTACTTTAAGACACTAAAAATAGTGGTATAATATGCAAAGGTTGCATGAAACGGGCGTTAGTGCATGCTCGCTGACACCAAGGAACCAAGGTATGGGTTCATTCAAGGAGCCATTTACTTCATACCATTATTAGTCCAGGTATTTTATAATTGTGAAAGTATTTTTAGGTACTACTTCTGATTTTTCAGTCAATAATGACTATGAGCTGTTAAGTAGCACCCACAAATTAAATAAGTAGCCGTGCAATGTTAAAACTTCGAAAAAAACACCTAACATCAATAAGCGGACGAATGCTCGCACACAAAGTATCAAATACTTAAGCCTATCCACAAGTGTGCAATAGTGGAATGCATTGCTGAAGCTTTAACGCAGTGAGAAACGTCAAGCGGAGAAATTCCAAAAGATTGATACAATGAGTCTGCAAATAATAGTTAAAATCCGTAGATTATGGAGACGAAAGGGTTACATTTGTGTAAGAGGTATTTCAAACGGAATCGAAGGTTTGTTTCCACACGCAGACCTCAGAATCTGTAGTCAACCAAGCGTGTTTAGCGTCACTTGCTCCTTCCATTGTCTACCAATAAGCGGGATGCTTGCTAGTGTAAACCCAGGGGTGGAAAATTCCTTTCACGTTGCCTGGATTCCGAATGTCCAAGTGCAGGACGCAGATAACGCTTAAACATTTTCAAAAGAGATTGGACGTAGAACAATTTTCAAAGCTAAAAGCTGGCCCTATAGTTTACAGCTGGCTATTGGAATGGTCCAAACACAATAGAGCTACCAAACTGGGGGAAAACTTCCGATTGTTTTTCAAGAATTAAATCAGAAGCAACTTAACAGAATTTCTTTATTCATTATGTTGTGGGCAATTTACACAGATCGACTATCAAAAGACAAAAAGCCAAGAGGAATCGCAGACCGAGTCAAGACTATTCCTATACAAATTTTCACTAAAATTATAAAGGATCGAAAATTAACCGATGTTTTGTCTATGATTCAATCAGGCAAGCAGTGAATAAATTTGAAACATTTACATGTCATGTAACGTAATATTTAACCCAATACTATTTAAAACCTTGTTTGAATGGCAATTATTTCAAAGGTCGCGGTTTAAGTGAAGTTGGTGACCTTAAATTTGTGTTAATGAAACCTACTTTGCATTAGTCAAGGCAGAAATAGCGCATACACTGAAAATGGAACATTAAGAAACGCCAACTGCAATATTCAAGTCGATAAAGCACAGAAATCTGCCAATTCGCGTGGGAAGCAATTGGGGTTTGCGTTAGTCGGTCAACTCGACTGAGTTGAGTAAAACCAATTCGTAATTTATGAGCCGGTAACGAAAACGCATCTCCCTCCCCATGTGAAGAAATTCAGACTGGCCCAGGTAAGAGCAATTAGAATGATTGAAAAAGGCTTTGCGGCAGCCATGTTAGCGACTTCTTCACCGGGAATTCTTTGGTAAATCGTGTCTGAGAGCGAAGCACAAAGTCCTATTCTATCGCCAACATCTGCACACAGTTTAGGAAAGTGTAGGCGGATGAGTCGAAACAAAGCCACAGTCTATAAAATATATTCACTCCAGACGAAATGGTAAGGTTTAGCGAAATTAGAATGACTAGAACAAATATTTTCTCATAAATAGAGCTGAACCGTATTCATAGCATCCTGTAACCACTTTAGCATATGACGCTTTGGAACTCGCGTTTTATTAACCAACTAATGGCATTTAATTTTGTTTGCGAACAGGAACCGTTTAGAGCGATTTCAGTTAGATCTTCTAACATAAATTTAGACGAAAAGAGAAAATGGCAAGCAGCCATTACGCAGTTCTGCCAGATGATAGAATCATAAATTATGTCGACCTAAGGAGCGATGTTCATTTGAAAATCGAGCCGACAAAGTATTGCTTCTTTGCATCCATTGTTTGGGCACTAAATGCCGAACCTAGAGAAACACTACCTGCAATAAAATCCCCACACCTCAATATATACCCTCCGTAGTCCGTCAAAAATCTCATTGTTTAACGGTAGATGCTGTAAACTGGTTTGCCAAGCACAAAAGCATAGCTGCCTTCCCCTTTTCCTTCATAGATTAATCTTCGTCGTTGAAACGAACGATTTTAGGGAGCCATTAAGGTTCGGCTCTGATGTAACAATAAAATCAGTGTAGAAAAGCCGTTGTAAAGGCCCTAAGTTTTGTTTGAGTAAATTTGTTGACTGTAAAAATAGAAACTACCAGAATCAAGATGCGACATTAGTGATTGCAACCAGGTGAAGGGCCATGAATAAATATTGAAACAGCCATTAAATATTCAGTATTTTTAAAGATACTTGGATTGTTCCAAATTTAGTCGTTAAATAGGTTTACCCTTGTTTGGAAAAACTAATAGAAGTGATGGTGCTGATGGAAAACTGAACTTTTTGAGACGTTCTAATCTTTGAAGTGCCTTCGAAGATCTGCATTATGAGCCTTCGTGAAGAAAATAGGAAGAAATGGCTTAGCTTGGTGATTCCAGTCACTGAAGTAGTGTAAAAACCTCCACCGATCCGTCTATTACGGGGTGCAAAACGGCGATCTGCTATGATCGAATCACAGCATGTCAAAATTTTGCTTGATTTAAGGAAAACGAAATTTGGTGTGAAGCCACTCGTGGTTCTGTTAGTAAATACACTTGATTCTTAGAAATACGTTCTATAACCGCCTGGTTTAAATGAAAAATACCTTTAATAATTAGTAGATGAATCGGCCAGTTCTTTTTCGTGGTGAATTGGTAAATTTGGCATTTGGTGCCAAATTGATGTACTTAACCACGAATTGAGTAAACAGTAGCAGCATTAAAGTCTATATAAACGGTACTAAGCAAAATGTTACAGACAATTGAAGCTAATTCATGGGAAATACCACGATAAAATTAACTGTGCATTTTGTGTTGTCACGATTGTAAATTTCCGTGTGCGAAAATCGTCATTCACGTCAATGAAAAATATAATGCTCCAGTCACAACGTCGATGCGCACGCGGGGACACAGCGGCGTTTAAAGAGCACAGGATTTGGCGGTGGTTAATAGCCCTGGGGACGTTAACACTTTGGGGGGTGGCAACCACCAGACGCCCGACTAGATGCCCTAGCAGTTCCAGAAACCAGCGCGAGCCCATGAGTTTTGAGGCTTGAGATGACAAGCGCCATTTAAGGGGCTTAGTTTAGGTGTAATAACACTCATTACGTGCTAATTGCACCGGATGCTTAAATACTTATGCACAAAAACTCCATGCCCCATCAAACTTTGGTTGCATTGTGCACGACATTTCAATGTACGGTTTAACTATTTTTACAATCATTCGACTTGTTGAACAAAAACTAGAGTTATACCTCCGTGTGACAAAATCAATCATTTAACGAGTCGCCAATTAACCTGGTAATTTCAGTTTAATAATGACTAACTGCATTTACCTCCTCGATTTTACACTACAAAGTATACAGTCATAGCTGCCATTAATTGGAAGCATTCCAGGTACCCCTAAACGACGGCCATAATTAACACAACAACGCACCACTAGTTGTGAGGGGCTCAACTTTGGAAGACGATGCTATAAAACCTATGAGATTTATAGACCATCTAAATTAATCGCAGGCCACAGCGAAGTCCAAATGGCACTCGAAGCAAGAGAATACGCCGAGCGTTTAGTCGGGAATTCATTCATTAAGTTAATTGTTATTATGGAATAAAGCAGCTAGGAAATTTGACAGCTTCATGGTTAGAAATATTAGTCTTTACAGAATCAGCGTAGAATTTACAAAATAAGCAACGTAAGCAGGAGAGAGGAATATCTCAGCTGATAAATATGGGCAAGAAGGAATGTGGCAGAGGAGCAGATAAAAAGCTATTCACAAAAGCGTACACTATCGAATGTGCACTTCCTTCAACATTGCGGCGTAGACAGCAGCTGTTGGCTCGAAACGCTGCTGATCGCCACCGATAACTGGTGGGAGGGATTGTCTATGGGGATGCTGCTGGTGATAGGCCACGGCGGTGGGGTTTTGGATATGCTGGATTTGCGAGGACGAGGGAGGTGCTACGAGCATGGAGGTGGTCAAGAGAGACCTGTCCCGCCGACTTAGATGGTGTTGATTATGATGATGTGGGTGGTGACGGAGAACAACTTCACTCCCAGCTCCGACGGACGTCTGCCTAATGTAATGTTGTGGGTATTGACGAGGGACGGCGGATAAAGAAGTCGACTGCCTAGATGCTGGGGCCTGAGGAGGTAAAAGGTGCTCCAATGGTTGATGCGAGTTTGCACAAGCACAGACTGCTTGATCTTGCAGATGTTTCTGCTGGCGAGACCATCGCAAGTCTGCAGCACATTCGCCTAAAAGCAAGTTGTGCATTTTAAGAACATGAAATCTACATGTTTTAACACTTGATGGAGGTACCTAAATTACTATTAAAAGTTTGATGGCTTTAAAGAATCGACGACGCCACTGAGTGGCTCAAAGAGCACATAAATTGTGTGCTTAAATCGACATCCACTTCTGATGGCTGCCACGAAAGCCCTATATACTGATTCGGAAGTGCTTTATGGGCGTGTACATACGCGTGTTTTGCGGAAATGAGAGAGACAATCACAAAGACAAAGCCAATACAACACTGTGCGTACCCCAGAAGTGAGTTGGTGAAGGCTCAATAAAAGTATCTTAAGGGATGCAATTTTTGCAACTTCACAGACTCCTGTCTCTCCATATAGGATTTACGAATTCAACCTAAAAATTAGTCTTAATTTTAAAACATCAGAAGTTAGATTATAGTAAACGGATTTATGGTAATGCTTAATCGTTGAGCGTGGCATTGAACAGGTTCGCCTGTGAATTCTGATTGGCATAAAGCACAGCCTCATAAGTTACTGAAATGATGGGTAGACTAAAATACGCCGTATATTTCTAAAGACAATGTTAGAGGTACATAAAACTCTTATATGTTAGTCAATAAGAGTAAAAACAGGTTAAAAAATCATGGGGACTGGAAGGGTAGGCGGTTTTCGAGGAGACAAGAAATGAATCACAAGACTTGATGGAGGTGTAATGTTAAAGGGAATGGTACGATATCAAACGACAAACAGGGTATATAAAACAACATAAACCGTATTAAGTTAAATCTTCCTGCATCTGTTAGCACACATTACGATAAATTCGTGAACATTGGGTGACGCATTATAAATCGTGTGAGGCGACCAAAGGAGCTAAGAAATTACTGGTGGCCAGATGATACAGCCTTAGTAGCGCCAGCACACTCCGTATCATCCTTTTAAATTGCACCCAAATGGCGAATATGGATGAAAAAATTGAGCTAAAAGTATTTACTTAAAAAGTAAACACGAGTTGGCATAAGTATACCATGTGTTGCAGATTTCGGGCAAAATAAGAAATAATTTTAATATTATGATCTCAAAATCGAAAAAAATTCCAAAACTTCATTTCTTGCCAAATGTCTGAAATAAAAGTAAACATAAGAAATACTGGTCTTATTTTTAAGGATAATACACGGGCGTAAAAAAACATTTGACCTACGATGACCTGCTTTAAAAACAAAGCTCCAAATTCACCACAAATTGAGTGGAATGTTCAATGACCTTGAGAATTATCCGACCAGGGGATCCCATCGGAATGAAAAAAAATGGTTCATATGGTAGCAAGGAAAAACAATTGACCGGAACTCATCCTTACCACCAAACAACACCTTTTACGGAAAATTAGGTTGATTTTTAAGCTTTATGCTTCCACGAAACGACACAAGGAGTAATTGGTTTTGCTACTCTTCTCGCAAAATGAAAAATACGGAGGCTAAAAAAGATACACGCAGTGTGGAAAAGACGCAACGGGAGATGTGTGCAAAAACGGCACAGGGAATTTCGCTCGAGCAATCCGCAGTGCCAAAGTGGTGAGCATTACGAGAGGGCACGAGTAAAGCCCAAGCTAAAAAACGCCCGTCACACGAAACGAGAGGTTGCAGATATTTTAGCGTAATACAAACCAGTGGGCTACTTGTTTCAGCATGGTGGCCAATTACAGTGTAAGTAAGCAATTGTGGAGTACTTAAATTCTTGAATTTTTCGAGATTGTGAAAAGAAACAGAATCTAAATGATAAACATGTTGATAATGCAAGCATCGCCCAAAACTGTACTAATTTCGATTTTGTGATGGTACTGATTTTGTCTCTCCTCATGAAACTACTAGAAAAGTCGGACTACTGTTCAAAAAACGTAGGTCGAAGCACCTAGGTAAAAGCCAGAACGATATCAACCAGCAGAGTCCACAAAATCGCTCGTTGGATGATAGATTTTAGATTCTTAGGCAGATATTTAGGAAGCGATTCCTCTTGTTCGGCAAACGACAGCAGTGTCCTCGGCTGAGGATTATCTAGGACGACGGCTTCCCAATACACGTCGAGGTCTATAATCATAAATGTTAACTAACTACAGTACAACTAATTCAAATTCATGAATCGCATTCGTATTCATCTATTTAGTCTCCTTGAGAGAAAACCCATCGCTGACTCTTCTTTGTGAAATGACAAACGAGTTTCAACACTTGGAAAATCTACAGAATGACGCCACACGAGTCTAGTCTGTGAACCACTATCGAGTTAAAAGTTATATGGTGCACAAGACGGCCAGGCCTTCTGGAACCTCCAATTATTGTCGGGCCATTCACAAGGTAATGAAAGGCTAAATGGTCTGAATCAAATAAAAAGGTCTAAAAAATAACCACGCTTGTCCATATCGGCTTGACAAAGGTCTGGTGCCTTCTAAGGTTTTGCGCCTAAAAGGAACAGCGGTGCCGTCGGAGGAAGACATTGTGGCACCTAGAAGGGTACCACCGGATATGCCCGTCGAAAAGCCTTTAACAACAACCTCAAATGGCCAGTCCGCCGACGAACTGAATGGATATCATTCTGAATTGAGCCGAATAAGAAACGTCTTTGATTCTGTAACGAGGACGATTGCTAGGGATGACCGTATTCCCTAAAATACCACTTTTTTGAGTAATTTTCAAGTTATTTACGCGAAAATTTTACCGGTTTTGGTTGGTATAGTAGTTGGAGAATGCTCTGATTCGCCATAACTGAACAGCTCGAACATTCGACGTTCCAACTTCAACTTATTTTCAATAGAGAACTGTAAGTTTATTTGGCTAGTGGCTTAAAAACAGCAGGTCTTTTCTGAAGCCGGTGCTAGGTGGAAGGCCTGGGATCATCAGGGGCCGCATTCGTTTTCAGGATATGTGTGGGCCATGGTTAACCTTCAAGTATAGCAGTGCAACAGAATTAACTGAACAAAGTCATGGGGAAAACGACAAATTTCAAAAATTAGATCAGAACGAAAATTTTACTTCAAGTCCAGCTGAGCACCTGATGGAATTGGAAAGTTGTTTAGCAATTCCAAGGTGAACAAGTGACTATTGCATCATCAGAGGGAAACTGATAGGAATTTTAAAATATGACAACGTCCATAAACACGTGGCCTGGCAAATCCAGATTTTTGTACATTTAGGTCAGCCTAGAATTGCTTCGACGACGCAGAGATCAAACTAAGCAGCGTAATGGTCCGAAAAAATGGTAGGACGTCTATTAAGCTTGTCTCAGATGTGACTAGCTTGACACAAAGCTGCACAAACATTCATCAAAGAGAGACATTAATACCAACCACCTTTAACAAATTTGACATCATGGGCTGGTGACTGCCAACGTGAAGTATGCACTACTTTTATAACCAAATTTGAGATGACAACGTACTTAAAAAGGAAATTTAAACAGGATATCTAACATTACGACTAAAGAGGAATATTTGACGTTTTGCGCTTCGTGGAAAGACAAGCCGGGAGGAAGATCTTTAGATCGGTTTGTAAGCAATATTTCCTCCCACTGACTGGTCATTAAGCTGATTTTCGTTCCTCTATAAATACTTTGTTGATAACGAAGACAAGTAGTGCTTCCCAATCATTGCTAAAATATTGCTATTGTAAATTTGGGTGAAGCATCCTTATTGATGGTAATTCTTACAATGGTTTCAACACATTGTAAAACGATTTACATTTAAAAAAGTGAGCGGCACATCTTTCAAAATTTCATTCATCAATTTACAAAATGAGAACATTTATGGTTCCTTGTGAAATAGAGCACAGAAAATGAATCACTTAAGGCGGTGGTAGTTTATAAAGACGGTGAACAGTATGCCACACCTAGCTGTGTCAACAGTTAAGCGAAAGCAGACATTCTGGTAACCATGACTTTATGAGTGGCATTAAGGACAAACGAGAATTTATCCATCATCGTGGGCAGCTAGAAAGATTTACATACTGCATGCATTTGGTAACTCATTTTGTCAAAACACTCGGCACTGATACGGTTCTCGCTAAGGCATGACAAAAACCGGACTTCCTTTTTTGGATCACATATTTCAAGAGCCAGTAAAGTAGTTTTTGTGGTTCAGTAGAAATAGACTTAGACATCTTTAGGAGAGTATTGAGTTAAGCAGTGATGGTGTATGTCAGAAGCAAGCTCGTGCACTACAATGAGGCTAATGGGACATTTTACTGGACTCCAACAAGCCAATTTGCGCAAAAATTAATGGGACTTTATAGGAACAAGTTCTTTGATAGCTGTTATTTGTAGACCTTTAAACATCTAATTAGGGTCCCATTCCCCAAGCGCATTCAATTTTGAGATTAAGGGGCACCATGACGTGAGAGTGGAAAATTGACCGGTGAACAAATTGCGGCCAATAAACTACTCTTACCTATTATTGAAATCGGTTTGCGACGTCAGCCAGAGTGGCAGTGAAATCGATTATCCGGATCCTATCTTGGGACAAATTATTATCAAAAATGTAATATATAACAAAGACATCTACTCCCGGAGATGCCATGATTTGGCTTAGCCTACAGACCCGTAAACACAAATTATAATTTCCGGTTCACGTACGACGAAAGGCCCAAATGCATAAACTGTTACAAACTGGCTAATAAAATTGTATTTGTGACAAATACAAATGGCAACGGGGAGCGGCTGCATAAACATAAACGTGTTTGTGTACAGCAAAATTTGTCAAGTTATATATGAAGTGATGTGTGCGCTGTAGAGCAACGGTTTTGTGAAACACTCCCAATAACGTGTTCAAAGAACATCAAAGCAAAAGTCAACAAATTTCAAGATTTCTCAAGTTTCAAAAGAAATTGGTCAAAAATCCTGCAGAAACATGGGATAGTACGGAAATACTTATACATTAGCTTAACCACGAGCCGACCACTACAAAACAAAAGTCTCAAAATTACAACGATTAAATTGATAACAAAAAGCTTTTATTCGAGCCGCCACTGATGTCAAAAAAAGTTTCTCTATTAGTGATCCCGTATTTTGTGCCTAAAAACCTGTCACCACTCGGCCAGTGTATGAGGAGTTCGACTAAATTAACCTTGAATAAAAATGCAAAATGACACCAGATAGAAATGAAATGATTACGGTTTATTAAATTCGATTCTAACGCTTCATCGATGGATAAAAGTAATGTTTAGGATGGTAACAAATTTACCTCAAAAATATATTTTAGCAGTAGGATTTGCCCCAACGAATGTTAGGGGTACCACAGTAATGAACAATACCTAATGTCAACTCGATACAGATGAGAGTGGCTAAACACCAAACATCCGTCATCAGGTATTGGGAACATCTGCGAAAACTTAGGTTGGTCAAATTCACAGGACTTATTGTTGTTTTATTTAACCTCTAGGAGTTAAATGTAGCAAAACAAATTTTTCATTAAACAATCAACTACAGAGCTTTTAATTAAAATAAATCAAAATCAACGATGGAATAGATTACATTGCTCTAACTTAAGTCACAGTCTATATGGTGAAATTAGCAAGGCGTCTTCTGCTAAATGCTGCTCCCACCTAACTACATTATTCATTTTGCTAGGCATTTATCATAGTATGTAATACCTCAATCAAAATAAACAAGTCAGTGAGAATATGTTAGCCACGAATGCAGAAGTAAATATTTATGTGATCAAACTGATGGTAGAAGAGCATTCAAGAAACAAATATCTGCAATTTTTTTACGTTTAACTCAAATAATTGGAAATTGTAATGTGCTACGGATTTGGCACTGGCTGAAACCGAAATAGATATAGTGGTCTGGGAAATGAGTACTTAAATTCAATAGAGCTAAAGTTCACCTGAGTTTACTTCCTGGAACACAATGCATACGGCTGTCGGACATCCAATGTAGTTTTAGAATATATTCTACACATGAAAAATTCGGCAAAATGAAGTAAAACAAAAAATCAACGTACAGAGCCGGTAATCAGAGTAAGGGTAAATCTTCATTCCACTATAGCCAGAGCTCGTGGTATACGTACAAGGATAGAATTCATTGGCTCGAATTAAGCCCGGTGGTACCCTTGTCGATTGTGGTGTTGGGAGACTTCCAACCATGCATGCATCTGCAGCTATCTTTCTAACATATTCACATTTCAGGGCCGATCTCGCCTCGCGGTTCGTGGCAGAGGTAAATACTGGGTTTGGCTGACGATCACTAGCGGAGTGCTTACATTTCTGAGAGCAGTGCATAGTAAAGCCGTAAGCATCCCGTTGAGATGCACCAAATCCAAATCCCAGTACGATCACCAGAGACAACCTTGAGAAGGGAGGACACTTCCAACAACCCGCTCTTGTTAAGGGATAACTACCCCCTTCATCAATGAGTATGAAAGTCCACTTAAACAAATTACCAAGAAATTTTTTTGTCATTATAACCTTTGAGATATCTGTAAACTAAAGTAACAAAATTTTTTTTTCAGCCCAATCTACAAAAACAGCTATAAATAGGACTTTTACTTGAAAAACCGGCTCTACGAGTAACAGTAACCATTCACTTGTCAGCAACCGTGCAAATTTACCGACAAACATGATTGCAAAATATCTTATTGGGACAATAAAACAGGTTAAAAATACATTTATGGCAAACGATGAGGGAATTACGAAACAATATAAAGTAATGGTTATTATGTCTTCCAAAGGCATTCAGGGCATTTTACAGGATGGTGGAAGACTTGTTAATTTTAAAAATTTCTGCAAATATATTGTTTTACTGCATCATGTAGTGATAGGGCATTGGATTTTCATGGTTCTTGTCTCATGAAACCGCATTAAGTTGTCCAGTTTAGCACGTAATTTTGCGCTCGTCTTAATGCAGTACTTGCTTAATTTTGCATCCAACGCTTGTGTATATCTTCATCGTGACTTAGTGGATGCAATAAGCAATAAAAAGAAATACATGATAATTTCTTTGCCAGAATAAAAAGCTATTTGTTACCAATTTGGCATGACGATGTGTTTACGCTAGATAAAACCGGTAAATTTCAGACCTGTGCACGTGTTGAAACTGTGGATTTCAGAAAAATGCCTGAGATTGTGTAACTGGATTTTAAGATATACGAATAATAAGACTTCTGTGTGCGTAGACGTTACATGTAAATTAAAACAACGTCTGCGGTCACAAAATCACCAATGTAGTAATTTCTTGATGCGATCCTGCTTTCGCTTCACAAGGCCACATAGGTTTTGTCTTGAACAAATTACTCTCAAATTCAATTGTTTTAAATTCATTTTAGCTTTACGGTTGCTGCTTTATATCACCTAAATATTTATCGCACTAACAGCATGGATTGACATTTTTGGTTTTATCCAATCCGCTCCTAAGATTAAGTACACTTTAGTTCCGTTTATTAATGGTAACGACACAAACATGTTGAACAATTAAACGGAGCCAAGGTTGACTACAGAAAATATTGAAGTTTTCTTAATACTAAAGGCCAACGTTTGGATAAATTATCTGATAAAAAAGCGACTTTGCATTTGGGGAATTCGCCATCTGTTTAAATGGATGAATGACTAATTGCAGCTAAAGCGAAGAAAAAACCAGTCAAAGGAAACGATTTCACCTGCTGTTCTGTGATCGTACTTCAAAAACCCTTAACTGCGGTCACATAATGGGCCTAGTGAGTGGTTCCTTGCCTTTAACATTTTCTCCATGTACAGCTGTAGTTGGTCACATCTTAATCCAGATCGGATTTAAGGCTGAGTAAAATCGACCCATTGCTTGTCTAAACTCTAAAAAGAAAATCTACGACAGGCATTTGCAGGGCTCGCAACAAGTTCAAATTAATCTTCCTAGATGGCTTTAGATGTTGACCATGCATCTACAAAGGCTGTCGCAGCATGTGGGTTATGAACAAGGAAGTTAAACAGTGTTAAGTTTACAAAAGCAAAACAAAGTCCAATGCAATTAAAGCTAAACATTCCAACTACAGCCGACATATATTGCAGAGTCAGTCCAAAAACTGACAGAAAAAGAATGTTCATGAATTTAAAACTGATACACTCAAAAGGACAAAGCCATTAGTAACATAGAATGAAAAACATCACCAAAAAAGTGACAAAAAAATAATAAGGTTAAAAAAAAAGAAAAAAATTAAAAAACAGCGCAAATTAAAATTATAGCAAATTCATGCATTTAAGATGGGACGATGCAGAAGCAAATGACCAAATTGCTCGACTTCAGCCAACTTTGGTAATTGTCGATTCATGAGCAACTGGCGTGTAAGCAGTTTCTCCTAATGATATTTCACTGAAATGCAGCGCAGCTAACAGCAAGCCAAATGTTTGGAGTTAGTTGACTAGTACAAAACTGTTCAAACCGGAAATTGCTTTTACATAGATACAACGAAGTTCAGGATAAACTTCGTTATGGAACAATAAATAACTGTTTGAGGTGTCAATTATAGCCATAAGTTATCTTAAAATTCAAAGCACTTTAGTCATTACGCAGAGGATATTACTGCTGATTGGGACTAAGGAAATGAAGTTTCTGACAAACATATTCATGTAGATGTGGACGGGTAATGCATTGCTATTCGGATCTGCCGAACTTCGTCGCAACAACTTAGCAACCGTAATGGTCATTAAAATCAAGCACTATCTATAGCCGTGATGTATTCGTTAGTAAGTGTTAGCCGCATTACACCAGAAACTGCATACCCAAATACCCATCTTGCTGCAAAGGATGCAGATTGAGCATTTGTCACACAGGATTGTGAATCACCCGAGTCTCTTGTTTGTTAGTTGCATGACGAGATTTTGCTTAACCTAGTGATGTGTGAAAGTGCAGTGGGATAATTTGGACTTGACAGCTTAACTCAGAACGATACGTCGAATGGTAAATCATGTGCAAGCTGAAGGTAAGGGAGACAACCAAGCACCAACAAATACTTAGGATCACTGGATGCGGCCAACGGTGTCATGCGTAGCAAAAAGCAATAAATGAGTATCATTGTTACCCACGTGATAAAATGTTGCGTTGTATCGTTGAGATCGTTCCCATACTAATCACTGTCATTTTAGTTGGCTCAATGTCGTGCAAGAATAAAGCAATGCGATGAACAAAAAAAATAACAACAATAACTAAAACAACAAGAAGTCAAGAAACGCAGTTGCGTGATTACTTAAATAAGATCTTCAATCATAATGTATGTGGCATGCAACGGAGACATGCAAATCACACCGCAATTTGCTTTTCGACCGCAAACTAAAGATGCAGAGTGTGATGCAGAGGCATTTAAGTTTAATAAAGATACTGAAGTAAGTAAAGATCCTCCATGTTTTACGAAAGTGTCCTGAAAAATTGGGAATTTATTTTCCGCTTTTAATACTCGGACTTCACAAGTCGTTTTCGCTTGTCGCGATGTTACGAAGTCGTTGCCTTTTTCAGAAGCCACTCTTCATCAGGTAGTTTAATTCGCCATGACTTCCAAAGCATCGTCATGAACAAATCACAAATGAATAAGGTAAATTTGTGTCGTTTGTTTTACTGAATGCGTCATAACCTTGAAGGCGGTGAGTTTGCGGTGGGTATTTGTCGTCTTGCCAGTGACGAGGATGGATGGTCAGGGTGTCGAGCGTGGTGACAAGTTGGATCAGGAGGAGCTGGCGTTCTTACCGAAAGGTGACGCAGGTGATGAGTCGTGTTGTGAGAGTGGTGTGCTCACAAAGGAGGATTTGTTGCGTATTGATAAAGAAGAGCCGGTTTGGCGTCGAGTCAGGATCGCCCTGATTTCTATCTTTTGGATCGTTTGGTTCGGTCTCATAGTTGCTTCTGCGCTATTTATCGTCTTTACGCCGAAGTGTCCTCCCCGTCCGTCGCAGCAGTTCTGGGAGTCGAAAGTTGGGTACTGGGTTAATCCTTTCTCATTTGTGGATTCGGATGGTGATCTGGTCGGTGATCTGAAAGGTTGGTTGTGCCTATTCATGGGACGAGTTGACTTGCGTCTTTAGGTCTAGCAGACGCTGCTGAGTATATCCAAGAAGAGGTCGGTGCTGGGTTTGTAGTGCTGACGTCCCTGTCGCCTCTGTACCCAAAGAGCCTGATGGAGTCTGGGAAGTCATCGTTGAAGGGGATTCACCCGACTCTTGGCAGCATGGAAGACTTCCACTACTTATTGCGTAGTTTTAAGAAGAGGGGAATGCAGGTTGTCGTGACGTTGAACTTCAATAGCGTGCCAGTCGCACATGAACTTGCAAAGCCGGAATTCCTGACAGCGTCGACGGCAAATGATAAGGTAAGATTAGCGTCACTGACTGGTGTCTTGTTAGTTTTGTCGTGCAGACGCTAGTCCGAAGGAAGCCGTAGATGGGCAATACTACTATTCCACCTACGGAAGTGGATCGGGAGTTGTCGATCTGAACCTACAGTCTGCTAAGGTGATGGATGAGCTTAAGGTAGGATTTTGCCTAATGATGAAGTGTGCCTAGAACGCTACTCGTTTTTGGCTGTCGAAAGGTGTTGATGGCATTCTGCTGGAGGATGCTGCGTTCTTTGTTGAAGAGGGCTTGTGCTCCGGTGATTCGTGGTTTGCTGAGCTACCCACATGCAAGCTGTATACGCAAAAGACGCTAACTGTAGTAAGCGACTTGAGGAAAGTCATTGACGAGTTCTCCAGCTCGACATCGCGCCCACGGTAACACAGTGCCTTGTGTTTTCATTTTTTTTAAGAGTTTTGTTCGCGGATCCAGGTAACACGGGCTACGGTCCGAATGGAAACGTTTCAGCTGAGTTATTGCTTGGTACAGAGGAAGCTCCAGGTGCACACGTGGTCATTAGCAGACATTTCGCCTTCAATAGTGGAGCGTAAGAAGCGACATTTAATAGATACCGTTGTAGTTCCAATGTTAGTGCAAGTCCCTCAGTGTCAGCGTACAGTTCATCGGTGAATTCCTCTCTTGCGGGTCAACTGGCCCTGACAATTGCATCGCCAAGCGACAGACCGTACGCCGACATATTTTCTACGGCTTCGGTGTTCTTACTTCCAGGCAAGTCACAATTGATGTGTGTTGGAGGCTGTTGTTGAGCTGGTGTTTGTAACTGTTTCGTTTCTAGGCACACCTCTTGTTTATGCCGGAACTGAAATCGGGTGGAATCCGATAAGCGATGTACCGTCGGGGCTCTATCCATTTGGCGAAAGGCCAATTGTTGACGATGTTGCAAGCAAGTTGCCCATGCCGTGGGATTCTCATGGCGCTGGTTTCTCGAAGTCTGAAAAAGTCAGTGGATTGTATCAGAATTATACAGAGAAACTGAATGTAACCGAGACAGTCGAGGTATGCGTTGGGGGGGGGGAAGCATCGTTGTTTGGGCGTATCACATCCACATTGACTGGGATGATGTTTTGTAGACTTCAATGGCGGCTGGTCGTGGGCCAAGTATATTTAACCTCAGCACTACACTGATTCGTCTGTACAAGGAGGAACCGAGCCTTCTTTGGGGTGGCTTCTCCCGCAACGTGACCGAGGTAACGTGTGCCTATTTGTCAGTCTGATGAGGTGTTATTTCGCGTAGATACTCGCCTAAAGTGTGCTTTGGTGATGCTAAGTAGGTGTCTAGACTTTGGTTTATTCGCTCTTTCAGCACCCATCGGTTGAGGTCTTCAAGCGTAGCGCTGCCGGCTTCGACAGCGTCGTTGTAGTGATGGTGGACGCTGACGGGTTCTCAGTTGTGGACTTTACGTCAGAGTGTGCAACTCTGGTTCCGGTTGTTGTCTACCCTCCGAACGAACTGTTTCCCATTGGAGAGGCGTTGTCCAGTGTGAAGGTATATTTCAAGCCTGCGAGTTGTAAGACTGTATACGTCTTCAAGTGTGCAGTGTAATGCTGGGCTAATCGCCTCGGCTGGCGTGCGCGCTTTTTCCGCCTTGTTTGTTTGTCGCGTAGAAGTAGATGGTTCATGGAATTTGGTGTTTTGTTTTATTTTTATGGATTGTGGATTGGTGGTGAACAGCAACTGTGTGGGAATAATTGTGGCATGGTCGGAGTGACGAGGAAGGAGTTGTGGTGTGATCAGAAGTGCTGGTTGAAACTATGGGTCCGGGAGGGTGCATGTTGGGCGTGGGTGTGTTTATGCGTGTAGGAGCACAGTGGTCGCTTGAGTGTTGCTTCATGATATCTGACAAACCCGTGAGCAATATGGCACATGGGGGAACCGCACAGGCATTGTGGCGAGAGTGGATTGAGGCAGGGGAGCACATCAGTTCGAGGTGTCCCTGAATCTATTTACTGGCGTGGTTATTGCGCTGGTTTCACCTACTTGTATCATCGGGCACAATGTTAGCCGCATGATGTGGGACTTCATTGAAGTTGCAAGTTTGGTTTGTGTGACGGATTGAATTACCACATGTCCAAGGTGACATGGCGTGGGGCATTGGAGTGCATGGAGAGGACCCCATGGAGCCGCTAGTCAATGCGGTTTGACGTCCACGAAGGCAGAATTGACGCACCTATCTTCATTGACTTCATTGTGTGCAGCACTGCACACGGAGGCGACTTTGTGAAAATTGTTCAGACCCTAATTACAGTCGAGGCGTGTATTTTGGCAATGGAATTCGTCAATCTAGAAGCGTGTGCAACTCCGGACGTGCTAACAGCACGTTAAGAGTGCTTTCCTTGGGGCAAGCATGATTCTAATTTACGGCGTCTTATGAATCACCAGTGAGATTTTGCTACTGATAAGTGTGTGGTGCGCTGAAATACGATGGCAAAGTTAAACGATCTAGGAAAGAGCACTTGTTGCATTTTCCTTGTACCCAGTCACGGTTGCATTGCAAGAACCTGGTTTGCGAGGCATCGGCCTCTCATGAAAGTTAGACCAATTGTTCAAGCTACTTTTGTACACGAGGCTACCTGAGGTGTGTGATCGAGACGATTATCGTGCAATTTTCATGTTGGTATTAACTTAAACTTTGGCAATTGCTGATTCAGCAGTACACGTATTGTTCGTGCTTGCATGTAGAGGTCAGTCACACTATGTCAACCGATTCCAGCTCAAGTAGACACACGTAAGGCAATCTTGGTCTAAATCCGCCTTATACGGTCTAACAGTTACTGCAGTTTGGTGGCATGAAGCTTTGCGCGATTACAACCAAAGCACATAACGCAGATATTTTAAGTCATTGGGCAAGGGCGCAATCGATAAATCGGGAGTCGAGGAGCGTAATCGTGGTAATTAGGGGAACTCGTGCTTCGTTTGTTGCCCATGCTCATTGAATATCTGGTCATTCTCTCTTAGAACATACTCCGCTTTCCTGTTATTGACATGAAACGACAGCAACTTCTGATACCGTTGACCCGCCTCAGACACGTGCAATATCGCAGATGCCGTCTTTTCTATTGTAAGGGCAATGCGTCGCACAAATAAGGATTCTATCAGCTTTTTTGGTCGTCATTCTTGAGTGCAATACGTGCTAGATTGACACACTTTCTGCTAGACCGTGTGAATGCCGTGTGAATATTCTGTTTTCACAGAGGTAGCGCATTAATTCACGTGTAAGCTCGCTGATCTGAGATCTGTCACGCTGGATGAATAGATTTCAAAGGTGCTAACCCGCACATTTACACGCGTCAGCACGCGTTTCCCCACCCACTGTCCCTCTTTACGTGCTATGCTCTAGTCGATTCAGTGACTACCGTGTTACACGTAAAGGTCGGCTTGCAAGAGCCTGGAGCTGTCAGCAAAGTGAAATTGAAATTACACCGGATGAATTGCACATTCTCCCTCTGTCATTTAAAAGTCGTGTCGCTTGTCATGAATGGGGAAAGCAAATAATGAGGACGAGCGACGCAGGATACGCGCCGATCTCGTGTTGCGCACTGAAATTGTGCGTTAACAAAATTTTGCCCGTGTCGGACCAACTGCCACTGTCCAATCACCCCATCCAAGTGTGCACTGTTTGCTGATTGGCCGTCAACAGACAGAATAGCGGCCGTTGTTCCTGGCATTCCTTCCATATTCCAGCACGCAGACCCCACTACCTTAGGGTGAAGCTGTTGTGTGTTTACTCACCACAACCACGCTTGATTTGGCACGCGCACAGAAGAGAGTAAATAGTGACTGTGTTTACGAGCCATGGCGGACAGGGTAACAACAGCGAAATTGGAGTGGAAAGCGGTGCAATTCATTTTTGCACATTCTACACATGTCAGTCAATCACGCCGAAGTTGATTGGCAAGCCAACACAGCCTTAGCTGTTACCTCGGTTAACCACACACAGAACGCATGTTCAGTTTGACGGTAATTGTTGCGGGTTGGTGTCACTGATCATATTCACGGTTTGCATTTGCTAGATTCGCACGCTCTCAGTCACACTAACGTCAACCTTTGACCCGGAACAGCCCACCGACCAGATAAATGCTCCAGTCAGCACAACAAACGAGTTGGTTTTGGCAGTAGAGAAAACGGCCTCGACACACGCAACGTTTGCCAACTAAACTTTCTCAAGCATTAACTAATGACGACCAGCAAGCTTGTACACTGACTTGCAGTGAACGACTGGGCTGCGTTCGGCTAAATTAGTGTTGTCAGCGTGTTGTTTTAAAAGAGAAGCAATCGATGCAGGTAGAGTTCCTGCAGCTTACTAGATGCAAGCCAGCAAGAATTGGAGTTTTCCAAAACCACGCTGGTGCTTAGCATGTGTTCATTTGCGTTCGGTTCAAATGTCATTCCTTGACAAGTGAAGGTCTTAAATCGTTGTATCAACAGCCGACTTTACGTCCACGGGAATTGCCGTGAGACAATTATCGGAGCAGCAGACTCACATTGGCCCTTGCACTTCCACCTTGGTCACACGGCTCTGAATCATCTTTACCGACCCCACCATTATCGCCTAGATTAATCCCAGGCTGTTAACTTTCACACCTTTGAGCAACAAACTAGTTCCGAGATGACTAATCGTGTAATTTGCGCATCTAATTGTGCAGCGATGTTTGGATTCGCATTGTGGCTTGATTTGCACGCTGGTGTCTGGGATATTTTTGAGTGCATCGTTGTCTATACGTTGATGTGCGTTTAAGACCCATGTCAGAGGTTATCCACAATTAAACCACCATGATTGCGCCTACTTTATTTAGGCGTGTTTGCTGATCGACTCAGACGGCCTTGGACAGCTGGTGATGCAGACGATTTGCGGTTTGACTATTTTAGCGCTATGCCATTACTGAATTAGTTGTTTGTGCCTCACACACACACACAATCATCGAATATTTGACTTATTTGGTTGCCTACCACCACCAGCTGCTCATTGGTTCACACATTTCCCCAAACTCCTCACTGTTGACGATGTTCAAGCCCACACCACGCTGACACATCACCTGTCGAGCAGGTGCACAAACTACTGTGTCAACCCTCTTGCACCGTCCCTACACCAGCTTCTCTGATTTCAGACATCACGGGTTCCAACTGAGAATAGGGTTGCTATGCAGCTGCTCATCAGTCACGACTCCACAGTTAAGGCGCATCATACTTTAGATGCACAACACACATTTATTTTGAAACAACAACAACACTACATCACCACAAGGCCATTATCTTCTGCCTGCTTCAACTGCTCCTGCATCAAATGTTCTGATTGACGTCGACATCGGTCAAATTCTTCGTCTTTTGACTGCCGAGCCAAATCCACTTGTGGTTCAGCATACACCTCGTCCATGTGGGGTTTGGTGGCGCCTGTCGATGTCAGAATAGGAGTCTGGCATTTAAAACACGATTAGTAAGTTCACATTGTGAGAGCGCAATCACAGCATACAACGCTTGTTTGTCGCACTGTGAGGTGCCTTTCAAACGCAAACGAAAGTCATTCGCACGTAACCTACTTCCACCGAAACCGTGTCAGGTGACTTGAGTAAACCACCGCCTGCATATAGTGGACTTCATCACCTGCGTTGAAAGCTGTATGCGTCTGGATCGACAGCAGCTTGCCTCTCTGCTTTCTACTACAGACGAAATCAGGAAACCGTTTACGGTCAGACATTTGTGGGCATCATAATATGAAATGGCTTAACGCGTCTAAATGTGGTTTCAACTTCTCATTTGCCAACTTGCAATCGGCGACTGCGTAATGCGCCGTGTCCAGTTTGGCGCCAAGATGCCATCACGCAGAAAATCAGCAAAACGTTTAAGCCGCCTGAATAGGCAGTTGGTCTGAAATCCGATTTAATGGTGGTGACATTGAGTGTAGATTTCTAGGTAACCTTCATCTGTTACTGTTGCCTGAAGCATTCGATGTGTTTGTACTTAAATATTCCAAGTAATAAATGCAAAATTGGCAAGAGGTAAAATGTGATTTACAGCGATTACGCACCACTTGATTTGCGGTGCTGCCGTGCTTTCTAGCTAGTCCTAAGGAATTACTCACAGTTTGAATGCAGTGACTTTAATTGTGACAGCGCGTATGCCTCAGTCAAGTTGAGGCTCAAAGTGATGATGTGCTCAGATTAGCTTTGAGCAATTTTAGCGACTGTTTTGCCTTTCAGAGAATAATGCACATCGCCTAGCCCACCTACTCTACGCCGACACAGCCTTCTTTCGAATGTAACTATTGCAAGTAAGGAGATGTTACAGACTGCATTAAGGACTAGTGTGATTCACGGTGTTGTTGCTATTGTGGCTCGGCTTTTCGTGTATCTCCGATACTACGTGTCCAACAATGCACTTTAGTTTTTATAAGTAAAAACAGAGATACAAGTAAGAAGCACTAATTAGTTTGCAATCAAGATGAGCAGTAAAGTGCTGAAGCAGCAAATGTACCTGGAGGAATCGTTTGCAAAAGACTGACTCCCACAGTTCAAGGAGGGTACAATCGTTGCTTCGTTTCACCGCAGACCCAGTGGGAGGAGGACCTTTGTGAGAAAATTAAAAAAATCGCCGAATTATAGATTTCTGCCACTTGAGTACACCGTGGCACGACAAACGTGTGGCCCACGATAATTGCAGAGCATTGTGGTGCATCATCGCAACTTGGAGTGTACGTACAATGAACTAACCTTCGTCGGCATCCATGCCATCCAGTCGATCAGGTCAGATAAATTTTGTTGGCAAATTACAAAAATTCTTGGTAAGTTATATGCAATGGGAATAGAAGTGACGTCAAGCAAATGCAACGCAGAAGTGTCTGACGGTTGATTCGTTTTGCAAGTGAATCAAAATTGACTCTAAATTGAATTTTTTAGTCATCTATGTTCAAAGCCGTGTAAAAGTCGTAATTGCTTACAGCAAAATAACCTGAACCTGCAAAGTCGCAGCCTTTGCATTTTGGCACCTTTTTGAAATGGAAATGTACTTAAGAGCTAGGTTTTGTTCTGAAGTAATCTAGGCATGCCTCAAGTCTAAAAGTATCACCCAGTTCATGGTTATTTTTAATTTTAAAATACATAACAAGAAACTCTAGACACTTACCGATTAGGCTGAATGAATCCTGCCCTGGAAGGATATTTAAGGGTCCATTTTCAAAAACTGGTGTGCTGTTGGGCTTTGCAAATTCAAAAGCCAAGTGGTAGAGATAAGACTTAATTTTTTTCGTAATGGCGACATCAGATGCATTTGCAAACTTTAAATTACTTTATTATTTATCTCATACAAAGAGTGCGCTTCCGTATAAGTTGGCAACAAATCTCAGCGATTTCGAAATTAGCTCCTGATCTTCTGATTTAAATTTCTATAACAACTGTCGGTCATCAGTCGGATTTACCAAAAATAAATCATATTTACTTCCTATTATTACAAGTGGAATTGGAAAAACAGTCCTCAATTCGTGGTCAGGATGATCACTGTTTAGTCTCTGCAACGTTCTGTTAATGACCGTCCTCTCAAAACTCGAATCAAATTTAAGTGACACATTTTTAAGGACATTTTGTATTCTAGCACCGTATGCGGTAAGTAGGTGGGTTAGGTGCGTCCACAGTTCTTGTGGCACTGATAAGTCTAAAACAACAACAAAGCAAAGGTTTCTGAACTATTTATATTCAGAAGTAACTTACTCCACACTATCCCTCGAAACAGTCACATCAAGTAAATGTGAAAATTTCACACCACCCCCGAGTTCCCATACATGCACAATGGATTTCGGAGCATAAGGAACACGACTGCGTCGACCAAACGTGTATTCAAGAGCTAACGTTTTTCTAGATGTCTCGTCCTTTTCAAGGAAACTATTAATAATTGTGGATTTTCCCTGAACAAAAATTAAACACAAATCGTTAGCTTACACAAGTTTGACACCCCGCAAAAACCACATACGATTCCCTAAACCTAGTCTTGCCTTTGAAATTAAAAAAGTGCTAGTCAGTACTTAGTCTGAGATGACTTTGTTTAACTGCCAGATCCCATAACGACTGAGTCATTTTAAAATCACATCAAGATTCCAACGGCCTTACGTCTCATAACGTTATTCGTTTAAACAAAGAATCAATCATACAATGCACTAGAATAAAATCACACTAGCACTGTTTAATTTTGAACCTTGTTTTGTTAGCGAATAATAAACTAAATCAAGTATTTTTCATACTTTTTTCTTTTTCAGACCATTTAAATATATTTTGAATTAATTTGGGAATTTTTCAAATGCATTCACGCTAAATAAAAGAGGATATGAAAAGCCATTGATTTCGCCATATGGGCATAGTATTTATTTATTTTAAAGAGAATTACTGACTCACAGCAGGTAAAAAATCTAGTCATTAATATGATTCAGTTACCTGACACATTAGATTAAAAATATTTCAATGCATCAGGAAACTTAAAAAATACTTTCGATATAATAAAGTCACATTTACAAGTAAAGACACGATTGTAGGACCTAATGGCAGGGTATGGAAAGTAATATTGTACAGAGTCATCGTAGCAGATTTGATAATCCACATACGCATTTGAACACTATTAATAAAAAGTGCTTGATTTAATGTTCTGTTAGATCTCCTAGCCTGCATATACCGCTATGTTGCAGTAAGTGATTGTTTAGAAGCATTTATCTGTGTATGCCTGTAAAATGTTTACTTATTTTCCTCCATTCAAACCTTTCGTTAATACGATAAATCATTCTGAAAAAAAATTGTTCGAGAATGCAGTAATGGGTTAAATCTTCGTAGATTTTGTATTAACATTGCACTATTATTTTTACGCAGCATAGTTTGCGGTTTATTTGTTGTGTCAAAAAATTAGAAACAAACTTATCGTGTGAGTGGACTTTATTACCACAACCGTCATTTAATCGAGAGATATATATTTAGCACATAAAATTGGAATTGAATTAGTTGATTAGGTGTACTTTTGGAGGTAAATTCACTAAATGGAATAAATTAGAAATATTTTTGGGCTGAGATTATTGAAATGTACCTTTTAGTGGAACCTCAGAAAATTAAAGGGCAAAATATAACATTGCCTACCAACAATGACATAGCTACTCTCATTTGCTAGGAAAACTATTGCTCTGTCCATAATTGATGTTTGTTTTCATTAAACAATAAAGTTTACTTTTTTGGATTTCCATTAACTACATTATTTGAGGATGGCAGGAGATATTAAAGCTATTTATTAGTTTAATGGTTTGGCTATAAATCATGACTTTTAAATTTACGACAAAACACCAAAGTGTCGCCATTTCGGATGTTCGGTTTGCTGAAGGTTGTGTAATAAAGTACTGGATCAAATATTTTGAACCATGTCATTTGGATGCGGATACATCCATTTAGTTTTCAACAACCGACCTCTCAGTAGAAGCTCTATCTATTCAATCTAACATGAATTCCAGATTGTTCGAATTAAGTTCGTCAAAATGCAATAAAATTAATGTGGACTCCTATCTACATTAAAATTTAATTACGGTAGATACGTTATTTCAGTTGATTTCGCCTATATTGAAGTTCACCAAATTAGCATATTTGAAGTGATGCTAGGCGAAATTGAATGGTCAGTGGAAATAAAGTAAGGCAAAACGATCAAATTAATGCGGTGTTACTTTAGGGAGTAATCGGAAGGTGCAGATAAGTTATCTATTTGGTACGTAATCACTATCCCAGGCAGACTTAACTAAATCAATGCCTAGAAAAAAGTTCCAACGCTTAGTGGTCTGTGACCATGTCGTACTTCTTACACTTTGAAGCAGAATGACAGATAAAACTGACTAAAATCAGATCATTGCATTTTCGGTCATATTTTAAAATACTTTGACCAGTAATACACAGCATTCGGTAACTTGAAGTATTGCATTAGAGTACTCAGCTATCAAAATCTTTCTGGAAAGAGCTAAGAATCTGTCGGTTGTGCGAATGGTCGCAGATATTTGATCAGAATTGCAGCTTAAGAATTATTGTTGACATTTAATCAAAATTAATACCATAGATAATAATATGGGGACAAGCATGGAGTTATTAGTGACCTAACTTGTGTATTAAATAACAAATTGTAAACTCACGTAATGCCTGAATTACTCTGACGATTATACTGTGAATAAGACGAAAAGGCTTTGTTGTAGCTATTTACCTGTTATGAAGCGTTTTTCCGCAAGCAGTAAAATAAGATGGAAAAATATGGTCGTGTACTGATTTAATGTTGAATTCATTAAAGCAACAGTTCACAGCAGTTAAATCGTAGTCATTCTGAAAAAGAGCACTTTATTGTGCCCACATTTGTGAACTAAATCTGGTTTAAACGGATCCTGCATTGCATTGCCGAGCTAATCTACAAAGATTTCATTCTATACTGAGTGACGTTAAAGCTCTATCAAAGACCACCAGGTTACCGAGATGCATTTGCCTAAAATCATGCATCACATCAGTCAACAAAATCATTCATGATCTAATCCAGAACTGATCAGTTACCTTGACTTGCATTACCTGTAGCAGAGATAAGTGGAAACATTCAGCAGTCATAATTCTAGGGATTATAGCAGAGACCAACGGACTTTTGAGATAGATTTTCGTTTTGCGGTTAAAGGAATTTGTGTTTTTTGATAACATTGGTAGTAGCTCATTAAACATAGATTTTCTAGTAATTTCAATTTCCGCCAATATTGGAATTTAATGATTTGCAAGTCACCAACTTTTTCAAGCAAGGACACAATGGCTGAAATGCAGAAAGTGGACAGATATACGCGCACACAGTTGTTAACTGACCATTTATAGGTCAGCAATGAGATTTTGAAATCTTTGTTCCCTGGTGATTCTGAATATAAGGAATCTCTAAATGTTATTTGGCGTTACTGTGATTAGTCAAGGTACGTTTGCTTTTAAAAAAGATTGATTCATAGCTGTAACTTCATAGATAGCGAAACAAATATGACTGTGGTGCTTTAGATGCCCTAGAACATATATTAGAGCGATCACCAAAAATTTTCCTTGTTACAATATGGATTTATCAAAGGCAGTGTAAACAAAGAGCGTCCGCTAAACTTCGGCTTCCCCATTCTTACTCACCCACCGAAATGCAGTACCATCAAACTATAAGGCAGTTCTGGAAACGATGTATGACAAAAAATGTGTTTTTTTCAATTGGTACCTCATGGAGCGTTTGTCACTGAGTAAACAAACTTTAAGTACGCTCCCGCAAGCCCGTGAGGGCTTCCAAATGGCGGCATAAATTGGACAAATTTTGCTAGGGTGAGTCCGACCATTGATGCATATGTATGCGTGTGTGTGTGTGTGTGGGCATCGTGCAAAATTGGTATCTTTGTTTGGTGGATGGATGAACGCAGCATCGCCTCAGGCATCATTTCAAATTTCAGCGAATATTTAATATGCACAATTTTGACACATTAAAATAATACGGTGAAGAACCAGTCTCTAATTTTCACTCAGAAAAATTTCCTCAATATTTAAGGATTTTGCTTCTGGCACCAGATGAAGCCGTTTTAACACATTGCATTTAATAAAATTTTTTAACAATTTATTTCTCAAGTTTTCTTAAATGAAAGTCTTAGAAATTGATAAAAGATGGCTGTTAATATGCATCTATTTTGGTTTTAGCCTATTTATGTTTAAAAAATTTTCTTTTCTGGTGTCGAATAATTTTATTAATCGAGGCTGGTAAATTCGAGTGAGACTCAAAAGTTATTGACAGCGGGGTATAGCTATTTGTCCTATTACTAGGAAGCTTGTTTTTTTTTTTTAGAAAAGCCTTGAAAAGAAATTATAATTTTAATATCGTACGGCGGTAGCGAATTCGAGCATTTGCAAGCTGACAAATGAAGACGAGAACTTAGTAAATCAGTTTCTAAGGTTGACGATTAACGCCAGCGCAGTTTGGTCAGCATTTAATTAAAGAGGCACATTGTAGAACCTGTGACTGTAACAGCACCCGTTAATTTCACAAAAAAAAACGACTTATGCACTTCTCATTTCAAGAGACTGCCTTTGCGAAGTAAGTACCAGGCTTCGTCATTAATCCAGTTTCGGATTTAGTAAATGTTCACAAAATGTGCACCAATATGATTGTAACATTAAGTCAACCGTAGTCCCATAAGGATGAAGTTGAAATGTCCAAGTTTATTTTCAAGGCATAGATAGAATTTGAATCTGGCACTGATGATCGAATGAAAATTAATATCATGAGTCATCATTAGACGTGGGAAATTATCCCTGGTTGTAAGCACACAATCTAGACTAACATGGCTTTATCAAAACAAGAGATTTGTGTGTTAAGTGATAAAGGAAACACAGTTGACTCTAGGCTAGGCAGATGTCAAAGGCAGCACAATTCTGGTGTCTGGTGGCTCCAAGTCTAAATCCATATTATTCATTAAGATTTTTACAAAGTGAGTAATTAAAAGGTTTTTGTTCTTTTTCCATTCCCACTATTGAACATCTTAAAATACAATAGTTTAAAACGTGATGAGAAGCTAAGTTTTGAATTAACGCTTTGGCAGCAAAGACTAAGCTATTAGCAGCGAAATTAGGTATTCTACGGCAAAATATTCGTAACTTTCAAATTAGACTTTCAAGGTCACTAAAGATGTCTAGTAAGCAAACTGATACAGTTCTATAGCAGTCTTAGAGTGAGATTGTATGGGATCGGTAGTGAACTTGTGCAAACGCAAAGCTTTGGTGTTTTAAATCTTAATTTTATCCCAGTTTGAGATTCAACACAGAGTAAGTTCATATTCTGAGGATTCCTTTAAAAAAAGAGCATACAAGACACGTGCTACGGACAAGCGCGCTGATGGACTACATGATCTACTTTATAATGCATAGGCTGCGTTGTTTGAAGTGCTTTTTAGACAAAAATTGCAAATAGAAAAACATTGCCACTACTTCGACCAAACTACGGCTCTTGACGTCTGTTGGTGCGGTCGGTTCAATATGCAATATGTCAACTAAAGCATGTATTTTTATGCCATTTTAATGAATTTAAGAAATATAATGTGGTCAAATGGGTTTCATTGCCAGCTTGCCTGTCTTCATTTGTGTGATCAGAGATAAATTGAGAGGTTCTGTTACAGGGTCACATTGCTTAGCCAACTTGCTTGAATGGGAAGGGCACAAACAATGTTAGAGAAAAAATCACTGAACCAGACAATGCCAGAAAACTACTCCTGCCTTGTAGGCGCACTTCGCCATTAGATCTGTGTGAGAAGCAGGAAACAAAAACTAATTGGCCACTTGTTCCTAAAACTACCTCAAATCCCACGTTAATATAAAATTAAAGACCCTGGAAGTAAAAGAGCTGACAAATTTGAATTAACAAAGGGTTGATATTTTGTCATGTAGAATTCGCTCTACCGGTTAGTGTGAGCCTGCCTAACCGAAATATTTTGCAAAATAGTTTATGTTAACCGAAAGAATAAGCGCAAAGTTGTCTGAAATCTAAAATCACTGCTTATTTCGCCTAAGCTATGTTGAACAAGGAAAGCGTTATCAGGAGGACAGTCCTCTGAAATAATCTAGAAAATTACTATAAAGTTGTATTTTTAAGATTTTTTGAATACTACTCACTGCTTTAAGTGCTGATTTTTGAATAAGCGATGCTGCCAAGCAGTCTAGAAACCTGAAAACAGTCATATAACTTCAAAATTATAATTTTTGGGTAATAATAGGGATAAGTATTTGTGACTGAATACGCGTGGTATCTAAAACGAATGTTTTATTGAAGAAAGAACACAAAGAAAGTTGAAATCTGTATTCATCACAAATAAATGATAAAAGAACATGGCACCATATTAGTAGCATGTAAAACCCGAGGCTTGTAAGTGAACTGCTTTCATAGCTCACTTGAATATTTTTATTTGTCTTTAACCGAAAGACAGTCAAATCGAGGCAGGGTATAATTTAAAGCCTAGAATACAATTCATTTTTTCTATTTAAGGAGCGCACGAATTTGCATTGCTAGGTAAATCGGTAGCATAATCACGTTGGTTGTAAATATGACTAATATCGTACCCGCAGGGCAAAAATTACTAGAATCAGGGGCATCGGTGAGACGACGTTGCGGTGACCACAACAGCGATGCCAACGAACGAAGCGGGACACCTGGGTTAAGTGTTGCTGATGATTGTTTAAAATAAGTGACCGCAGTGGTGAATAGACGCAATGAGTGTGCGATAGCCCAAAGGTTCACAACCAGGCAATGATAAATTGAAAGCGGTGACGAAGTGACGGGAAAGACTTGGTCGCCTATGTCAGATCAGGGCCAGAATGTGCACGATTTTACTCCCGACTGGAAAAGTGGCCAAGTTCCGCGATATAACTCGTTTCAATTATGCGCATTTACTTAAAATTCGATCTAACGTTTTGACAAAAAAAGGAAAATGAACTGTTTATAAGTACCACAATCAAAACGTGTTAGGTGGACTGACAAAAACCGCCATAGACCCACCAAAAATACTTTAAGACATTAAATTAAATCTTTAATCAAACAGGGAAATGATTGATCCAATTATAACAAAGTATTAAGATACAAAAAAATTGCATTGTGACCACAGACCACAAATTCTTTGACGATCGGAAGAAATCAGTGAGAAAAGAAAGTATGACTAAGTTCCACAGCAGTCGATTAACCAATCCAAACCAATCAGCTATAGGTCTTCATAAACTCCAGGTGGAAACCTTTCAGACGCTCCATCATTTCGTGCATTTGGTCCACCGTGGGTAGGATAGTCGTTCTAAACACAAAAGCGACTAGTGAAATGTTGAATTAATTACATCCACTTCTTCCTGCCTTTTAGCAATAACACCGTAATTTCAATGTACTCCGAGGAACCGTTGGTTTTAAAAAGGCTCCAGTACTGTACCTTCGAAACAATGCTTATAAAAAGCAGATTATTTGAGAGGGTAGTGAGAGAGCCGAAAAGAGCGCATGAAAGTCGGCTAGCTGCGAGATGCAGAGTAATCGAAATTATACTTGTACAACTTGCAATGAGTGGTGCTTATAAAATTAACTCATTTAGTTATGCTATGATGGGATTCATAGAACAAAAAAGCAGAGGACCATGCTTATTTCATTACCTGTGGGCGTAAACGGCACACAACAAGTATGAAGACACAGTGAATAGGTTTGCATTGGCTTTTATGATCAGAATGCTATTCTGCATTTGCGAATCGATGTGGTACAAATAGAAGGTAGAGTAAAATGATGTGATATTATAAAGGTAACTTCTAGTGGAGTTAAAGGAGTGTGCGACAGGATGACAAGCAGTGGGTGGGTAGGGAAAAGAGCTCCGATACTACTAACAAGGGCAAAACATTTGACAGTTCTTCATGTTTGCCTTCATGACAATCGAATTCTACAAGTGTGGCAATTTTGATACTGGGCAGACCTACACTTGAGAGAACAAGGTCACGTTGGAATAAAGCAACAAAATGGCTCACGCAACTCAACAACGCTCACTGGTCCACTAAGAACTTGCACGCAACCCATGAACACCAATTTTGTAAGGCGAACTCAATAGCTGGTCAGCGGATTGGCGGCAGTGCAAGAAACACACCTCATACACGGGTGACCCCAATTCGACACCAACATCCACAAACAAAAAGTACCCACTTCAGTGCCAAGACTCCACCCACTAACTGAAACCTGCCTACAAAACTACGCAGCTGACCTTGGTATCCGCAACACAATCACTCTTTGACCAAACTGAGTGCTGTCAAGTTCTTTCACTATTCACGTCAATCTACATCATCAGAACCCTCGAACAGTGAATATGCACGGGAGCTATTTGGACAAAATCAAATCATGTCAGCGGAAGCCAGTTTAGACCTTTCAATGAGTGAAGACCAGCGGTGTTTTTATAAACAAAAAGGTCGTAAACAGTAAGTTAACGGGGGGACATTTCACTCGCAATGACAAGAGGTCACTGCTCCATAAAACAAAGTGTTCAGTTTGTGCAACGGAGGCAAACGAAGTAACTACACTTGTTTCTAGGGGGTTTATATACATCTAAAAATAAGTACAACTGACTGTCATGATGAAGACCACATCAGTCAAATCGAAGTTAGCTGAAAACTTACCGGAAGTGAGATGTTCCGGGTTTTTGAACGAAACCACTTCCTGGTACAACACAGATGCCAGTGCTCTTTAACAACTTTGTCACGTAGAACGTGTCAGGGGGCATATTGGCACGCTAAAAGATAATTATAACCAGTTATCAAGAACTTAATCTTGGAAAATGGCAAATTTGATTTGCAGCGAATGTCAGTTTGAGGAGGCTGCAGAAGCACAAATCTGCGAATCGCACAGCGCTGCAAGAAACATACTGGCTTTCGTTGGAGCACAACTCGAGTCACTCATTTTATTTGTACAGATTTGTAGGCAACGCCACATTATCAGTAACAAAGTAGTCACAGATTCTGCAATGCCAAACACAGACCACGGGTCTAATCCAACGGCCGCCGGGAGTCGGAGAGCACTTGTCCGATTAGGCGAAATCCAAGTGGTGCTCGGTGAAACGTGACGTACTTCTGGCAGCGCTTCACCAATCGAATATCACAGCCGATTACTCGCACAAATTAACAGAACCCAAGTCAAATAAACACAAGGAGTGATAAATCTCTGTCGAACGAGCATGAAACCAAACAAGTACGTGGTGTATCGTAACTCGTGGTGTGCAAAGCACCTATGGCACACAAACAAAATCTCGATTCGGCACTCGTTAAGGTTAAAATACTCTTGACATCTTTAGTGACCATAAAATTGGATAACAGAAGTTTAGGTTGATAAGTAAATAATGGGCGACGTTAGAGGTTATGCTGGATCGAGTGGGCAGGCAGTTAGACAGCTGATTAAAGTGAGTGGGCATAATCGAGGGACCAGAAGTTCTTTAAAGAAAGTGCCCACGAAATGAAAAAGTTGCAGAGCATTTACCAATTGTAACAACAAGGTGACTAGATCAACCGGGAGGTTGGGGGACCAGTCGGTTTACTAGCGGGGGGTCGCGAGGTGACAGTAAGTTGTGTGAAATTTCCAATGTTGCGAAAGATACTGAAAATCGTTGCAATGCAAATTAATGATTTGTGAAAAGAGTAAGTACATCCCGCCGATCTCCGTGACTTAAAATGACGGCACGAAAAAACCACATTCTGCTCCGCTAAGAAAAAAGCCAACATTAAGCCCCTGTGATGTTGGGGAATTAAATTTAAACATTTGAGTTTTATGCATCTTTTACAGCAAAACCTCAAAGAGGAACTCATGACTAGTCACTTGAAAGAAGCAAACAGAATTGGACTGCGCGTTTGACCAGCAAAAAACGAACGGATAGGTTTTCCATTAAAAAATGTCCCGATCCAACTAGTAATCGGTATTCCACTATTGTTAAAAAGGCAACACAGGTACTCAACAGTCTTTTAGCTACTAAGTAATCGAGCCAATTATCTAATTCCAATACTCCAGTAGACGAAGTTAAATAAATTGGTTTAGGCATCCCCTACGTGTGGAAGTATATGTGCACAAAAAAGAGCCAGACGCACCTCAGCCGCCTCCTTGGCTTTTGCGGGAAGTTCGATCCGCGGAAAGGCGTACATGGCGCCCATGACAGGCTGACACTTGTAGCCTGGTAACTCGTTGAAGAGAGTCTCCACGAGTTTGGCCTTCTTGGCCAGGTCGCTCAAGACCTTGGCTTTCTCTGAGGTGAAAGTCTCATACGAAGGCTCACCGGGCTTGGGCGGATTTACGATCACGTTCATGGCAAGCTTTGGGGAAACAAATAGAAGCACACTAGGACATCAACATTGTACTTAACTGCAGGACATAATGTGTACCTCTTGTAAGCCTCAAAGTGCCTCAGAGCAGTTTAGTCTTGAAAAACATTTGGCTAGTAGCTGAGGCGTAACCTAAAGGCAGGGGCATGCAAAGCATCACAAGAGAACCAAGCAGATACGAGGGCGACGATGACAGGAATATTCCCTTTAACTACTGAATCACACAAACGACCTCAAGTGACGCTACTACAGCAGAAAATTATAAAACATGTCAATCCCGCAAAGCTAGAAAGAATGATAAGCAAAGAGGCAATTTCTGATTTGTAGCCATCTTTCAGGGACACTTTCAATGTACCGACTAGTATTCTCTGCGGGTCCTACTATATCAGCATAAACAGAAACGCGCTGCACTGCTGAGGACATTTCGTGTGTCCTGCCTCGGATTGGGTCCATGTGTGGGAACCCGACACTTGGATGGTCTAATTTCAGGCCATTCGATCGACTATGATTGTGCATCATGACTTTCGAAAGAGTAGATTGTGATTTGTGACGGTGGTTCGATCGCAAGGCCTTTACTGAAGCACTCTTGAGACACACACGCATAAACTCGATTTCAATCAGCTAAATCCAGACTTTTGAATAGGATCACAAGTGATGTTTGCCTGATTCCATTATTGGGTGTCAGTAGGCCCTTCTCAAAACTATGGTAATTACTTAAGAGATGAAAGTTGTGAATACAAGAGATTTGCCGGATTACGAAGTTGGCTTGTACCTGCATTGCGAACAGCTTTTTGTTGAAAATAAAGACCAACCGTTGTTCAGCATCTTGACTGTCTCCTGTGCTTTAAAGGTTTGATGGTCGATTTGGTAAACATTGCATTAGGAAGATAAGGCATGTCGATGAAAATGGTGAAAACGGTGACTGTGACAAGTGTGTCCACCTTGCTGGCACAGAACACCCTCCTCACACCTCCTGGGATTCTTGACAAAGGGCAACTAGAGCACACACCAGACGCAACCAAAAATCTAACTATACACACACAGGTGATAATTCAAATCTCTAAATAACAATTGCTTTGTCTTGTTTTTGTTACATGAGTGCAACCACCACGGTAGATGTTGCTGTCCACTCGACGTTTTCCGAGTTTTTTTTTCTTTAAAAAATAGGGACAATTGCAGATATTAAGGAAACGTCGTGTAATGGCGTTAACTTTAATAAGTGAACTAGAGGTCGCAACGTAACAAAGTGAACTTGGAAAACCGGCAACCGAAAATGAAACTATACAAATAGGTGGCTTCTTAGTGGTGGATTTAAATTTAGGTGAACTTTATTATTCATCACCACAGTTTATTCAGTGTACTTTTTTCAGGGTTTAAACAGCTTTTTCAGAGAACTCCACCAGTACGTCTGCCAGGTATTTACAAGTTATGCTGCTTCAGCTTGTCAGGCTTCTTAGTCTGTCAGTTGCTTCGACAAATTAGGGGATGGCGGTTACACAGAAAGAATCGCAAGTTTTATGGGGATCAGATTCTCAAAATTTTTACAAACGCGAGCCATTGCGACACCTTCCAGTCACCTTTTACTAACCACAGATATTTTTTACTAACAGTTGTGCAGTTAATATGAAGCAATGATTTTGAATGCAAAAAAATATTACGAGAAGAGAAGAGCATAGCGCCACAACTAATGACAAGTAAAAATAGGATAGTCAGGAGTCAATATGAACTCCTGAGTAAAGCAAATTGCCACTTTAGGCTTAAATATGCAACAGGTCACTTGGAAATCGTATATCTTACCTGACCAAGAACAGGCGGACACAGACGAGCTGAAAGACACTTGTACAGCTCCCTACGAACTTCCGGATCGAAATTAACCAGTTCGCAGTATCCGCCACGAAAACCGCACCTTGAAGTAGGAAATTCAATTTCATACTTCTAGAGCAAATTTAATAAAATGTGACAAACAACAGATGGTCAGAGTGCTAGTGAGAACACAAAATCCGTTATAGTTTTGTTGGAATGGAAAAAACTATGACGATACCTTGCAAATGGCGACCTAGTGAAAACTGAACGGTTATGCAGATTTCATGCACTTAAGAATTCTGCTTACAGTCTTAAGTCATTAGGACGTCTTAGAATCATTAAATCGCGCCAAAATAGGGAAGCTCCAAGTTGAAACTGATATCGATAAGGATCTAAAATCCCGCTGCGCTTAGCCATTGAGTATGTTGCCTTCAACAGGTGAAGTGTGGCAAACTAAGCACATTCAGAACAACATATACTCAGAATCGCTCAATGTGAAGCTGACAAGACGTAGATTTGTGCCTTGGCTACAAAGTAAAAATAAATATGAATCCCTGAATATTGCAGGGATTTTCGCCACACTATATAAACAGTCACTTCTCCATATGATAGGTGTCAACCCAATAGAGTCCAGAAGAGTATGATCTTGTCAGTTGATCTCAATGAGAATTAGACAACGCTCACCGTGGATATTTTAGTGAAATAAAGCTGACAGTGAGAAAGCAATTGACAGGAAACACGACGGCAGACAGTGAACGTACTCTCCCATAAATCCTTTGCTGGCAGACATCAAACTAGCGAGTTGAACCTCGTTGGCAATATCACCACCGAGGTCGTGAAGAACCTTTTTGAATGAGTGGAACTGCCTATCGCTGACATAAATGTTGTGCTGATAGACCTCGTCGGCAACTACCATGAGGTTGTTTTTGTGTGCAAAGCGCAACACCGCCTCGATATTTTCCTTAGTCAACACCTGCCCCGTGGGGTTGCCCGGGTTGATCACAACAATCACTCGAGGATCGCAATGCTTCTTTGACTCTTCCAGGCGCTGATTTAGTTCCTCCGTTCCGAGACTCCACCCCTTGTCTTCGTCTAAGTAGTAGCCAATCTAGAAATTTTGAAAAAAAAATTGTACGAAATAGCGACGACAAAGATGACAATGAAATGAGAAAAAAACATCACATGACGTAAGTATTGCGGGTGGGGTGGAACCCAAAGAAACGAGAGGCATGTCGTACATTATTAACTTGTTTTTGAATTAAACGACAGCATTCACCATGCACTTTTGGAAGCCCTAGCGAGCCTACTTCCAGGTATTAAACATATATATGCAAGGATAAAGCAAGTAGAGCTATAAAATTTGAAAAGACAATACTACCTACCTGATAGTTGTTGTATTCACTCAGCGTAGCAGAATACAGTGGATACTGGGGGATGGGAATCATAACGCCGGCCCTTTGCGTGCCCTCTCTAGTTGTTGCAACAAGTTCAAGAATAAACTAAAAATATAAGAATATGCTAAGGACTGCAAAAAAAACAGTTTAAAAAACAAAACCTAACCCCTTGACGTCAAAAATAGGGATTCCAGGAAAAAAATTTAACGACACAGAAAGGGTTTTACTTCATGGAAGCATCAGTCTATTAAAGTAGACATTTGTGTATGTACCTTGCCGTAACCTGAGCGATTGATGTGAAATGTCTAAAAAAAGGGTGAACATTCATCCCAGAAAGTTGCATAATGAACCAAATTTTACATAAGGGACTGTGGGTTTTATGAACTTTAAACAGAAACAAAACGACGTGGGAACGTGAGTGGCAACAAAAAGGTAAAATAACAAATAAAAAAGGCTGCTCCATTTTCTCTGACAGTGTCATTGTCAGCATGGCATAACTGGTTGAAAAAGTTGAATTAATAAAAAAGGGAACAAGGCCTAAAAACAAACTTTCAAGTGCATGTAAAACTCTATCATGATGATGTAAGCCCAAGGTGAACCCAAGAATGAATTAAGCGAAACAATGTAGGAGACCAAATAAATGTATTGGTTAAAAATAAATTATGATTAAAAACTATTTTTAATGTACTGATAAATTTGAAAATTATGGAAAACAGAAGTTTTAGTATTGGTTTTGATTTGCAAAACGGCTCCATGTGGTGGCACACTAAACATAAACAATCGCCACAATTGATGCCCGTGGTCTGCCTAAATGGCCTCGCGACCCTCCTGCAAATCCGGAATGTGATACCTTCGAAAACGCTGCAATACAGGTGCTATTAAATTACCGCTTTATCGTTCACAGTGTCATACTAAACTACAACCCATGTTATGCTAAATTCACTGTTAAATTACAACATTTTGCTGAACGGAATAGACACTTTGGCGAATATAAAGTTGTTCGTTGTGCTTTTAAACCAGCCTTCGTAAGATTTCAGCAAAACATTGGTGTTTTCCGTATAAGTTTTTTACATATAAATTAAACTATCATTGTGAAATTTTATAACTATTTAGAAGATTTTGGCTAATGCCTGAATTTCAGCTTTTCCAGCATTTGACGCAAACATAAGTGGTAGCTTGAATTAAGAATCACTTAATAAGTAAATTAAAAAGCACTACAAGACTATCAATTGTGCTTAAGCGTTTCACGTAATAAGAACTGTGAACAAATGAACCTTAAAAGAGGCGAATTTAACGAGGAAGTATATATAATGTAGAAAAGAGACGCAAATTCGGCCACATCATTGTACACAACCCAACTTCCGGCTTCGGCAGTAACCCACTTATGAAAAAGTCCGAACTATTTCGGTTCAGAAGGGTAGACTGATAATACGCCAACTGAACTGCTTCGATTCAATTCATAGATGAAAGATGCTTGATGGACTCTAAATTCAAATACAAAATTCACTGAGATTTGGACAGCTATTTACATAAACACCAGATTAGCTATAATATACTTTGTCAAAGTGGCATCGAAAACCGTAAATGAGCATACGTTAATCTTTTGACAAACTGAGATTATGCCCCAAAAAGAAATTTTTCAATCAGGCAACCCCACATTCAGAGAGGTTTGGATATGAGTGTTTCTTTAACTATAAATAACCTGAACCCAGTACTGTAAACAAACATCTAAATTCATGGCCTGCCTAAAGAAAAACATAGTTAATATTCCTTTACACATACTAATTTGGTACCATAATCAATACCTTGCCTTCGTAAATCATCAAAGGTCAAAATTGGTAAGATCGAACAAGTTCTCGTCAAGAATAAACCTGTTACATAACTACCAACAGCACCACTTCCTATAAATTCAATGATGTTTTTAAGCACAATTGCTTAAAAATAAGCTGCTGGTTTACGGGACACAGAGAAACTAAAGGCCAATTATAAATATGAAATTCGTACAAGTCTTTGGATCAATTATGTATAACAAGAACATTTTGAGCAGATACGAATGTTTAAAGCCCACAACTAGAATGTTTATAACGCAATCTTTATCACCGGCAGTTGAGAAGCAAATTTTAAGATACATTGACACAGAATTAGGCCCAGTAACGTGTAAATAATGATGACAGCCCACCTTTACGGCCTCCGAAGCTCCACAAGTCAAAAAAATATCCTCTGTAGACGAGGGGATGCCATCTCGTAGCTCAATATAACGAGCTACATCTTCACGAACTATTTCGACGCCTGTAGATTGACTGTACGAACCTAAATGTTGTTAAAAGAAATAGCAGATCATAAAGCATAATTATTCACAGCTGTGCACAATGGGTTAGAGAGCAGGAATATTAACGATCGTTAGGCAATATTGTTTTACTTTGATAAGACAAAAACTATGCTTACTCTATTTATCATGACTTGAAAAATAGAAGTGATTTGCACAAAATGATATTTTTCGGAGGGATTGGCCAATGCAAAATCGGGCAAAAACAAAATACTTAACGAACCAACACTGCCACCCACACTTCGAAGAAAACGTAAAGCACGTTCTTTTGCATCGTCGGGAATTATAGGAGAATCCATCAGACGCGTGTTACTGGCAACGGCAATAACTTGACGTATAAAAGATATAGGTGTCTGGCCGGCGAATTGACAGTCACCGATGTTACATCTAATTATGCTATCAAATGCCTTTTTTTCGCCCTTAATTAAGAAGCAAAATTATTGCAAAATTACAATATCTTACACTCAAAAGTCCTTTTTCAAGTTCGTTAGCAAGTTGAACGATAGGGCCCCTTACAGCGTACTCCAGCCTCCGCATATTAGGATTTATATCTTTCACGGAGAGTTTTGTATAGTGACGAATGAATGTAAATCCCACGGATGCATGACTCCTAAAAAAACCAAGACGATGTGCAGCTAACCCAGTCATTATTCGTAAATAGCGCCTTTTTGTAAAGATTGGTAATGCTGTAATCTGGCTCGACGTAACAAAGCAATTATTTAGTTAATTTAAATGTAAAAGTGCTTATTTTTTAAGACTTCTCAATATTGTAATTTCAACTGGTTAGTTTCTCACACACATCCATTTGGGATATTTGCAATCTGCAAAATACAATAAAAATAGTCATGTCTCAAAAAAATTAGTAGAACGATGCCCAACAAAACCAGCGTTTTCAAAACAGAATTTTAAGTTTTTTTTTGGTATTGCCTTTTAACTTTGATGATCCATTTGATGTCTTTAAGTAACTTCAATTGAATAAAACAGCACTGCAGTCTCTTGCTTGACCAATAAATACTGTTTGCGCATGGCTTTTCCTGAAAAAATGTCAAATATTTGTTTAGACCTTGTCATAAACAAACGATAACCTTAAGGTTTAATGAGGGACTTCATGGGGAGAGGTGCATTATTTAACTTCTGTGGAGTCAGCAGAGAATGTCAAAAGACTTTAGAAATGTATTATTGACCAATACAAATAAATTGATCGTCGGATCTTCGACTGAGTTAAGGAAAGACAAAGTTTAAACAAGTGTGACCAGCGCCATAATGCAGTTATTTAAAAAGATTTTTTGAACGTTAATGTAGCCACATCGAGTTGAATTAATCGCAGTCAAGTTGGAGTAGCTTTAATGTGTTTAAGTCAATGAGCCTAAATGCGACAAACGGAAGTCACAGTACAGACCACTAAAATCGGCATTTTTGTACAAATGGCAATACTTGTAAAAACGCTGCATCTTTAAGCTGATTTATCCTTTTGAATTTAGCTGGCATCGTAAATACCAGAAAATCTAGGTGGTTACTTTGGATGTTACAGTCATTTACTTTAAAAACGAGTCAAAATTTAAAGTTTGGAGTTAAGTAGTTTGCTAAAAAATTAATATTTTAATCACTTCAATGCATTCTGGAAAAATTCTAAGCTAAATAAATCTCGCCTTTCTATTTCGCTCACGATTTAGAGCCATCGACATTATATGATTGATCTTGTATGCATAAAAATATTTGTTCACATATTTTTTGTCTTAAATTTCTAAAACTATTGAGTTGATTGCATCGATTACAATAATCACAATTTAGGATCAACAAGTAGAACCTCTTTTAAGTAATTTAACCCGCCTTGTCCAAAAAAATTTAGTTTTGCCTGGACTATTTTTTTAGAAATGTAGCCATTTAATATACAAGGTGTAAGGAATTGAAATAATGTAAACAATAAATTCCTTTCCGATTTCAAAATCGAAGCCGACCAGTCGTATGGCGATCCCACAATTTGCATAATGTGTACAAATTCCTTAGATTTATTTTTTTAATTGTGCGCAGCTCTAGAATCTGTGTTATTATGTGGCAATTGGATAGCAAAATATCTGACGATACCTGAGAACATCCACCACGACTCAATTTAACTGAAACTCTATTATGCACATCTCTACACTGCTCACAGCAAGTTTTATAAGGAATAATTATTTATTTACTTTCGACGTTTCTGTGCAATGCTTTCCCATAAAATCCTCCAGCCAAGATTATCGACATTTGGTATATGGACCTAATAAATGGCCTGAGTCGTGATATTAAATTAAAAAAACATTAATGCCTAATCAATTTGATTCCGATTTATTAATATGGGAAACTGTGAAAATGCATTATATCAAATGCAGATTAACTAAGCATCATGATTTATTTTAAATTTCTGTTTAATGTAGGAGCCGATGCTATGTATGAAATGTGGATTTTTGATGACATATTTTTGAGACAACTTTAAGAGATTAGGAAGAATATAATATTTCGTTAGTCATGTCTCGAAAGTTAAGTAGTTAGAAAAAGCAACGTTACAAAGACTAATAAACACCGTTTGCCATAGCCTAGTGCCGCATGAGTGCTCGTTGTGTATGGACGACGCGATCGTCTACTCAAAATTTATCAAGCAGTGCACCAAATTGTTACCTAATGTCCTTAACCTTCTTTAGAGAGCTGGAATTAAACTTATTTATAGAAGAATGCATGCTCCTCAGGGAGTCAGCTACGTTTTTGGACCATGTTGTCTGCAAGGAAGTCATTTAAACGGACTCGAATAGGACGGAGAAGGTTAGAACATGGCTGACCCCATCAAATGTGAAAAAAACTACGTGGTTTTCTAGGTCTGAAAACATATTTTTTGGTTGGTTAAAGGTTTCGGGCAATTTGCGGCCCCAGAGCACAAGCCAACGGAAAAGGGACGCCATTGGGAGTGAACGAAGCAATGTCATGAGGCATTCTGTGACTTCAAGACCCGCCTAGTCACAGCCCCGGTCCTTCCCCTTGCCAAAGTCAAAATGGATCATCCGTCGTTCATTTTGGACACAGACGCACCAAACAGAACGATTGGGGCGATGCTTTCTCAGGTTCACCCTGATTGTTGAGATCACGCCATAGCAATTGGCAGCTAAACCTTGTCAAAGGCTGAGCCAACAATTGCAGCTCAAGACGCAAATTGTCCTGGTAAAAAGCACGGGAGTGCATGTGCCTTGTTTAGGGTTCCTAAACCCATGGCAGACGTAGCCGCCACTTCCCTGAAGGCTTAACCAGTGGATCTCTACATAAGTCTCATATACGATAGGCGTTCAAAGCCCCACTCCACCCCATGACAACGAATTTCCTAAATGAGCTCGTTAACTTAGATCTCATGATGATCCCCCTGCAGACGGCTATTGATATCCGGTACATTTTGGTTATGGTCGATTACTTCACAAAGTGGGCAAACGCCGCACCACTCCACAAGACTGTGTCTGTAGCAAAAGAATTCATGGCAGGAATGGTTGCAAATCATGATGAACTCAGCCAAATTCAAACAAATAGAGATGGTCAGTTTAAAAGTTCGTTGCTTTTGGTTTTGTGACATTTGTTAAGCAATGACGATAGTCATACTGCCGTATATCACTCTCAAGAGAATGGGTAAGTTAAACGAACAAATAGAAAGCTTAAGATGCTTCTAAAACTTCACCTCGACAGGTTTGCGTTGAATAAATTCGCGGATGACTTACCAGCTTGGTTGCTGACATAAAGGTCCACTGTGCACTTCTTCACTAGTCTAACCTAAGCGGTAATGAATTTCGGTCATGAATTATGGCTGTCGGCCGATGTTGTGGCACATCCACTCAGAGGGTCAGAATACCCAGGACCATCGGAATACATTTGAAGATAAACCTCGCCTCTTACTACTGGCAATGTAAATAAACTGGTTACCGTTGCAAGTTTTCGACCACTAATAGCATTGTAGTGTAGTATAGAGTGACGACGTCTGAGAGCAAAGACATATTGGACTACCTGGCCTTAGCCAATCCTCTGTCTCTCTGTGTCCCAATGGCATGCGAGGTAGATAGGCAGCCAACCAGAGAAAGACACAAATGAGGAGCAGTATATATTGAGCGGCGTGGCCAGTGTGGTGGACTCGGATGGAAGGCGCCTGACTTGTGGCGCTGGCTTGTGATTGGTCAATGCAGCCTGTTCTGTTGTACTAGGCTTTTTCATATTAGGGCTCGGATATTCTACATTGGTGGCAGGGGATGCATTCGAATAACGCGAATCGAACCCCAGCTCTTTCCCTACAATGTTCGACAGAGGTAAAGACCCTTTAAATGCCAGGTGAAGTTGTCATGGCGGTCAGCCGATGTCCCGTACACTGGGTCCATAGGCATTGGCCGGAATTAGGTCTTCTGCATCTAAAGAAGCATTGGCATTCCAGCTTCAGTAGAAGCCAACTGGACTGCAACTGCGAAGGAACCTACGATGAATGAAGCGGCCTTCCTGCAAGTCTACTAGAGCGAATTCCCTCGTCAACTATTCGCATTGACCACTATCCTGCCAAATGTAAATAATGGATTTGGTACGCCTTTTCAAGTCGATGGCCATTTACAAAGCAGTTTAGAACACACTTATATCACTGCAATTTCACGCGTAAAAATTATCCGAAATATTGAATTTTAAATTGCATGAACCTCAAACTTTATTTAATGTTCTTTTTCTTATATCGAAAAGATCTCGACTTATTTCGAAATTTTTTGAATAATAGATTTTAGTTATGTCTAAACTAAAGCTTTTTGAAAATATTTTCAAAGGACATTGTTTGTGTTAGGAAATAAATTGGCAAAATTTTAATTCGATTTGAGCGACAAATAGACTTTCGCGCATTGGGGCAAATATAATTTGTTGATGGAACGTAAGGGTCCTTCCATGTATATAGCATTTAAGATTCATCGCGAACGCGTCGTGTCAACGAAAAAAAAAGTAGCAAGCTTGAATTGTTAAAAAAAATTCGTGAGGCTAAGTCTAGGGGCGAGCGCTATATTGTTGTAAGTACACCAATGTTCTCTTTTTGACTTGCTACGAAGGAAACAGAAGAAGAGCCTGTTTACGAAACAGTGGATGAAAATACATACTCAAAAATCGTCCAGGAACGCATTGAGGATGATTGGATTGTTGACGACGGTGAGTCACTCCCTTAATCTACCAACTAGCTGGAATTTATGCAGATGGTTTTGGTTACGTTGATGATGGTCGTGAAATTTTTGATGATCACGATGGCGATGTCGATGAAAATGAGCTCCAAGGAAAGGGTCACTGTGATAGAACTGTTTCTAAAAAGAAGCGTTTTAACCGTGACATTCGTCCGTCAGAGTCCATTTCTGGTAAAGGTGGCTCTTCTAAGGACATTCGTCGGATGTTTTCTACTTCTACATTGCACCACCATAAACGAGTATGTTTTCAACTTTATGTTTCCAATGTTAAAATCTGATAGAATGTGCAGGCAATTGATGCTGGCTCTCAGGATGCTGCACTAGATGATTTGCTTGCAGAATTGGATACGGAAATGCCAGCAGTTCCAGCGCCTAAAAGGTCAAGACGGGAGCAGTTACGAAAAAGTCTGCCGGAAAAGAAAGCTATGCAGCCTCGTACTGCATTCCATCCTCATCATGACACACACGCAACGAAGTCACCGTTGTCATCCACAAATCCTTACTCTCTTAAAGCTAGGCGTAGAGAAACCGCGCCATTGAAGAAAACACATGTTGAACCGGGTAACTCGTCTTCATTGTTGAAATTTGAACCATTTATATTAAATGTAAAATGTGAACTTTTATAGGCCTCATCGACGCCACCGGATTAGAACCAGAAACCAAGCCTTACGTGGAGGTTAAAGGGCTCGATGCAGAAACTGTGTGCTCTGCTGAGGATCCACCATTGGAATATCCTCACAGTGATTTCAGGACTTCGGCCGCTACAACTTGGCTCAGCGAAGAGGGTGATGACACACCTGCTAACCAAATTGATGTTAATTATTCCATTACAAGCTGTGGTGGTGGTTCTGAAGGCCTACAGTTTTTCTGGGTCGATGCGTATGAAGATTTGAAAAGCCATCAAGGTGAGTTAATACGTCAAAACCAAATAGTATATCTGTCAAGTCTGACTTCTGATTTCTTGTATCGGCTCTAGGTGTGATATTTCTGTTCGGCAAAGTACCATGTAAGGACGATCCATCCAGCTTCAATAGTTGTTGCATTCGCATTAAAGACCTAGACCATCGGGTCTTCTTTCTTCCTGATCCTTCTAAGGTAACAAGTGAATTGCTAGCCTTAAATTATTTTTTTTGTCAAATGCGCCGTAACTTAGTTTTATCTTCATTTTCTGTGCTTGTTTTTCTTTGTACTCCTACTGAAGACATTAAAATATCGTATGTAGGTATTCGCTATTTTCCAATTCGTTCTGTTTTCAGGAATTTACAGTAAAGGATGTTTATGAAGAACTGCGGGAACTTAGTGGCCAATGGAAAATTGGAAAATTTAAATGCAAGGTATTCTATTGTCGTCGAAACTTTCTGCTTTGGCATTAGTTTTGTGTAATCTTTTATTTTTTGCTGCTTTTTCAGACAACTTTTAATTATAAAAACGGCTGTTTAGTGTTCTTGTAGGCCCCTCTGCCAGTTAAATCCATCTTTTATGGTTGTTATTAAAGAAATCGGTTGTTTTTCGGTCTGTAATTTCGAATTGATGAAAAATGTAGACTGTTAAAGTAAAAGGTGGAAAGCGACTGGTGTTAGTCTAGGGTATGCTTTTAATCACAGAAATTTAATATTGCGTTCAATTTATTAATATCTTATATTGCCACTTGTAAGGCCATTTCAAGTGTGTTCAAGAGCTATTTATTCCGTCTGATATTAAAAACTAGAAAACATTAATTAATTGAAAATTGACATTAGGTAATGGAAATCCATTCACCTTGTTCTTAGCAGGAAGTCTACACTTTTGCTTTTATTCCATGTTACGAAGTTATTCACTAAAAAGACTGCTATTTTAAGTAGAGCAGAACGTCACACTTCTACACGACACACTCGTTGACTCAAATGTATTAATTTTTTTGCGCGATCAAGATTATTTACGCCTATAACCTAGTCCAATTGCATTACAGCCAACTACGAAGAAGTATTGTTTTGAACATGTCGATGTGCCTAGCGAAACTGAATACCTCGAAGTCCGCTATTCTGCAAACTTTCCCTCTCTTCCTGCCAATCTTTCTGGGCGGACATTTTCACGTGTGTTTGGATCCGCAGCCTCTTTGTAAGTTTCCCCAATTTCTTAAAATGTTTTTAATTGCAGTTATCAAATAAGCGAATCACGAAATCGATATTTTGAATTTTCTCCTCAGACGATAACGGAGTCTCAGAAGTCCTCATTAATTTAAAGTTAGTGTATGAGTCCTCTTTCCGATTACTGTTCTAATGTACCAACCAATCATAATACAAATGGATGCTAGTTGTTGACAAATTCGTTCACCCAAATCTCATTTATTACATTAATTTGCTATTCGTAGCTTACGGCGCTGTTTTAATTACCAACGAAATTGGTAGACTTCTTTGCTAGATCCCCCGTCCCATTCCAACGTTTCTCGTGTTAATGATGCTCACACAGCCTCACGAAATGTGACCAGTTTTGTAAAAGCAAAACAGCAAATACTCGGTCGCTCCAATTCTCGTGTTTTGTGATTCTAGTCTGGAAAACTTTATTCTCGATCTTCATCTCCGTGGACCTTGTTGGCTGGAGCTCAAAGGAGCAAGTAAATTTTGTTGTTTATATTGATCTAAGAGGAATATTAATGCCCTTGCTCACTGTTTTTTGGTCGAGTCCTTTTTTAAATGTGAATGCTTGGAACAAAGGGCATTCTCTCCTAACCAGTTGGTCACAAGTTTCTGTTAGTTGAATTTTACTAAGTAGGTACCTGTTGGTCTTTTCCGAGGTGTTTAGACACGAATATCAAAAGAATTTATTGATTTTGCTTCTTTGGAGTTCTTTCCTGCTCTGCCTTTTCTCTTTAATCAATACTTCGTACTACTTTGGTTTCTAAATATAGCAATCATGGGCGCAATTAGAGTTATGACAATTGTTTCACCATGAATGCTTCCGTGTTTCCAGTCCAGCCTGTAAGCGCGAGGAAAGCATGATTGCCATCTTGCTGTGAAAGCGGTGCAACGTCACAATAACTGTGTGTTTCTAGGTGTTCCTGACCTTCACGTGTGTGATTACTTTAGTGCAGCAGGTCGAAGTTGTGGTAGGACGCTGCGACTAACGTCAACTGTTTAGGGTGGCAGGAAAAATTTTTTCCGTCGAAAGTCGTGTGCATCCTGCTACCTAGCTTTTACATGGGATTTATTGCACCGTCCTCGTTTGGTCTACTTTTCAGCTCCACTGCAACCTCAACTGAGTTGGTGCAAAGTAGATTACGATTTCTCTTTCCAACATCCCAATAAAATTGTGAAGCTTGCCGACGTCTTGATGACTCGTGGAGACCTCAAAGCCCCTCCTGCCCCTCCCCTTCGCATGGTCTCCCTCGATGTTAAGTCGGTTGTGCGCAAAGAAACATTGTCCTCTGAGGTGACTGCCTCCATTTCCACCGCCTGGATTAAGTTTGCGATACTCCCTTTAGTACTTGTTTTTGTCTTTTTTGTGATTGGGCCGATTTTTTGACCTTCGTCCGTTTCCCAAGGTTTGACTCTGATTGGCATAAGGTCACATTGAGAAGGGACAAAGGCCAGAGGAGGAAGTCAAATAAATTAGTAGGTTAGTGGGATGTTGAGGCTCTTATTCGGTGGTCAATGTTGCCAAATTTACTTCTTTATTTTGGATTTGTGTTTTGTGTTTCCTCGGTTGAAGTAACTAAACGTAACTTTGCTTTAGATTGAGCAACATTTCTGTAGACTCGTGCAAAGGTTGGCTTGTTGAGTATGTCCAGCTGTTAGTCCTAATTTATCGAGTTGGATTCCCACCTAACTGAACTCACTGCAGGACATTCCCGGGATGTGTGTATGCTACTTTCGCCCAGTTTTTGGAAATTTTTTAAGAGCATTCAGGTTTCACTTTAAATGGAGTGAATAGGTTGTTTGATTTCAGGTATTTCTCGTGAATTTTTGCACACGAACTAACAGTGTTATTTATTGCCAAACAACCAATCAACTGGGTCTTTACATTGTTGCAGATTATTGCTGTTGGCCTACTCGTTGATAATCACTTTCATCTCGATAAGCCTGCTGAAAAAAGAACTTTTCAATCCCACTACCTTGGTAAGTTGCTTTGCAGTAAAGTGATTTCCAAGGTCTGGCCCCATTTGGCCGACCGTGTCGTAATCGTTTGCAGTAGTGATCGGGCCCATGTTACCGCATCCCTAAAAATCTAACAAGAATTGCCAATGCTGAGTCTTTTCACGATGGTCTAATCGGAAATGGAGTACCCGAAAACGGTATCAAGATTGAGCAATCCGCCATTGTTATGTTTAAGCACACATCCACTCTTGTTTGGCGCGTTTGCCTCCACTTCCAGCCCGTCTTAAACGTATTCTTAGTAGAACCAGTGTTAGTTTCGTAGTCCAATTTTTCGGATCTGGACAACTCCGTTTCGGAGCACTGCTTTTTTGGCACTCCATATTCCCGCTGACTGCCTGGTCCATTAGTGTATCAGTTCACGCAATAAAGAAGCATTTTTTGTATGGCGCATTATTTCTGCTATATGTTTAATGTATTAAACTTTCACAATCGTAGCTTAATTTCGTGTTGTGGTTTAAAACTGCCCAGTCATTCACGATATCACGTGAATTTATGAGGATGACTATTTACGATTTCGTGTGCTCCAGTTCTCGCACCTCCGAAAGACTCTGTGTTGCCCTACGACCTCTCCAAACGTCTCCCAACATGGGGCTCTCAGTACCAGCCTCCCTCCAGCAACTGCAGCGATGGCGTCACTTTGTCAGGTGTTGACGTGGAGCCGAACGAACGTGCCCTTCTTGGTCGCCTTCTGACGCGTATACACAAATTGGACCCTGACCTGATAATCGGCCACGACCTCTGGGGCAATCAACTTGACCTTCTCGTTCACCGGCTCAACTTCCACAAAGTCGCTCATTGGCATCGGATTGGCCGGTTGAGGCGGTCTGCTCACTTTGCAGTTAACTTCAATAGGGTGTGTTTTTTGTGTGGAGATTTCAACTTATTCTAAAACATCACTTGATGACACAACCCCACCCCCGGCATTTCCTCCTATTTTGAAAGAAACGCGTAAATAACTAGCTAATCTTACACAGCACCACAGGACAGATTCTTTTCAAAATTTCATTTAATTTACGTTCGTGGTTTGTATCAAGAAAACAATCAGAAATATACTTTTAGGACTGGGTACAGAAGTCACAGAGGCACCCACGATGTCTTGATTTCTTTATCAATCAATTTGGGGTTGCTTGTGACGGCGACCGTCGTAAAAATATCACGTTTTGAATTTGCAGATTTACATTTTTTGAACCTCTCTTCCCCTCGTTTATTTCACTCAGGCTTGGTTCGTGCGACATGCCTTGCCTGGTCGTCTAGTTTGCGACACACGCATTTCTGCGCGGGAATTAGTTCGTTCTCGCACTTACAACCTCAGCGAGTTAGCGTACCAGATCCTCGGAGGCGATGTCAGGTCTCGACGCCAAATCCCCCTTGCTGTATCGAACCAATTCTCGTCGTCTCTGCCCTCGGACGAAAACTTGGATGAGGCCCTTATTTCTGGCATAGATCTGGAGGTTGACTCAGCTGACCTTCGTTGCTTGTTCACTTCATCGTCTCTCGTTAAGGAGCTCATTGATTTTTGCCTGTCCGACTCATTACTAGTGCTTCGATTGGCTCATCAATTGCAGGTAAACAATAGCATTATAACTAACAGTATGTGTTATTAGTGGCTGACTGTTTACCAAACAAAACTGATCATCATTTGTTTCTGCTGTCCAGTTAATTGCATGGTAACGGTTTTATTATTCCATAACAACATTAGCTCCTTGCTCTATGGTCAGAGCTATGCTCAGTATCATAAAATTAAGTCAATTGAGGTTTCGATATGAGGGCTCGCGAAATCGTGCTTTACCCATCCGCATTTTCATCTTCTCATTTGAACGTGGACTCTGTGGCTACTTAAACTGGCTCAGTGAACACCGCCTGTAAACGAAGTGTACAGAAGTATTTTATCCTCACTATATTTTACTGCTGTTTCCATGGCAATGTGAATGTATTTCCCCAAGCAGGTTTTGGTTTTTGTTCATCACGTGTTTGTATGTGGCCCATAGTAAATTTAGTGTGCTACCCATTGCAAATAGGTTGTTAAAAAGACCATGCATTTTCTTAATTTGAAAATGAGCATTAAATCCGTATGCATTGAGTTGTGATGAGAGAGAAAATCCCGATGACTCGTCTCCGTTGTCATTGTACTCATGTGGGTTTTTCAGTTGGATTCGGATCCGTATTTCACCACTAGCGTAACACGTTGATGCCTTCATTAGTTAGCAATAGCACACACAGCGTTACTGAATAACCGACTGCATTTTGCTATTCTAGATCATCCCCCTGGCCCATCAAATAACAAGTATTTGCGGCAACGTGATAAGTCGAACCCTAGCTGGCGGTCGCTCGGAGCGGAATGATGCCCTTCTTTTGCATGCCTTCACGGAACAGGGCTATCTGGTGCCAGACGCACCACGCAGTTTTGTGGGTGGAAAGAAGGCAGCCAGGGATGCACCTGAAGAACTCGACCAGGACGGCAGTGAACGTGTGCAAGGCAGAAGGAAGCCGGCCTATGCGGGCGGTTTGGTCCTCGAGCCCAAAATCGGTGATTCTTTACACTTGCTTAACGACTAACTTGTGACGCACGTAGAGGTGTGTCCTAATTTATCGCATTTGCAGGCAACACATACTTTTAACTCCCACTGCACTGCCTGAATTCGCAAAATATCCCGTTGACTTCGTAGTTCTGAACCAGTTGTGTATTCTCCAGGCATCCAGGTTACTGTTATTGTATTGGTGATTTCGGTTTTATCTCCAGGTTTCTACGATACGTACATCTTACTCTTGGATTTCAACTCACTTTACCCGTCTATAATCCAGGAATTTAATCTCTGTTTTACGACAATGGAGCGCTCTTTTTTCGCTGCCAAGGATCCGGATGATTCAAACACGGTAATCAACTTCTTTGCACTTGTATTGTTATTCCTATTTAATATTGCCACTTTTCTTATTCACATTCCGGTCAGTTTTACATGCACAAAAGCATAACCGATTTTGTGTTTTTTTGCCTACGATCCACCCACTTCCGTTTTTTAGACCGACAACGAAGATATGTACATCTCAGCCTTAATAGCTAGTGTAACCCAGGTTGGCGATGTTGCCTCTGTCACTCGCGATCAACAGCATCGCCTTCCAACCAGCCAGGCCCCTGGAATTCTCCCCTCGGAGGTTCGGCGCCTCGTGGAAAGTCGGAAAGAAGTGAAGAAGTTAATTGCGTCCGCTTCTGGCGACGCGTCCCTCAAAGTCGCTCAGTGGAATATTCGCCAGCAGGCCCTAAAGATCACTGCGAACTCGGTCTACGGTTGTTTGGGCTTCAGTGCGTCACGTTTCTGTGCTCGTGGTTTAGCTGCCTTGGTGACCGGTCTGGGCCGTGCGCTCCTCGTCAACACGAAGGAGTTGGTTGAGAATATGAAACTTGACGTGAGTTAACTCTTGTCGTATTACAACCCAATAAATCCATTCGCATGTAAGCATTGGTTATTGTCGTAGCTACTTTCAACTTTCTATACATCCCTTGTCCGTTGCGAGAGGTGCATAGTCGTGAATCATTGTGTTGATCGGATTTCTATTCGAAAGCCTTGTGCTCTTTTACCACTTGCACTCCCGTTATAAACTAATTTTTTTAAATCTTTATTCATTGCGCTTTGCGTTATATGCATTGAATTAGTGCTACAAAATGCTAGGAATCAGTCTCTTTTGCATTAATTGGAGCAGATGTCCACTTGTAGGCCGTGTTTACTTGAATCTTTGGATAACTCGCATTAATTAGTATTCACTTCTTGTATTAGAATAAGTGAGTTGACTTTGAAAATCGGGTCCGCAGAAGTCACCTCTGCTTTTTGTTGCTTGTTGAGCTGCTTTAAGGTTATGCGCTTTTTAGGTAATTTATGGTGATACCGATTCCATAATGGTGAACACCAACTCCACCGACCTTCTCTCCGCTCTTGCCATCGGTGAGAAGGTGAAGCACGATGTGAACAAGCGCTACCGCCTAGTTGAGCTGGACACTGACGGCGTCTTTGCGGCCATGCTTTTGTTGGCCAAGAAGAAGTACGCCGCACTGTCAATCACTCGTCCCTTCGAGTATGCCGAGGTCCTCCGTGCGCGTCCGGAGTTGGCCCTTCAACCGCCACCGGCCAAGGCCGAATTTAAGGGTCTTGATATTGTGCGTCGTGACTGGTGTAGATTGGCAGCGGAAGTGGGCAAATTTTGTGTCAACACCCTTCTCTCGGGCAGGAACAGCTCAGAGAAGGTTGTTGAACAGATCCACGAGCACTTGAGGGCTGTGGCGAGGCAGGTCCGGGAAGGCAGTCTGCCGAAAACTGATTTTGTCATCACTAAGGTATGCCTTTGAATGCATTTATCTATTTATTTACTCTGATTTTAGCTAAGCATTCAACCATGAGGTTTTCACTTTGTGTCTGTTACAAAACGATGTCTGGTTTTATTTGCACAAAATTCGCTCAAATTCCTCTCAGGTACATCTTTTATAATAGATTGGGCCACCGTTTTAATATCTTATACCCATCAAGGGGACTTTTATGTATAGCACTTCGTGACCTCTTTTTCATGGACCTAACCGGATGTCAGTTGTGTAAATTTGCAATGAATCCGACGTTCTAAGTTGTGTAATGCGAATCTAATTAACTCTGGGTGGCAGACCGTTGCATTGGTGTTAAGCCTAGAACTCTTGCTGTTGACAGATGTTGACCAAGAACCCAGAGGACTACCCCGACGCCAAGTCACAGCCACACGTCCAGGTGGCGCTGCGTTTCAACCAGCAGGTGGGCGCCGACGGAGGTCACCGGTTCAGAGCTGGAGACACTGTGGAGTACGTGATTTGCGACGACGGAACGAACCGGTCGTCCGTGCAAAGGGCCTACTCCCCAGCGGAATTAACAGGAACAGTTCAAGTTGTTAAGAAGGTCGAAGAAGGTGGGTTTAGGCCGCATCATTAGTGCAATTCCTCGTTTAGCCTTGCTTTTCTTTGTGTATTAAAGAAATGCCTTCATAGCAAGTAGTTCTCGATGAGACAAATTATTCACCGAATTGTTTTGCAAAAGTAACATTACTTCTGTTAATCGGCATCGATAAAGATTCTCTGTGCAATTAGTGAACCGAATCGCGTGACCAATGGCATTCAGTTTTGGTCTTATAACTGTGAGGGGCGAAGTTTCGTATGCTTGTCTGTTGGTGCAAAAAAATCCCTTCAAGTATAAACTGAATGTGCAAACGTCTGTCAATCGATAAATAAATGTGTCGAATTCCATTCTCTATCCAATTACTTCACTATGAATCATATTTTTGAGGCGCATTAGTCCTGATGGAGATCGCTTACAAATCTGCTAATATCTGCGCAAGGCCTTTCTAGGAGTTGCAGTCTTTTCTTCACTTAATTTCTGTGTCGGTGTTTCAGGCGAACAGAATCCATCGCCTTGTGTTGGGCTGGCAATTGATGTTCACTACTACCTGGCAAATCAAATCCACCCTGTCGTTTCGCGTCTCGTTGCCCCAATCGAAGGCACATCGCCTGCCCATATTGCTGACTGTTTGGGTCTCGACTCCGCCTCTTACCGACGCACAATGGCAGCTGCTGCATCCGCCGGTGACGAACATGGCCTAGGGGAGGCAAGTGGCTATTCATATTGTAACATTTATTTTAATGTTTCTACTTATTATTTTTAAGTAGCTGTATATTATTTTACTTAGGCAAACGATGGTTTTATGTTCTCGGGCAATTTTTTGAATGACGCGGATCCTCTACAGATAGTCTGTCCTTTACGCTATGTGGAGGCGAAAAAGTGCTCAGGAAAGGCAGCCATTCGTACATCCCCCTTCACACAATCCGGTCTTGCTAATTGGGTTGTAAGTTGCCTTTTATATTTGGTAAAAAATACTGTCTATAGTTAGCGCCACACATTTCTGCATATGGCAAGGGTAATTTATAGGACTGAAGTACCCAAATATTGAATCTTGTCAAACGTGTTAGCTTGGCTTTAACCCGAGGCATGTGGAATGTAGGATTATTGTGTGAAGCATACAACAACAAGCCAGTGAAGGTAAATTCTTCCGCAGTTAATGTGCGCTTTGCATCGTGCTGCGGGCCCCAGGGTGCAAACCTTTTGGGCAAACGCGAAAAATTGTTAATTTATCTAACCATTCAACTTGACCTGGTCTCCCATAAATGTCCTGTGGTTTCTTCGGAATCGCTAATATGTAGTTTTCCAAAATATCATCTGATAGTCAGATGGACAAAGTGGATTTAAATCATTTCTGAGCAATTACACGGAGTGGATAATTACGTTTTGCTGACCCCGGAGGACGTAGTTAAATACGTTTGGATCTAAATACCTCTGGTGGATCTGAATAAAATAAGCACAACGCAAATGTGCACATTTTACGCCCAATAATATTTTCCCACGAGCGTAGTAATTACTTTTTTTCAAATTAAACTAGGGCAACCTAAAAATATTCTGGTAGATTTCATTACTCCCACTTCGTTTTCACCTTGAATTAGTTACGGATCGCAGTGACTTACTCCTCAACCCAGTGCTAATTCGTGCCATTATCTCATCCCTTTAATTTCCCTATTGAGATGCATCAGTGCTCGAAGCACAAAAGTGGACTTTGTAAGAGTACGCGAGCAATAATACCCAATCTGGCAGCCTTGATTTTGGCTTGTTACATGGCACCATCATTAATTCACAGCCTTCCTCGTATTTGTTAACGAGTTGGTGTTCATCGAAGCTAGCCAGTGTAGTGAGTATTTTTCCTGGTCACATTGCTTCACCGTCGACCTGCCATGCTTCTTTTATGGTCAAATCTCCTGTAGTAGTTGTATTTACAAAAAATTCTTCTGTTCAAATATAATTTTAGTGCCCCGAATGTAACGAGGGCCTGTTGAACACTGCCAGCCACGCTGTTGCTGTGGTAAACCAGCTGGTACTGCAGGCACGGGAGCACATCACAGCCTACGAATGCGGTGTCATGATGTGCGAGGACCCCGCCTGCGCCCTGCCAACCCGCGCCCTCTTCTGCCCCCCATCCGGCGGTGGGTCCGAGGCGTGTCTGTGGACCGCTGCCGGCCACCCCTTGTGTCCCGCTTGCGGCTCCGGCCACAGCATTCTGCGAACTAAATACTCAGAAATACAGCTCTATCGACAGCTCATTTTCTACAGACACCTGCTTGAGGATTTCAAACTAGATGATAAAAAGAATCTAAATGATATGCCCTGTAAGTTGCAGCCACATGTCCTGCTTTATTTGCTCAACTAATCTTGACCTCTTAAAGGGGAACTAGCAAACGCGTCAAAGGTGAATTTCGTTTGCAGTTGGTTGAAATTTTAATAATTCTCTTCCAGCCAATTTGTCGCCAGCGGTGCGTGATATTCTTGACTCGGGCCTTAAACACATCCGTCGCTTTTTATCGCAGTCAGCCTTTGCTGTCGTTGACCTGGGCCAGATCTTCGCTGGACTCCGCACCACTCAAGGGACACTCGGCTCCCGTTGATAACCACCCTGCAGAAAGTCATTTTGATACACGGAACCGTCTTTTAATACATGTATGTACACGTATGTATATAAATTTGTTATAAAATTCTATTTTTTTTTAAATTTAGCTGCTTGTTTTCACAAAAGTGTGTGACCACTGGGAACCCGATCATAGCGTTTGGCGCTTAGTCAAAATCGGTACAGTATGCAGTGCACCTTTTTGATACACTTGTGAGTGGAATTGTACCCAGACCTGTCCCACATCGGCGCCATAATTGGTGGTCACATTTGAATTCAGTTCGAACCAGGTATCTATGTGTGGCCAACTCTTTTTGGTGGTACGTTTTCAGTCAATGTTGTAATTATGATTGTCGAACTGTGAGCTAGTCTCCTAGTGTCAATTGTCAATATTGATTTTGCTTGGTAGCCGAAAAGATGTTTATTTATTTGACTCAAGTCGGTAAAACACAAACAATTGTGAAAATAAATTAGTCATTTAATAAGCGTATAAAATATATATATTGGAGGTATTGCAAACACCACATGAGAAAAACAATGGTCAAAAAGAAAGAACCATTCATATATCTGTGGCTTACAAGCGCAATTTCATCTTAGTATTAGCACAAGTGTCTGCCGTCACGGAAAGACGAAGGACAAGCGGTCGCATATCGAGATTGTCGCTTGCGTGCGTATGGTTTTACCGACTTAACAACGCATTCAGAGGAGCGAGGATAAGCGGCAGTAGGAGAACAAAAAAGAGAAGCACAACGGTTCTAGCTGACACCAGACTTTTGTCGGATTCGAGTCCAGTGCTAATGGAGGCCACACGTTCCATGGACGGGCCCCGGTGCCAGCGGATAACGCGATCGGCGCTGGAACTAACTAGCTCATAGTGTGGCGGCAGAGGTTGGTGTGACGCCGTGTCAGTGGGCGCAGGGTGCCTGTTCCGAGGCGGAAGAAAACAGAGGCTGGTGACGAATATTGGGTGCGCTTTTTGCATACTGTAGGCGCGCTCGAGACTGCGTTTCCTCAAAGAGATTCTAAAATTCACAGAACGCCAAACTGAGTCCACAGTAGATCACCAAAACAAAAAAAAATAACTCAATCAAAGGACAAGCACATGGGCCGAATTTCCGACCCAGAACACAAACCGCTTAAATGTGGGATGACAACCACCACACGGTAAGCTATAACAAAGCAAGCAAGGAACGTTTACTAAAGTCAAGATGGAAGTTCGCTCTGATAAAATCGTGAGATAGGTAGTAGTATGCTATAACGAGCAGCTCATGGTCGTGAAAGTTGTTAGGCCTACACGCCGGCGACACTAGAGTCATGGCCGTTTTCGAAAAGTACACATTCTGGAAAAGCGTGGATCTGCACAAAACTGAAATTGTTACAAATTTTGATAATCACAAACAAATGCAAAGGGGTGTTAGCCAATCACGCCTGCTAGGAATTGCTGGATTTATTAAGATGTTGCCAACTTTTAGCACACACTAATTGGCCCTACATTTATAATCGCGGGTTTTGTATCAATGCAAACGATGTTTCTTTTCGTAGCTGCAAACGCGTGAATCTTTTTCAGCTAGTCGAGGCTAGCCTTGGTGTAACCAAACAGGAATCAACTCATGTGAGCATCTGACTTCCCGATATACCGTAGGTTATACAGTAGGTTGCGTTTTTGAGAAGTCAACCTTGTTCTGGTTTGCGTGCGGAGAGCGCGTCCGTCGAGGCAATCACAACTTGACTGAACAGTATGAGTGTGTGCTGCGGGTGCTTGGGGGTAGTGCGAAACCAATAGTGAATGCATTTCCGACTCACACAAAAACGTCGACTGAGCCCTCCATAGTCCCCAGTGCAATGACGCCCCTTTCGCTGCTCGGGTGCACGGCAATGCAGGCGGGGATTTCACCCGGGGGGAGTGGCACACTCGCGAAGCGCTCAAGCCCGAGGACGGGCTGTTGCTGCTTCTGCTGTCTAACAGCCTGTGCGGTTTGCACGGGCACGAGCCAAACGGAGAGGTGACAGGTGGAGCGTGTTGTTGGACTGACAGGCTGTTCTGTGGTTACCAAAAAGGTAAAAAGGCCACTATCGACTAGAGAATGGGTCGGCGGATGAGCCTGGTGAATCCAACGAAGAAATTCACAGTGACGGAAGCGCGTACCATTTTCCGGCTTCTTGGATCGAGTATGGGCGGCCTTAACAAAGAGCAAACAAGTTCCTTCTAATTTAAGGCCATCAATGATAGCTTGGATGCAGACCATGAAAGAACCTTAAATCAGCACAGGAAGCGAAGTAAAAAGCCCGGCTTTGTGATACATTAAGATTAATAGGTGTTGGGGTCATTCCCACAAAATCGTGTAGATTTTGTAGGAATGACTGCCTCCGAGGTCACACATGAACGCATTAGCGAAGAATCCGGGACTTGGTTCTAGTAAGCCCTGGGACGTCAACGTCTTGTTTGAGTTACGAACTCGTTTGAGCACGGAGCCACTTTCGAGGCTAGTCATTAGATCGTTTGGTCTTACTGTTCATGGTGATACTCAATAAAACCGAAAAATTGGATTTTCTCTTCAAAGAAACCAAGAAGTGACCAAAAAAACAAGTGCGCCGACTAGTGCTCAGACTCTCAACAAAGTACATGCAGCCAGCAACAAATTTAAAAAAAACTATCAAAAGCGTTACAAACTAAGACAAATTTTATTCAAATGATGTTTCACGATTTCCACGTTTGCGGTTTAACTACCGAAGTCGACGCTCACAACTGGGTGTGGGCGTTAGCAATAAAACGGTGAGCACGTGAAGTGTTCAAGTAGGCTTTGATGGTGGGTGCACTTTAAGAAAAAAAATGGTAGGCTAGTTAAATTTAATGACAGCGAATAATGCGCATATACTGCAACCAGGAATGGGGAAATTTGGGACAAGAAAAAGACCAATATGCAGCAGGAATAGTTTATGCCGCTTCCACGCGGTGCATATCGATCTTTACGTTGCATGAAGACAAAAGGCCTCATCGTGCTAACGGCCAGACTTGATTTAATAAAACATCATTTACCTTCCTCAAATACGTTAACCGTGGTTTTTTTTTGGGTTATGGTGTGCAGGACATGGCTTCTGAAGTGTGCGGTGACTCGAGTATATGGGGATAACAAAAGCCTAGGTTAACTGATTAAAATAGAAAAAAAGCGATCGCAATATCGGCTTAGAAAAACTACAAGACCCACATCTGTTAAGGCTGTCAATTCAAGTGTTCGGTGGCATTTGTGAAGTCATGTCGCAAGGTTTTACGGAAGGTGCTAGGTCACAGACACGTGACTGCACATAACCTTTTACTAAAGAAGCACGTATCTCTGATGTGCAATGTATTAAAATTAGTTTGGCTGCAAACAAACAGCAGATATTTGCCTTTTTTCTAACAGCTAACAAAGTAAATGTTCGCAAGGTGTAGTGAAAGTATGTGTTTCAGAGGGGCAAACAGATCCAATTTACCTTCTGATCAGCAGGAATGGGCGCGTTCTCCATTTTCACCTCTGCATAAAGAATAGGTGCGAAAAACTCCGGCTGTTGGGTGCTTTCCCCGTCAGCGAATTTGACGCGCTTGGAGGCTGTGATACCACCAGGAAAAGTGTCAATTGGCAAACGCCAAATGCACAGTAGACTGCCCACGGGCCGCCCACTAATAGTGGCTAGTAGCGGGGTCACTGGGACGACATCGTCGCCCATTTTCGAGGTATAGGCCGTTGCGGAAATGGCAACATCGCAAACCGGGGCACAGCGACCCCCACTTGCGTCAGTCAGGGTGCAAAACGGCTACAAGACAGCGGAGGGCAAATATTTTAATTTACCTACTCAAACGGCGTGCCGGGCCAATTTTAAAGGATGGAATAGCACTGATTTGGCAAAAGCAGTGTTAAAACGCAAAAAAATTCACTGAAAGGTATACACCAATTACTTATTCACGCAAGTTTTATCGCTCGATTACTCGCACCCTTAGCCTTTAGGCCACTCAAAAAATTGATACGTGATCCAATGAGATCACCAGGCATAAATAAACTAAAGATCAATTCCAATGAAAGACACGAGCGCGGTTCCACCGAACAATTAGAATACAAGACCAAAGATCTACATTTGGAGAAAGTGAAAGTGAGCTGGAATATCAAAGGTTAGCTCATCTAGAAGGTGGTTTCAGAGGCCTTGGTTGTTTTCGATAAAAAGAACGCAATCGTAGTGTATGTATCAACATCTAGTTTTTCCAACGACCAAGATGGCGCCTCATCTGATCTGCAAACATAAAATGTCACGATCAGCTGATACACTCGTTTGTGAAGTGCTCAGACCACATAATTCGGTGCCACGTTATCACACGCACACACACGAGCAGAAATGCTTCGTGAACGAAAAACATATGTCTAAGTCTCAAGTGGGTAATAGTGGCCACCTCTTAAATGGGAGAAATAAACCGACATCTTGCTGAGATAATTGCTGCCCAATACACACTACCTTCATGTATAATAAATGTATTTGCGTCAGAATCTAGCTGTTACTTTGATTATAGCACTCAAAAAATAGCGTATCATAACGTCCACTGAAAGTTGCATCGTGGCCCTTATTATCACAACGACTTGCCTACAATTGATAGACGTAAAACGAGTAGCATTTTAGAGCAAATTACCAAACTAGGCTGGCGAATTTGTAGGCAGAGCATCTACGGCAAAAAGTTACACATGAAACTTAGTAAAAAATGGTAAACATTATTTGAAGCTAAAATCTTTAACGCTTGGTCAGCCTTATCATTTTACAGTTACTAAAAACCAAAACAAATGCTACATAAAAGGCATAAAGTTCATTTCCAAACATCGACTAGTGCTCTTGAGTTAAATGAATTCACGGAATTCAAAAAGGTAATTAAGAGAAATTAAACACAACGAAATCGACTAACGAATACAACCTCAAAAGCTAAGCCTTTGGATGCCTGGAGAACACAAATATAAAAGAGATGTGGAAGTGTTCCCATAATCGAAAAATACATAGGCAGACAGGTAAGAATGGATTACTGAGAAGTATTCAAAGTCTGAGCATTTTTTTCTTATAAAAAATGAGGTTTTTAATATTCAATTAACATCAGCCACTACAAGGAGTGAAAAACTTGAAACCATAAGGCGAGAACGATCACCAGGATTGGTTTCGTAAAAATACAGAATTTGCCAGCGAGGCAATAACTTAAAGGATAATACTGTCTAAAAACGTGGGAGTTGTGTATGTCAATTAGTCAATCAGGAGAAACTGAGTCCTCCTTAAAACTAACGTACGGTTAGAATCCTTTACCACGTGCGGTGTTTACATTGGAAAACTTAGCTAACATCGCCCAGGCATGGGTGAAATTATTAGATCAAAAGCATTTCACTTGATTATATCAACTTTTTGGGCAGCAAGTACCTGTAGTGGAAAAACAGCCTCTTCGCCATCATCAAAGGTAAATGTATACGAGGCGCTGATAGGTGAGACCGATGACAAGGTGGGGGTTCGATTATCGGTGTCAGACTTCGCATCAACCAGCGAATAGCGGTCAATGAGCGCAACGCCGCCATGCACTGTACCCACTGCACACCAAGCACCACCCGGTCCCCCAGACGTGATGCAGGTCAATTCGTCATCGATAAGAGCGCCAACTGAAGAGACACTGCCTACACTGCTGCAACTGTCCATTCGTCGACGATTCATTAAAGCGGCCGTGGGGGTCACACTGACGCTCCGCAATGCTTTACACGTCCAAGGCAACTGATCTGCACCACTGCTATCAGCCACAGTCTTTTTCACGAGTTTATCATCGCCACCTACAATTTCAGTAATTGTCATATAAGAATAATCACAGATGTACGGAAAAAAACAGAATGGCCAGCGATACTTTCGGTCAACTGACTATAACAGTCTACATTTAGGGGAGCGAGAAATCCATGTAAGCCCCTACATCTGTATAACGTAGACGAATTGAACACGATTACCGCAGGCATGAGAACTTTAGTAAGCATGTGAGAAGCGAAGGGATTCTTTCGGTCAGTGCCAACAGTGGCTATCACAAGTCACCAGTTTTAAATGGCAGATATAAGTTTAACCAGTTGAAAAACAGCACATACGAAAGACCAAAAGAGGCTTGAGAGCACAAGAAAAAGTACAAATTCAAATTTCAAAGGCACATGTGACTAATTCAAAAACTTGGCAAACAAGTAGCATGCTTGCAAATTACAACAGGATGTTATAAACTAATGTTAAAAGGCGTTTGAAACACCGAGAACAAATAAACCTGTAAAAAAACCAAAAAAGGAACCGCCATACTGTAATTACACTTACTACGTCGCCTATATTCTACATCAAGAAACTGGTTTTAAAGGATTAACACCATTAACACTCACCTTTTGCTGAGCGCATTTTGACAGTTGTGCTGACTCCGGTTGTCCGGCCCTCCTCCGAGGAAGAAGTGGACGAAAAAGAAGGCGTGTGTTGATGCTTATAATTATGCGCGATGCCAGTTGAGGATATGGCCGATTCCTGTTCATTAGAAATCTTGTCAGCAATCACAGATGGTTCAAGTTCATTTGCATGCAGAAAATACTCCTGGCAGGTGGAGCCTTCTAAAGCCACGACAGACACTGCGCCAGGTGACTGAGATCCCAAAGTCATGTGCATTATAGCTTCCTGTTTAGTGCTAGACCCGCCAACTACCTACAATAAGCCAAAAAGTCAATCTAATATTATTCAGCCCTAAAAACTAACAAAAAAGTAAACAACTCTTTCAATGGCAGACATAGAAAGGTTCATACCGATGCACATAGGGGTACAAGAGCATCGTTGATATCCTGATCAGTACGGGCGTATGCGGAGCGAGTAATCTGAATTACATCTATTCGATTGGGAACACCCGTTTTAGAATTTCCGCCACCTCCAGCTGCTAGAAGGGTATTCGGACCAACAGCCTTTAGCTGATAAACGGGGTACGAAAATTTATGGAGGATAGTTCGATCCAGGCCATTATTTTTCCCCATTTGAATTAGCACTAAAGAAGAGTGAAGAACGCATTTTATACGATGAAGAGGAAACGGTTATTCAAAACCCAATAATGTTAGAAATCTTGGGTACTGACTTTAAAAAAAAGCTACGCAATACTAAGTCAGGCATTCACAAAAACATACATATCAATAGGAATGAGCACTATCTAACGAAACACACAGTGACCTTAAGGAAATAAATAATAAGCCGGAATCTTCAACAATTTGACCGGATCCCAATTACGTGTTTATTTAATGTCAAATAAATATCGCATCTTTGACTAAGTTTGGGTTAAAACAACAATGCACTCCACTCGTTCGATACGAATAAAACCGATCTGGAGAAAAAGAAAATTGGAAAAAAATCAGCAAATTTCAACCAAGGATTGTCAAAACTTGTGATATTAGGGCAAACGATCACATTAAACCCGCAAAGAACAAAGGTAAGAACAAAAAATCAATCACACAGACATGACATAGCTGAAAATACTAACGTAAAAATCCAGTCAAAAACCAAGGCAAAAAATAAGCTACTAGAAACAGGAAGTGTAAAACAAGAGCATAAAAATAAGTTAAAAAATCCCATTATACTTATGTTGGATACACCACTAACAACAAATGAAGAATAATAATGCATCACCTACCGTCAGAAAACTAAATTATGGTCAACGTAGAGGATGTCGTATCGCGCGGCATTACAAGATAACATAAATAACAAAGTGAAACAAGACAAATTTAAATTTAACTTACATGACGAAAATTTCAACAAGACTCTGCCAGAATAATAGTAAGCAATAAAAAAATTAAAAGTTTGTCAATTAAAGCTATTAGAAATGTCTCATAAGCTGATTCATACCACCGTATAACAATTGGGATGTGTGCGAAACATAAAACGCAATCTTTCAGGTACCCTGTGCTTTAGTGTATTAGATTACTTAGATAGAGCAATTTACAGTGTAAAAAAGGTATAGATCCTATAATAATTCTCATGAAAATTTCATTTGAACAAGAGAATACTGCCGATTTGTGAAGGCAAAAATATTCACTATATATGTGAAAGTTATTAACTCATATCGATTTTTTTATATAAGGCATCGATGTAAACCCCACTACGTCGTGCTGAGCGTTTCCTAAAAATTATACGTGAGACCACACCCAATGTACGATGTTCGAATTCCCCAGAAAAACATCAATTTCTGTATTAATAATTGTATTTCAAGCCACTACTTTTCATTCTCACGTTTTGAACGTTTGAGTTATAGTACTTGTCCCCACCCATGCCTACTTATGTGACATCTATGTTCTCGGAATTTTCTGCTCGCTGTTTTAATCCTTATTCTTACTGATGGTCGTTTCCGATTTATCCGAATAACAGGCTCCATCTACATTAAACGCTATTTAACGTGCAAAAAGCAGATTAAACCTATTCGCTGTCAAATTTACAAAATGATTTTTTCTTGTTGGGTTCAGCGTGTCTATCCACTTTAATAATGAAGCTGCTGTTAACGTTTATTATTTAAATCGATTATAAAAGCAGTTTTTCATAATATGTGCAGTCACAAACACCTGGACTACCAGTTGATTTCTCGACCCTCTAACACAGCAAAAAATGATTTGTGGAATCACTTTTATATACACTTTGATAAAAAAAATAGAACGGGTTAAATTTCATCGCGGGTAACATCTGAAAATATGAAAAATAGACAATAAGTTGTAGGCAGATTAACAAGTTCTTATGAAGTTAAACTTCTAATATCTATTTATCAAGTGCTCTATGGTGTCATTTTAATCAGCACAATTAATCGGGAGAGCAAGCAAATTGTCAATTAAGCAGAAACAGTATTTACAAATCTGCGTTCAAAAGTCGGTAGCAAGAATTAATTTGTCCGCTTTGTTAGCATGCAGTTTTCCATACAAAAATAATTTCAGTTCACATACTAACTAGGATATGGAGTACGATTTAAAAGTGTCCAAAGAACCTACGTGACAGGTCTACATAGGCCAAGTGGCGTGGCAACAGTATAGGAACCCTACCTCCACCTTTTAGGAAACATTACGGATAAGTAAAAAACCTGCCAAATAAATTACCCATCTTCAGTGGGTGATCCGTAATTCTGCCTTGCAGTTAACGAAAAAGTGGATGGCTCCGAACATTGAACCGCAGTGTAGACAGAGTACCGTTTGCGTTTGTGGGATCGTTGTGCACCTGAATACTGTATATTTACCTGGAAATTATTATTACTTTCATCGATCGTCTCGTTTAATTCCTCTGTGCCCTGAACAGATCTGTCGTAGGAATAAAAGTTGTTGGATCCATCCTGAAGGTCAATCTAGGGTACAAGAATGTGGAAAGATTAAACAAGGAACAACAAATCTCACGTTTTTTCTAGAAAATCGTACCAGATTAAAGACATTATACTTCTTAATTGGCCAAAAGCGGCCAAGTTCCTTATTAGGCTTTAGATCGCGACCTGAAAAGCATCAGATTCTACGACTAACAAAGATGTTTCCACAGAATGTGGGCACTGAAGGATTTGGGTAGTAATTCAAGTGAAAAGTAGGTGAATTTTATTGTGTAATTGTACTTTAATTTTTCAACAATTAGCGTCATGAAGTCTAAGCTACCAACGTTTCAGAGTTGTGAAGAACGTTTTGGTAGAAATGTTACACATGATTTATGTTTAATATTAAGACGGTTGCGAATTCTCCAAATAGGGTAAGTACACCAGACACCTTTAAAACATGAGTACGATTTTATGAATCGGCTAACAAACCCAGCAGAAAGTACAGTTTCCAGCGGATTAAAATACAACAGATTCAGCCTAGTCTGTAAAACGTTTTATTGAAAAATAATGGTACAAATTTTTGGTTTTAAATTTGAATATGCCTGTAGGTATTTATAAAACAATAGGCGTATATAAGGAAGTAGGAATAACTGCAACACATCTTAGAGGGATACTCACCTCCCCACCATAAAAACTGGTCATGGAGCGTCCCTTGTCACAACTCCTCTGGTAGTTGATGGGAGGTTCGTGAAGGGAAACTAAATAAAAAAGGCTGAGCTTTGTGATCACACAGAGCAATTCAAAAGCCCTAGGATTTCTTGGTTTAAAATGACATATCATTTCTGCAAATAAGGTAGCCTTCTAAAGTGCATGAGTATTTGAAAAGACAAACACTAACAAGAGTCAGCCTCTGAGAATTGACCGCGTGTATACTTCACAGATTCCGAACGGATTTGCCTCCTCGCTCGTCTCGCCTCTTTACTCTGAAACCAATTAATAGGAAAAACGAAAATGTTACTAAGTTTTGAGGGTTATGACACTTTAGTTACCTAACGATTAATTAAAACGAAACGAATGTTTGTCAATATAAATCAGAAGGATACTTAATATATCGAATTTCTGCTGCAATAGCGCCATTTTTCGATTAAATAAACTGAACAGGGATGCTTCAATACACTTAAAATTTTTCCAAGGGCACATACCACAATCTTCAGTGAAAATGGTAACAAAAACACATACACACGACAGAGCAGTAGCACATCGATGATAGGTGATTGAAAATCATTCGAAGTGGGCGGCATACAAGTGCAAACGAGTAATTTGGACACACAAACAGGCTAACACCGATTGCTTCGTATTTATGGGAATCCGCCAGGAAAAAGCAACAGAACCACTTACAGAAGGCTGCAAGTCTGAAGACTTCGTCTTCTTGAGAACAATTGGCATTGCAGGCAAATCTACGTCGCGAAAGCCATTTGCAGCTGTGGCAGCCAAATTGGGCAAGTCAAGCTCAAAGTCGACTTCTGCATCATCGTCTGCAGTTTCATAATCATCGGTGGGCACTGATGGTCCATCACTAAGCTGTAGATAGATTAAAATGACACCAAATGAATTTGTAACTCGGTTAAGAACAAAATTGGAACAAATAGCGATTCCTCTTAATGAACATTAACACTTGCTAATTAGCTTTTCATTCTGTGAAGTTTGTTCGCTTTAAATAAATACGAAAGCGTTCATGAATAGTGCTGGCCTTACAAAATATGGGTTAGGTGTTTGTTTTTAAGCTACGGTTTAGAAAAAAGACACCAGTTATAAAGCATTGCTTCAATGATTTGCAAAGCGTAAGCAGATACTTGGCTTCCAAATGATGAAATGATTTAAAAGCAAACTTTTATACAAAATTTTATTCAGAAACCAACGTCATTTTTAGTAAAACAAAAAATTTAGCAGTATTTTAGGCCAAAAACAGTCAGAATGGAACTACAAGTTTACAGTCTGCTTAGTGAATAAATTAATAATCAACGAATCAAACTATTACTACAGAAAATGATACAGTGGCAGATCATTTAGAGGATGCGTATATATGGCCTTTTCCAAATTTACCGCCATGTCAGGCTCCCAAATATAAATCTTCTAAACGACTCCGACAACATACATGAAAACAGTCTTACTATTGCCCAAACTGATTACAATGCAAAGTTGCGTTTGTAATTGATTAGGGATGAAAAATTCGTTTTATAAACAAGTAAGCGTTTGGAATAAGAGATGGGTAATTATTGAGCACTACAGGCTACCGACACTCCACTAAGAATTATAAGTCTCTCGTGGCAAACGTAGGTTGCTTTAGGGCAGAGATGAGCTAAACGCACGTGAATGGATAACCGAGAGGGACCAGATGGCCGATATCCGTTGGAGACGATGTGATTGTGTTTCATACTATACAGCATAACCTTCAATTTGTCCTTCGCTATGCAAGCCCGAATGCGAGCTTGACAGCCAATCTTTTGCGAGCGTACACCAACGTGTACAGAGTTGGTATGCTTTGTTTTGCCCGAGTGAATGCAGCCGTAATTGACTCTTTCGTACACCAACCGTTCTCGGTGTTCACTCGAATCGGGTAGCATTCGGGAGGAATATTTCGTAAATTTTGTCCCCGTTACCTAAATTCCGAAAATCTGGATAAATTTCCAGCAATCTTTAACCCTATTAAGAAAAATGGTAATGTGCTTTCGTCCATTAGTGTGATTGATTATTCACACAACGGACAAAATGAACAAATAAAGTAACTTATAAACTAAAATGTTGGTTAACCAGTGGTAAGAAAGATCTTAGCCACAATCAGGGTGACTCAACTTAAAAGCACACCAACAGGGAAATCAACCACTCGATATTAATGAGTACTTGGTGGTCGGTTGGTGACGTTTTCCTAAAAAGACAGTTTATTATAGTAAAATATACTGCAAAACAAGTACTACCACCTGCAAATGTTCACCGTGAAATTCATTTATCAATATGCGAAATGTGGTCCCTAAATCATCTATTGCCAATTCTTCACTTGGTGACCTGAAAGTCAGGTAGCGATTTCCACGAAACACCGGTAAAAGAAAATGTCACACGCAGGTCTGCCGCATATAAGGAGACGTGACGAGGCATCTTCAATAAATGACTCAAAGCGGACAAGAATAAAATACAGAGCCTGGCATTTTACACACAATACACATGTATGCACAACTTTACCCGTTCTAGTTCTCGAATCTTCGCCTCAAATTCTGTGAAACTGTCAAACAGCATCGAGACAAAAGTGCGTTTAAAGGACTCTGTACAATCGACCAACGTAGAGGTGTCTGGAGGATCTGGTGGATGATTGTGTTCCATAGACCAGTGGCGAATATACATGAAGTTGCGTCGGCACCGCACATTGCAACAGGCAGTGCAGTCACGTTTCTTAGCATATGCGCATTTTAAGTCAAGATACTTGTACACAAAACGATCGCGGTTCTTCGTACCCTCATCATAGTAGCTAAACTTTGCATTGACGAACCGATAGCCAAAGGTCTGTAAATTGTAGGTAAATGAACAATAAAGGAAGCTTACATTCGAAAAAAGGGACAAATTATCTTGTAGTTCCTTAAAAGAACCAAAACGCTGAGATGCAATTTTGCTCTCGAACTCGGAAATCGCGTTCATGGTTCAAGCTGAAAATGAATAGACTGTTATTTCGATATGCCCGAAATGTACGATCAACGTCCCAAATATGTGGGCCAAAACGTGGATCCAGAAAGACATTGTGAAACCATATTAATGATACTTTCATGACTGTATCATGTCATAAAATGATACTTGGGCAGAGTTTCTACACTAACATTAAAGTGGGAAAAGCATGGCCAGATGATATCTGAATGCAAAACGGAACACAGGATCTAGTTATTTGTAAGAATAAAAAGGAGAACAACTAACTTCACCGTGTGATCAGGAAAAAATGCTTCATTTCGGTACGATTAAAACAGTAAAATACCCCCCTTATAATCAGAAATAAATAACACCCAGATCACCCCAAAACCACAAATATATTGAACGCACCGATGTAAATATTAAGTACGGCTTAGCCTAGAAATGAATTAAATTCAATAATCATGATGATTTAAGGTAGTGGCAAGTTACAAACTCAGAATCGGAAAATTATCACCAAGTTTCGATGATCACAACTGGGGTCAGTCAAAAACTAGATTTCAATATCCTATAAACACTTAACAGGGTTTAAAGAAGTGAACCACATAAGAATGTAATTACAGGAACAAGGTTGCGTGGTGTAAAGTGTTTTAGTATCAAACGTGTCGGTGATCAAGTCTGAGAAATATTTAGCGATACTTGAGGAAAATATTATTCAACGATTGAGAACAGGGCTAATCGAAAAAGGCACAGATATTATAGAATAAGATTCCATTTCACATAATTAGGTCGCCGGTTCGGCTGCAGGAACCAAGATTATGGATTATGTAAAAATTGAATAAGAACATAGAAAAAACTTTGCTTCAGTATTTGATAAACATACGAAAGTCAATTTCCTTTCGAAATCATATCTTCGGACCAATATGCTTAAAAGACGTAGGTTAAGGAAGAAACTTAAAAGCCTAAGTGCGATGCGCACCTCATAAACTATAATGGACACAGCGCCACATTTCAGAAGCGAATAAGAAATAGGAGATCTACTTAAAAATTTCCACACCACTGAACATAAGGCAAATTCTAAGCCACGTGTGTAGAAGATATAATACGTAAATTTAAAGGGACGTAAAAATCAGAAGGCAAACTAAAGCCTCCTTGCCCAAAAAATGGATTTAACAATTACATAAAATAAACCCATAACGAATATAAATCAAGATTTTAGGCACACAACAAATAATTACGGCAGTTCACGTTAACAAAGCTTGTCAATACATTGGATAATAAATATTACGGAATAACGATGGAGAAACGACATATCAAATATTAGAAAACCGATACTTGTCAACTACCAACAGCATCGATTAAAAATGCGCTACTGCTACCCAAGACTGTACAAATCACACATTGGTCATTGGTCTGATTGGAACCACAACCCGGCTCTAACGAACCAATAAACTAGTCGTTTCATATAATCACATCAAAGTTTGAAATAATGAAGCATTTTCAAAAGAACTGCAGAAATAATGTTCTAAAAAAAGCTCAACTACGTTAAAAATTAAGAGGACGTATTTTACAGAGATAAAAGGTCAATAAGTGGTCATCAAATCTGTTGCTCCTATTACCAAGTTCCAATACACTTAAGGTCAATTTGTATACAGTTGCAGATTACGACCGCGCAGACAAAAAAATTATTCAATAACGAAATTGTTTGAATTCAGCCGATTATTTACCCTAGTTCTTAGAAAAAAATGTTTGCCTGCTGTCAATACTCTTAATGCTAATGGACCTCATGCCAGTACAGAATTCTTATTTATTTCTTTGTGAAGTAGTTTAGAAACGTTTCTGAAAGCCATTTCTTCTCTTTAATTATATTTTTATTTTTTGTTTAATTACATGTTAGGTGTAGTTAAAGCCAGTAGTCTGTTATGGGCCCCATCATTTGGTCTCGAACCACGCCAGAGCCACTGAGTTGCATCTGACCCGAGTACACTTCCCTGCTACTTGTGATGAAGAAGACCGGAGATGATGTGAACATGACCGTTTGCTTCAGCGCTCAGCCAAATTGGTGTCATCGTTCGTGGGGGGTGCTTGTGCGTGTATACATAACTTTGATGTGTGAGTCATAAATGGCCTGACATTGAGACCTAGGTTTTGGGGATAATCTAAGATAATGGTTCGTACTAATGATGATTGAATCGATGATTCGTGTCTGGCGACATGCTGCAAAATGGGGACCATGTGTCGGAGGCTAGAGTGACCGGATTACCGAGTATTAAAAAACGCCATTCACAGCAAGTCATGCGAAACATGCAATTGAGAATAGACAAGGCCAAATTTTAGATTTTCCTTTATAATCCTGTAGTGAATCGCGTTGATTCACATCCAATAAATCTGTCCTCGCAGCTTTCAGCACACCTCCCCCTTGTCACGTGAGACCGCTGGTTAATCACCCCTCTGAATGTACCATCACCGCCACCACTTCCCGCTTTGGTCATGTGACCTCACAAACGCCTGTGTTCATATTTACATGTCCACTCAACTGCACAACACAACTTGGTTGAGCGGTCTAGTAACCGATTGTGCCTTCCCCACTCTGGTCTTCGATATTTTCGCGGGAACGCAGGGTAACGTATTGGGCCTAGTTAATCGCAGTGGCCCCGGCGTGGTTCAAGACAACATGCCAGGGCCCTCAACAATCCCAACAGGATTAATGCAGGTGCTAGCTTCAGTCGTTTGTTTGCCTGCACTTTTAGCATTATTTATTCTGGGACAATCCTAGGTCTTACTTTGTTGTATTTAATTTGAATTGATGATTTGCAGGTATTCTGCTCACCAGAGATCGTCGAAATTTACTCTCCGTCTTCCTAAACACATTGCTGGTATATTAGCACATAGAAAGCTTATCATTAGGTAATTGAAGAGAGTTGCAGGCATACATGTGAGAAATCGTAACAACAGATTGCAGTCCAGCAGCCTTTTCAGAAAGTAAAAACGCAAATCACAAATTCCGAAAACAATTTCAATATTAGCTATAACAGTTTATGTGGTCCCAATTTTATTTAGCAACCGTTACTTAAATGTTTGATTTTGCAGGTCTCTACATTCACAATCAATTGTTACAATTTTCTGATAGAGCTGACGTCAAATTATACTCTCCCTGACTCTGACTGGTACCTCCGATGTAAATAACAATTATAACCAATGTATGGCTTACAATGGTTAAATATAAAGTTGAACTTGTTTAATAAGAGAGAATTTAAATTGCTCTTAAGATGCTTATTACTTAAAAAAATATTTCGAACTAGAGACTGGTCTTTGGTAAAAGTAAATTAGTGTCATTTTGCGTCGTCGTAATTTTAGCTGATCCATTCATGAAACTTTTCTTAACATACAAACAAACACTTTCTCTTTTTGTCATCACTAAGCCTTCACGCTCAATATGAAAAACTTCAGCAACCCTGAAAAAGGTATCTTGATTTTTTTGGTTTAGAGATAATTGTGTTACTTTTATGTCCAACTTTCTATTCCCATCATTTAAATTTGATGAAAAACAGCTACCGGCCCAACGGGCGACACATGCCGAACAATAACTTATTAACAACCTAGATTTTCGCATTGTTGTGTCGGATTCTAAAAGCAGATCTGTCGTAGCTCAAACTAGAGGTGTTACCAGAGAACATTTTGAATTCACTTCAAAACTTCAAATACGAACTACATCGAATGAGGATGGTTCGACAAAATTCAAAGCCCGGAATTCAAGAAGCTCTATTTTTTATATACAATGTAGCTCTTAATTGGGGAATTTGGTCACGATTAGCATATAAAAGAGAGGGTGGACCTAACTCAACACGTCAAGCTGATCAACCCGACAATGCATGGCTTTCGTCATGTTCGACAAAGTTTCGAGGATTCGTTTCATTTAATAAAATCTCTTCTAACTTCTTAATCTGCTGCATTAGCCGCTGACGAAGTTCCATTTTAGCTTGAAGGTTCTCCTGAAAGAAATGACAGAAAGCGTTTTCAGATTCGGTTATAGATAGCGCACGTGAAGAAAATAGGAAAATCTCAACATACCGATCGATTTGCCCTGGCCTCGAGGTCTAATTGAGCCTGGAGTTTACTTTGTTCGTCATTTAGCAGACGAATAGTTTCAGTGTGACTAGCAAAAACGATAGACTATAGATGAATAAATGTAATGACGAATTGAATGCACTCAGGTTTGAGCCAAGGTAAAACTGAAGAATGACTTCCGACCCTACTTTAATTTGTCAAATTAGATTTGAAATACTGGATCAGTGAAGTAGGCGTTATATAGTACTACGACTGAGTTATTTAATAAATTTCTTGTGGAAGAGGTGGAATAATAAAGAATGTGCACCAAAGATTCAAAATTTTAGTGCACTTTAGAAGGATGAATATAGTAGGTCGAAACTAGGCCCTAACCAATTAAGACGAAATCCAAGTTATTTAGAATGCAAAAATACCGATTCTCGAGGTCTGAGAGGATGACGTCCCTAAGTTCTGATTCCTTTTGTCTGGCTTCGCGTTTTAAACTCCGCTCTTCATTCTTCCACTGCCGCTCATGGTTTAGGGCAGTTTTAAACACTTTCACAAACATCTAAGATAAAACGTACTAATAAAAACAAACCGAATCATAACGGCTCCGTAGGAATATCTAGGATGACAATACTCGGTATAAAGACAATTATAATTACTTTGCGAATAAGGCATTCAGTGATTCATTGGTGTGAAAACGATAGCAACATTTCGACATTAAACAACGTATTTGACAGTTTGTACAGATTTCATTTCCCCAACGAGATTTAAAGTTAGTCAACAAACCATAATAACAAAAAAAATTGCACATTAGATTCGTCAACAAGTATGATTTAATTAAACTAAGCATTGTGGCATAGGCTGCCTGCCTAGCCATTGATGTGAGCTCATCCTAGAGAAATCAAATAACGATTTCCTCATTTTTTCGGGTTTTTAATGGCGACCAAAGTTTTGCTAAGGGGTAAGTAGACAAAGCGTTTTGTGGAAACCAAAAACTATTTAAATAACGTTGCGGTAAAGTGTAATAATCGACCACTAACCCTCTCGTCTTCCGCCTTTTGTGCTAATTTCAGACATTTTAACTGTTCTACTTGCTGTTGATAGTGGTGGCGAGCAAGAACCTCTTGGCGCTTCCGCTCCTTCAAATCAAAGGCCAGTCGATGCTCAAAAAGCTGAGTGTCTCGGAGACAACGTATTCGTTCTGCGTGCTCAGTCTGACGCTTGATTAGGTCCAGACGCTTCTGCTGCCGCTCAATGACTTCTGATAATTTGCGCGACAACCTACTTTCCTCCATGCTGTGCCGTTCGGGCCTTCGTCGGTTGCCGCCATAGAACAATTCTAAAGAGCACAGCAAAATTCCATTAATTTTGGCGCTTATATCAATAAACAAGACGAACCTTCTATTCGATCTTGACATACACAAAATGACAGCATAGCAAGTAGCTGCTAGAGTAAACAATACTAAAATCCTTAAAGAGTGAACTGGACTTTTGTCATTTCTTCATGAAACCAACTCCGTCAGGAAGGGTCACAAGCTTTGATCATGAATGATACTAGCAATTTAACTCTGCCAAAAGAAAACACGACGATGCCAAAGAAGAGAGCCATTAGAAAAGGAAAGGGCAAAAGAAATAATAAGTATATGAACAAGCAAGAAGCGAATCCACGTGTGATTTAACGTAATTTTTCGTTAATTTGACGTTCGGAAAGGCCACTCGATTCAGCAGATGACGGATCTTTGGATAATGACAACTGCAAGTATTAGTATGAACAATGTTATCCTAAGGGCGTTGGATAACAAAGTCCTTGCCCCGCATCATTTGTAAATGATGCGATGTCAGTGAAACATAGAAGCATATGAAGCCAATTCGGCTGCATTCGACCACAGCACGTGCTGGGGATGTCATCTGGACGAGACACAAAGACAGCACTGCCACCGAAGACAAGAGGAGTGTGGACGGAAATGTACTGGTTCCCAAATTAACGAAACTAAGATCGCGATACAACTTTGGAGGTGACAGTAAAACAAGCTGTGTGATCAAGCAAAAACCATGCTCACTACAAAGCGATTAATACGTGCCAACGAAATAAGTGGAAGTTAAAATGTAGATTTAACTTTGAAGTATAATCAAGTAGTTTAAAGAAAACATTTTAAGGACGAGAAATTGATATGGGTTTTGTGAACAAAATGAGCACTTCTCTGTATTTATTAGGCTTACAAATTACACTCTTTGATGGTACTCCACAAAAATACGTCTGAGTTCGTATCCTATTGGAAAGGAAGGAGAGGTTGACAGTGGAATGAAGCAATAATTGGTTAGTACGAAAGCACTTCTTCGTAGAGGACGACTAATTACCGCCATTGTCATTACTACCAATGCTTCAAAAGACGTGGCTTTAATAGTTTGAGAACTTGACTCGGCAGGACCACAAAAAAGAGGTTACCGGATTGTACTGAGTGTCGAAGTTACCATAATTTAAGATCAGAAGAGTACCAAAGAAAAAATAAGTACTACTTATTACCATGCTGTCCCCATTTTAATTCATGTGGTCTGAGACTTTTTTGCCTTCTTATGGGATAAAGCGAAGACCGTAAAAACATGCTCGGGAACCCTAATTAAAAAACTTAATGTCAGTAAACATGAATATCATGTTTTCGTCCCCATATTTCATTGTTCGACATGTTTACATGTTTAGAGATTTAGAAAATAGAAATGTGATGGAATCGCACTTAAAGATGAAATCTTCTCCAGTAAAAACACGTTAATTAAAACGGACAAATACCAATCGCTTGTAATTCATGTCCTTAAATATTTGGCAAAGAAACTAAAAGTAATTCCAGACAGATTTACGCAATTTAGTCCTAACGTAGTTTCCTGTTTCCCTAGAGAGTTCTATGCCCTCAAAGTGCTTCAAAAGGGCCTCAAGGAATGCATCACCATCTCGACGAGGGAGCTTTGATAGTGGCACAATCTGGGACCACCGGGAACGTCGTTGACTGTCGTAAGAGTAGAGAGATAAGGCATGCGGCGTGATTCGTCGCGACTCTTCACAGCTTAGACGGTGGCTGAGCGGCTTTTCAACCATTCGAATGATGGAACGAGAGAGCCGACGTGAACGGGACAAGCATTGATCCATCAATGTTGATGCTTTTTCTGGTGGCTCTTCAGGAGGAACATCAGCCTAAGGAACGAAAACAACTAAAACCAATCAAAGCCATTAAATTTGGAATCAATATAAGATGTATGTCTGATGAACCGGTACATGTAAATATTACATGATATGATGAAATCTGTGCGCACAAGCACACAGTATGAGACGATGTTCATGCTAGTTTTTGTGGCCATTACTTGCATTAAAACGCAGATTGGGCATAAACAGGTAGTAATCTATGGGTTAAATAGAGCTCAGGTATAGTTACCAAAAGTCAACCAACTTGATGAGACGTGGTCGCACCGAACGGCTCACCCTGGTAACAGTTGTGGTGGGTCGGTGTAGGGAGGTTAGTTAACTACTTTACACAAATTTGTAGACGCTTGTGTGTATTAGATTCAGACCACTATTGGATACCCTTTGCCTTTATCAGCCAGGCATGTGCTACAGCTTATAGGTTCTCAAATGACCACTATCCAATAAATCAGATAGTCAACGCCATTCTGCGACGACAAATTCACACTTTTTACAGCTTCTGCACAATTTAAACGGTGCATTTACTTTTCATATTAATGAAAGACTCACAAACTTCACATGAGGGCAAGAGACGTCAGGTGCATCAGATGGTTCGCAAGGCACTGATCCCTTGGAAAAAGTCTCACCATTGCCTGACTGATACATTTCGAAAAGCTTACATTGAAGATACTGCAAACGACTTTGATTCAAATCCATAACTGTTGAGTCCTGAGGTAACGTAACTGAAGCACTAGGATCCCTTTGATCACGATGACCAGATACGAATCTGAACGGAATGGAACTGTAATGGCAGAATAATTTATGAATTGGAGACCGTTACATACTTAGAAACGAATTTTATCTTTTTTCTTACTGACGTCTGGTTCACGCTAACATCACTTCGTATTTGGATTCTTTGGAAAATATTAACTAATAACTAAGTAGCCATCGTTTAGGGTGCAACAATCTAGAAGTTTATTTTTTTTCCTTTACTGATGAGTAATGTCTCATAAACTGTTATTAGCTACAGAAAAATCCGATTTTACATGAAAACCAAGACATCAGTCAACACAAGCACCTTCAACAGATGTTTCATCAGTTAGCAACCGAAGCGTCTGTTAACGCTTTCTTATTCCAGAAGACTATCAGGATTGTGTACTGCTGGAATTGCATCTACTGAAAGATTTATAGACTCCATATTGAAACAGAATGAGATTAAAGATAAAAATGGCGGCAAACAAATCAACTTGATTTTGTTTCTGTATACATATGTATTTCTTGACCAATGTAGAAAAAAATTATTTTTAAATAGTATTAAAGGAACAATCTTGGGTTGACAGATGTGTGTATTTAAATTTAATCACTTAGATTTATTTTGGCATGATTCGTGCAATTACAGGCCAAACTAATGTTTCGAATATATTAGCTGGACACAGAGGATACCAAAAGCGCATTCTGTTATGTAAGGTAACGAGAACACTTAAATAACGGAACACAGTAAAAGTAATAGCAAGATTAAGCCAGTCTGTTGCTGCAAATTATTACACAACTCTTGCTCGGAAGAGAGAAAAGGAGTAAAGTAAAAAAAGTAACTCACAAGCAACAATAAATTACGGCTAAATTTATTGGCTCATTAGGGAAAAAACCATGGAATTAATGGATAACGATGCCTATGGCAAACGCAGAATAACATTTTCGCCCTAATACAATTTAGATAAACTTGATTTTATAATTATAGGTTTGTGATTGTGTGTTTACATTCACTGTAAGCCATCTTTATCAATAATGAATATGGAATTCAAAATCGTTCTTGCCGATTTCTGTCCCAATTATCGTAAATTTGTACGTGCACGTCAGTATTTTCTATTGTACGACAAATGTCTGGCTAAAAAGTCCAGCAATGCATTACATTGTCCAGAAGAGCTTAATCTACCTAAGAAGGCTAGCAGACTTAAGGTCAACGAGAAAAGCAGCGCCGAACAAAACGAGAGTTTGGCGATACCTCTGACATGAAGGCTCTATTTCAACAATTAAGAAACCTGAGATGGGATAAAAAATCACCTTTATGGTGCGGATGCGCTATGGCAACGACCATACAGAGGTAAATACGGTACAAAACATAAAGAGTCCCTTTTAAAATAGCTGCTTAATTTTGGTCCAGTTTATCTAGTTGAACAAACTATGTGCTCGCCCATTATTGGAGTGTCACAAAAATATATCTTATTCTCGTTCTTCACTACCGAATTCCATATTGAAATCAAAATACGATGCGGAGTGCGCAGGATATATCATGAAAAACAAATTTCAATGAACTATGCATCATTTTTTTCTAGTGAAATACGAACTGTATGGATCAAATTATGTGAATTGAGTTTCAATTTTCGCCAATCAAACAAAAAAAAATTACTCGACAAAGAATACACAAGCCAACTAACCTTTTCGAGGACTCGGAATGTACGGATTGAGAATCTCCGAAAGCGCCTGGATTCAAACAAAGATCGAGTAATTCCAGAATATCGTTTACGCTTGCTGGATCATAGAGCACCAAGGCATCTAAACTAATGTGGTCAAGCGAGACGTTAAGTGAATTTGATAGCCACTGGAGTATGTACTGGAAGCGCTTATTCACAAATTGTGTAGAGGGAACTGTTTAAATTGAGTTGACAATTACTAAAGAAATTACCGTAGTTTGGTACAATACAGCCAAAGACAGCTTCGATGAAGTTTATATCCAAATCTTCGTAAGTTGATAAGTCAAAATCCAATCCGAGTTTGCTTTTTAAGTAAACTGCAAACTCAAATACCCCGGAAGAATCAAGACCATCGGGCATGGGGACGAAACCTTAAAGGCGACTTTCAAGCACATTTGTTTTTACGATCACTTAATAAAAATACAATTTACTGCAACACAACAAGGGTCAACGTGAATTGGTCTTTGTAACTTAAGATCTAAATGGGCCAAAATTTGATTTTTTTAGCTTTTGCGAATTTATTTTGTTTCATTTATTGTTCACTACAAATTGAAGTCAGTAAATAAATTTACTTTCCCACTGCTGGAAATACGGTTCTCGGTTTTCCTAATTTACTGAGAGCCCAAAATTCACTGACAAAGTCTTGCACAGGTTTTGTTGAACTATACATTATGCAACCCTGGTTGCCACAGTAACGATACATGTGAGACTCCAGGTAGATTTTTAATTCTTAGAATTAATTACTGTTCCTAGAAACTGTGTGATCGAGATACGCACTGACCACAAAAGGTTCCCCAAGATTTTCAACCCACAACTCGATTACGGCCACCATCTGCACTAGTGTGCTCACATAAACCGTGTTTTAACACAGGCCGATTCACTGTAACGCTCCCGATAGTTATTCCATTCAAATATTAGTTTGCAGAACCCATCCCCAAATAAGCACCAAGGCCTTTTAACTACTGAGGATCCAAGTGCAGTAAATAATAGTAACACCATTGGGTAATTATCTGCACTGTCAGGAAACATAAAATGACAAAAAAATTAAGATGACACTGAGAGGGTACGTAGCATAGAAATAGGTCGAGACAAAGACAACTGATACGCGCACTTGTGAAACAGTAGATCGTGTCATAAATGCGATGATGGCCTGGAAAACCACTTTATGAGTTGAGATACAGTGATGATGTTGCGGGAGAAGCACGGGGAGGGGGTGGAGGCTTTACGAGACCAGGTGCAGACTGCAAAATGGATGGCAGTGGTTGGGGAACAACGAGCGGTGCCGGATCATGATCGTCCTCATCTTCCGTACTAGTACCACTTGAGCTGCTTCTGTTTCGAACTCCACTCTTGTGAGTTGGAGGTGTCGCCTGCTGTTGACCACCAGAAGCAGGATCCATTTTCTGTGGGGCCGACTGAGAAATTTGTTGGGCGCCACGAAAACCAGGCGCGTTTCCAGAATGGAAGGGACTTGGACCATTAACATTACCACTGATATCTATTTTATCGGTTGTGGTAAGGGTATTTTCGGTAGCACTTTCACAAGAACTGCTACTACTGCTGCTACCTGAAGACATCACTATAAAAAAATACAAGAATATTAAACCAAATCATCGATTGGGTCTTCTGAAACTGTTACTATGACACCTATTAATGTCTCTAAAGCAAATACAGAACATCTTATGGAGGAACACAGATAATGCTAATAAAGGTAATATTTTTCTGTAAAAAGTATAATAAAGTGTATTTTATGTAAAAAGGTTCAAAACATCTGCTTGTACCTTAACATGGGCAGGCAATTATGACTGAAAAAAAAGTAAAAGGAAAATAAAACAAGACAGCGAAACAACTTTGGACACAACAAGTTAACAGAAGGTGGGTGCCATTTGAAAACCGAAAATAACAACACAAGTATGAACAGCAACGCCCGGGGCTGAACCCTCACAGGATGAATTTCAACCCCCATACGATACCTTCCTGCCACATCCAAAGTTGCACCTCGATCTTAGTTTTGTTAAGTTGGGAACCAGTACATTTCCATCCACATGGATCTAATCTGCATAACCTAGAAAAGTGAAAATTCCGCCTTCTGCCGATGATGTTCATGCTTCCGTTATTATTCATAACTCGCTGTTTGGCAATAAACAAGTGTAAACAAAACTAAAAATTTTCTACAAAACGAAAATACAAAAATGGTAGAAAAACGCACCCAACGCTGGTTTAGACTGAAAGCATATTTGATTGTGGATGTTTTAGGGGGATGTCAATACCATATTTGTGGTGCCGTACAATAATTAATGTCAACCGTTTCATAGAAAGACTATGTTTCGGATATTAGCGGCTCACATTGAATGGTTTTAAGTGACAGTAAATGTGATTGTGAACTTGCAGTTTTTTTTCGTCACTGATACTACGCATATGCGAGATAGAAAACAGACCTCGACTAGTGAAAATGGATGGGAGTGACAAACTAACTTTGCTGTAAAGGCATGTCCATTAGACCGCTATTTGAAAGCCTATATCCATTCTGGCCGGGATGGAAGACAGAGGAGGAGGGGAGAGCACCACCGAACTGGGCGCCACTGCTAACCGGGACAGCCTGTTGTTGGGGCGGCTGCTGCTGGGTTGTGATGGCGACGGGGGCCCCCCCACCCCCGCCAGCAGTGAGGCTTGTGCTGGCTGTGCTGTGACTCCAGTTCTGTTGGGCAGCTGCCAGGGCGCCAATTTCACTTACGCTGTCTACTTCTTCAAGGCTGAGAGACGAGAAGTCTAAAAAATGACATCAAAGGGCGTTAGATAAGAAAAGTAATGTATTAATGGTGTGTGTTGGGGCAACTTACTTCCAGTTATGTCGCCGAAGACGTAGTAGCACTGTTCAGAAAACGTCGATTTGTTAACTGTGTGCCGAATGAGACCGAATTTCAGAAGATTCGCTGCGTATTTCCGGCTATCACGTCTGTCTGGGAAGCCCTCTACATTCCGGTAGAGCCAATCGACGAGATCAGAACCTAAGATCAAAAAAATCGCGACGAGAAAAAAAAATACACAGGTTTAAGGCGAGCGTCTTTAAGCAAAAACGTAGCGCCCCAATTAGCTTACAGGAAGCGAATCCTAACCGCGAAATGGACGAATGAGAAGCGGAAAAGACGGTAATGGTTTAAGTTAACAAAGCATTTACCTATAAAGGCGTTGGGAAGAGTAATTTTGAGCCATACGCGGTCTCGGACGTCCAAACCAGAGTCAGGATGCATCATAGCTTGAATGACAGTTTTGACGTCGGTTGCCACTGTCAGGGGCTCTGTGGGAAGACCGAATCGGTCGGTCTCGGGTAAGGAGCTTGACAGCGTCACGACGCTTTGTGAGCTCTAAAACGCATGGATTTTTAAAAAAAAAACAGGATTACCTTCGTAGTAGAATTCGTCACCTCCAAAGTATGTTTTACTAATAATACACTTAAAAGCAATAAAGCCCTTTTATGTGGGTTTCACGACTATCCTTTAGTATGACACAAACCCCAAATACACGACAGGTTAGATTAAGCCCGAGCATCATAAAGACGACGATGCCTCTATGTTCCATTAGGGTCTCCTGGTTACGATGACTCACCTGATTTGGGAAGCCAGACAACATGCATGAGGAGGCCTGCGGTGGTGGCCGGTACACAGGAAGGATGGATTGCTGCTGTTGAGGCTGCTTCTGTTGATGTTGCTGGGTAAGCATCGCGGCTATATTGTACCCCTGAGAGCTACTTGAAGCGGCCGCAGCACCCACCCTTCGGTTTCCGAGGGTGGAAACTGAGTCCTCACCGGAAGATGTAGAGGAGCCTGAGCCCGCGTTGCCGTTGGTTCGCGTCAGGTCTGGCTGGTTGCCAGTGGCAGCCGTCATGGCGTTCGTGTGAAGCACCCACGCCCGAGGGTCGATTGGACGGACGGGTTCTTGTCGAGGGATGGTGAAGTAACCACCACGAGGGTTAGCGTCCCAGCACTTTGCCACGACTAACGTTATTGGGCTGTAAACAGAGACATAGTAACTTGATGGGATTTAGGCAGGTATACAGGGAGCTCTGCATCATGGCAATGCTCAAAAATTTTATTGAAACACAAATATATATTAAAAAAACAATTAATTTACAAAAGGGCGACAGTATGAAGAGACCGGACAATGATAAGGCCATCATTATAAAGGGAAACGGAAAGCAGACATGGGAAAAATCGCGATAGATGCTGTCAAATGGCAAAAATGAGTCGGTGTGGGACTAGACCAAAGCAATTTCAACCATAGTCCAAAGCACAATAAGATGTTGTCAGGATTAATTTTACCCAAGTGCTATTCGAATGACAGAAATGACGATACATTATAAATGACTGTTATAGCTATATTAGCACACAATCCAGCAGGCCAAACGATGAAAAACGTCTCTGCTCATCAAATAAATGCTCTAACAAAGACCACAACCACCTGGAATTGAAGAGAACATTCCTAACCGGTTAAAATCCGGTCGTATTTTGAGTATTCCTTTTCACACCAGTCCTGGTTATGAAAAGGCACAAACATCCCAACCCCCATTATAATTAAAAGAGCCTTTGCGACTTCCTATAAGATGGCGCAAGATAGAAGAAAGCAAACAGAAGAACTTGAAGCGTTGCTTGCCACCATTATTCAGGCCAACCAGTGAGGTATATGCACAATTAAATTTGGAATTGATTACGGCTTCAATATTGTAGCTCAGACCTAAGGACCAAACCCAACAACGTTATACGAACTAAAAGACTCAACCATTCCACCGTTATTACTAACTTAACACAACGTAAGTTGAGTAAAATAGTGACAATCTCAGCGTTCGACAACTTTTTATCTGAAAAAGTGACTGGTACTTGGTGAAAAATACGTAATCGACTTCGAAAGAGGTATTACAGACACGATGCAGACTTACCAAATTAGCAAACAAAGAAAAATGAGAAAATCAGATCCAGGTTTAATTAATGTGTAAAGGGGCATAAAGAGTGCAAATTACATATTGTTTACATTATTTACAATGATATAATACAGTGGTATTTCCCAGAGAAATATAAAATAATCAAAGCACTAAGACTACTACATACGAACTCTCAAGATAAACACTTTCGAGGTCAAAACACCAAGTTAAATGCCATAAAGTTCTCGTTTCCACTTTTCTAAACCATCCAAAGTTCACAACAGCACAGTCAGGCGTTTATAAGTACTCGTGTTCACTTTAGCAACTCGTTATTTTCGAGACTGACAGCCCACGCATGCGCGACACGGATCACACATTCCACTTTTGGCTGAAACGGATAAATTACAAAAAGGCCAAACGATTCCCATTAGCGTCCAGCTCACGCAAAGTACCCTCACGACACCTCGCAACAAAGACCTCCTCTGCCCAACACTCCGGCGAATGTCAATACCGCTACTTCTTCTCTTTTGAAGAAAGGCGCATCGCACATAGCTGACCTTTAGCATTTGAATGTCTAGCACACTAGCAAACTTGCACACACCTTTAAACACAAATTGTACGAAGGAAATCGTTGCGAACGTAAGGCACCAGCCTTCATTGCACACACAACCGACCGAAACTGGGGAAAAGGGATGTATGGTCAAAATCTCCTTGACATTTACAAACAAAAAGGACGTACGATAGTCCAATATACAACAAACAACCATCTAAACGACTTGCTTTGCAAAAGCAAACGCCCTGCATTTTTTCCAGGCATTTCGATCCAACGACATCCTGCGACGAACGCAAACTAACCAACTTCAAACTCCACGTTGCCCACACACCAACTGGGCTCACGGAGTTGCCTCACTACGCCTTCATTGCTACAGACAAAGACTGACTTCCCGCACTTTACCCAGACACTTGCGCGACGGCGCACAACAGAACCCTCCACATCGCCCAAGTCCATACCTCAACTGCTGCAGTTATCAACACAACACAACACAACCTCACAGAAAGCATTACCTCACCTGCTCATGGCCCCATTCCCTCTCCCCCTACCCCTACCTTATCCATGTGGTAAAAAATAAAAAACCCATCCTAACCAAGCCACTAACAAATGCTCTTTTCGGGTGCAAGTGGCACTGGCAGTTCACTACTAACGCCTGCACATGTTGGCATTCTAACCGTTATGCAGTTAGGCCCACGGCAGTTCCGACAGTGCTGCGTGCAGCAAAAACGGGCATGTACTCTTCCGCATTCGCAAGCAAACATGCAACAAAATAATGCCTCTCTTTATACCAACCCAAACGCCTAAACACTAATTGAGTCTCCTACACCTCCACATCAATCCTGCTTTGCACCCGATAGAGACCTCGCTTCCCCACATCTCATCTCATCCCTAGCTCACAACGTCAGCATTACGGACAGATTCGCGGCATTGCCAAATACCACAACTGTGCAGCGCCTACCTTCAGACCATCTTTTGCACTCGCGTGCTATTCAAGACCTACCACGAACCACTACGGTCAGTAAAAATGGACTGAATGTGGAATTTTGCTGCCTTCAAATTCCCACACACAAAGCACGTCTTTTTGGAGATGCCAAAGACTTCCAACTTGTGTTTCAATGGCGTACATGAGTATAAACACCCAATGTTACAGATCTAAGAGGCACGTGCACATTTGGCGACCCAGCGATAAGATTGACAGACCCTATTTTGAGCCGCAGGTGCATGTGGCTGGTTTTACTATATTGGCTAACATAATGTGCAGTATTTTAAACTAGCTGGTTAAGGTGAGGAGGATAATAATGCTGACAAAATCGTATTCTCTAGAGATCATGTCAGGATATGCTGAAATTAACAATACGCCCAATATTATTCTAAAAGATAATTTATCTCAGCAAAACCAATTTTCGAACTATTCACTGGACTACGCACAGGGTTAATGCAGGGGTATCAGACATCCATCTGGAACATAGCTATGAGAAAAGGACACTATTCAGTGGATAAGTATACAACTGATTAACCAGCACGATTTGCATGTTCCATTTGTAATAGTCCAAAGCATTAATTTTTATGAGAATTTACGCTTCTCTTGAGGTATCCATAGTTGCTTGAGTGAGGTTATTTAACTATAATCGAAACATACAAATGAAAGATTCCACATACTAAGCGGTGTGCAATACCACTTTGCTCGCTGCATCTACCCAAGTTGTCAGATTCTAAACCAATACTGCTCACTTCGGTGTCATGAATCGGAACCACAATAATGAGAGCAAAAGATATCAAGTAAGTGATTTGAATTCACAAAAAGTCGTGGGTGATAGCAGGAAACCTATTACTGCTACTATTTAGGTTCTAAATCACGGGCTTCGCCTGGTTTTCTACCAGGTGATCTCGAGTTTAGGTTCGTCCAGTTTCCGATACGGAGATTAATTTAGCTTGTCGTTCGTGTGGGCTGGTACGTCAAGCCAAGGCTCCGACTCACAAGTCGACGTAAGCGATGAACACAAGTCTTCGGACAATTAACATGCGGCGGACATCTGGAACCACGTTTATGCAGATTGACCGAAACAACCGAAATTAACTCTTCCCAAGGTCAAATCAACTGTCATCTTTTTAAGGTGATTTCAATACCTTTCATCATACCTCTGTGAAAACATAATTTTCCTACTCGAAAACTTTTTAACTCAATTACCTAAACTCCCGCTGGGCTGTCACGGGTAATGGACAGGAAAGACGACACGTTAAATTACTTGAATCAAAGATTTTTTTGATGCAATCATTACTTGGAAAAAAAACCGTTGAACATGAAGAACAAGTTAGGGGAAAATGAGTACACAGGAATGGAAACTGAATAGGCTTATTCAATTCTTCAAGTTCTTGAACGAGCTTATGAGTTTTTTTCTGTATTGCAATATACATTCTTTTGTATTTCACATGCTTTAGGGCTAGATTTTCGATTTTAGGCAGTTTATTTTAAAGGGAACTCAGGTTTTCGAGAGAGAATTTTAGACGCAGCTAAAATTTACAAACTAAAACGAAATATTTTAGATACGTTGACAAAAAATGCAAAATATGGGGAAAAGATGGCAGGTAAAGTTTGTTGCAGAGTTTAAACTTGTACAACGGTGAAAAAGGATATTGCATTATTTACATTAAAGCCTAACGACTTATAGAGATTAATAGATAAAATAGTAAATGACGAACGATATTTACTGAAACATACATGAAAAAGATTCCGTATTCACCAAACACTCCACCGAAAAAGTGTTTTCTTGCTAACAAAAGCGTGATCCAGAAAGCGGACACGAATCGTTGGCAGTAAGCACTTTTGTAATTTCGGGAAATTACTTTACGGGAAAGAAAGGCATATTCGACACGTAACGTTCTAATCTGCCACGGTTTTTACTGACAGAAACCATTTTTGTCAAATTTTACCATTAGTTCTGATCTTTAAACAGAGGAGAGTCTGATTATAACAAAACTTTTCATTACAGAAAACAATTTGCATCGCAGTTAAGACAATGCTACTCATTTGATTCCTAACACTTCCATTACTACAGCGTTAGTTTTTAACACACTTACAGGTTACAATTGGTTCCATTTTGAGTTTCGTACGGCATTCCCTAGAAAATTTCCATTGTAGTTTCATAATTAATAGATTATTTGCATTATATTAGTGGGATCTTGTGGACCTTTCATAATTTAGTCGCTAATTTATTTTACGTAACCCATGCTAAGTACAATAACCCTTTACTTGTGCTTCAACCCTTTGGACATTCAAAATCAACATTACAGAGAATGCAGCAAAAAAAGTTAAAAAAAAATCGAAATTAAAATTTACAAGAAATGGGCGACATAGAACTTCTGCAATTTTCAAAGGAAACGTCGTTTCGTTTTTTGTACTAATTGCCTAATTAAAGGCCAAATAATTAGTCGAAGTAAGAACCAGTGTGAATAAAATATACGTGAAAGTCGAAGAGCTTACGCCGTCATAGTAGTTAAAAAATTCCATACAAGGAACCCGAAAAATTAGTCACCTCTCCAGACCTTAGCAGCAAAACAAATACATGAGGCACGAATAGTACTCTAATTTACAAATCTACTAATGCACCACGACTAAATTTAACTCAGCCCTTAATACAAATATATTCAAGATCCCATCGTTAATCCTAGTGGGGATTATATAACGTTTTTAGTTTTAGTGATGTCCATTGACTTGCCTACTGATTATTGCTTAGATACATATCAGATATAGCCCTCTTTTATGGTAAACTAACCAAATCTCAACTAGTATGACGTGTATTTAAATAATCCACGTGCCAGCTCTAAGAGTTGGTGTAAACCATGACAAAGGGACTTGCGTATCTGACTAAGCGTTTATTTTTAGAGCGTATAAAGTAATTATGAACCAGGGACAACCACTTTTGTATGATAGTTACTAAATTCTCTGACTGACCGAAGTGAAGCCACATGAGAGGGTGCAAGCAGCAAACGGTGACCATGAGGTGACAAAGACAAAACACCACAAGACGCTGGTATTGATGTGGATACAAGCACAACTGAATTAACAGGACATTTTTGTCACAGATTAGATAAAGTTAACCGACATAAACTACAATAATAAAACACAAACATAAGTTTCTCATCAAAAACTGGAGAAAAAATTGATATTACAATAGCCAGTAAACAAAATAGAAAGGGGAATAGTGTCGAAAAACGTACCATGTTTGTAGTCATGGAAACTGCGTAGGGGTGCGATGTGATCTAAAACAACGAAAGGCATTACAGGACATAATTGAACGAGTAAAAAGCAGAAAACACTATATGGGTTTAATGGAATGGCGGCAAACGGACTACACAAACTGACGAGACGTGAATCAAATGAAAACGGAGGTTTGGATGGCCATTTCATCCATTGGTAGCAAAACGTCAACGAATTTTGCACCATTTATGGCATGATTTGCCACCAGGGTGGGTCGAAACTTAATGACTAAACTGAGTGGGACAAAGGTCCTTTGATCTATCATGGGATCTAAAAGCAGGTGTTCTTGCATGATATTTTCCCCATCTTCTTAGTTTGCTTACGATACATCAAACAGGATATTGCGACCAGTATTGAGTAGTTACACTAAAAATTTTAGTAGGGTCAAACGCGGATGACGGAATTAAGCAGTCAAAATAAGCAAAGGGTTGCTGAACTTAGTTCATAAACTAAACAATTAAGTAGAGTTGTAGAGTTAAAAAGTAACAACCTTGACCACCGCTTTGAACAGATTCAGTATCTTCGGTGCAGGTGTCACATTCAGTAGTAGGCTTTTTAGTAGTCCCATTAATCTTCTTTTCGCTGAACCGTCCCTTGTCTACAGGCTGTCTAGAAGCAAAAAATGTAGTCATAAGCAACTAATAAAATGCGATTCCGAACCAAATTTTGTGATTCCACCACAACCAAGATTGAATGTATTTTCAATACAACCGAATGAGGCCGATTGGATAAGTAGCAGGCAGTTATAAAGACCCGTTCACATGTAGCTCAGATGATCACCCTTTAAGTGAGTTTCAAGAATCGATAAACTACCGTTAATTATATTAGTGTATTCATACCAGACAGATTAAGGCACCAACTTGGAAACAGCAGACGATCGACTAGATCTGATCAGATGTGTTTAAAGTATGGTAAGTGGCAACACAATAAACGACCTCAGAAAACAATGTGTGGAAATATTAAAGTCAAGCCACGTTGATTGACATATGAACAATGAGCCTAAAACATTACTGTAATGAGTTTGGCATTTGAAACACGTGGTTCAATTTCCAAAGTTGACGTCTGGCAAACGAAATTCGACTTAGCCAAAACAGTGGCATGGTATTACCTCGAAAATAGCAAATGATGATAATCTTACGTTCCGTCGCCAATCTGAGCCCCAGCAAGAGCCGCCAACTTGGCAGCATTCAGTCCTGAACCACCTTCAGAGCTTCCGGTGCAATTGTCGGCAGACACCAGCTAGAAGCGAACAGACCAATGGGAAGCGGTTTACGACATAAACAATATGGTTTAACATAACCTTTGCTACAGCCTGTAACCCAAGGGAAATATACGGGTGGTTTCTAGGCTACACAAGACAAACTAAATCGAAATCCGCAGATCTTAATTTGGCTACAAACTACCAAGGGGACAGTAAATACAGAGAAGTAATTTTAATTTTTGCTAAGCTTAAGAGAAACTGCTAAATAATTAATCTTCTTATCATCGTATGAAAAACAATTCACAATGGAAACAATAACAGAGTGAATAACGTAGGAGCAGCTGAAATTGAGAATTTTATGACACATGCAGTAGTAAAAGTGAATTTGTGGATACAAGTACCAGATAAGTTACCGCTAAATGTTACAGTAGATAGACGTCCAGGCTCAAAATTTAATGATTTGATAATAAGTGATAAACGAGAATCAACTTTAAGTATAGCGAAATATGTGATTAAAACAATTGCTAAGACTACCAGCGAAATATCAGAGGTGGAACCAAACGTACCCATGAAATAACGCGACCATTGAAACACGGAAGCTTAGCAGAGTCCTCGGTGATCTCTTCTTTCACAACACTACAGTGTGATAGAACCAATGATGCTACAGAGCATTAACGTATTCAAGTTGTAGCTTGGAAACAAATAATAGTGAGATTCTAGAGTGATGAGCAGTCTAGTCCTTGTTCTATAGTGTGCCGTAAGCAATTGCGTGAAAAAGAAACAATGCACCAGGCAACGAGTATTACCAGAGGAGAAACCCCCTCAAGTAGCTATTTTAATAAAAAACATTTTAATACTAGGTAAAAATTCGGTAACGTTAGCGACATCAGGAACAAAAAAACTGTCCTCGATTGATATATTTGGCAAAAGCTAGGTATTACAAAACTAAGAAGTTACGAATAAACAGTCACAATAAGTACATAACTAAACTTCTAGGTAATGTGCGGCATCCCAAGATGACCTAACGTTACGACTACGAATGTGCAGACACTTTTTAGTCGATGTCGGATGACTTAAATGTTGCTTAATTGTTGGAGAAGGTTATACAGCAATTTGAAGCCAATATTATCTTGGCCAACTGTACATTTGAGGGAATTTTTCTGAAGATGTAGACAAATGAATGCTAAAGCTTCACAAATAATGAGGGGAAAAGTGTACGTAATGCCATAAGTGACAGTTATTCAGTAAATCACATCGCGATGGATATTGAACATTAACAACAAAAGACCATGCATTGGCTAAAATTGATGCTATTCAAAGCAAAGAAATCAAACGCGGTACAGTGATATTTAGTCCAGATTGGAAAGTGACCGATTTCTAAAGAAAATTGGATCGTATTAGGAGAAACGTATTCTATTCAACATTCCACAACTGGAAAATGGTAGACAGGTTAAAACCAAGTCGACGCCAAGGGACTCACCGCATGGTTCGATTGTACGGGAACAACACACCAAGATTCGACTCCAGAATATTAAAGTAAAAAGCTTAAAAAATTGTGGAAAATTCTGTTGATTGAATAATTTGAGAACTTGTGAAAGCTATTGTGAGAATTTAGTTTATATTAAAAGGATATCTGGAGGATATTCTTGTCTAGCAACGTTTCCGGCTTAATACACATTCAGCATCAGCAAAATTGAAATACCCCAGTTTAATCGATGATTAATTAAATGTGATTTGAATTATCATTGGTGATATTGAGCCCAAGTTGAATTACATCTAAATAATAGGTAGACACTCATGATCACTTTAAGGGATATGCAATGGTGTTACAGACCAAAATCGGTAGCGTAAGTTAACAAAATGTGGATAATACACATGTCTTGACAAATACAAAGAGCCAATGTATTTAAAGATGCCTTAAAACATACTATAAGCAACAACGATTAAATGACGAAGAATGATTAAATAGTGTCATTTAAAAGTAAAAAATACATAACAAACAAAACGAACCCGAAGTCATCGTCGATTGACTTAAAGAAATATTTACAATTTGGCTTGTTAAGAGCCAGTTTGAAGTCACCAAGTGTGACGGAATCGGATGGAGCATTTAGCTTTACAAGATAGGGGGTATCCTCTTCATCAACATAGTAAATTACACGAGTACCATCGACAGGCTGTGAAGAGGCCATTTCGCGAAAAAAACAAAGAAGAACGACCTTGAGTTTGCGAAGTCCGCGTATTGAACTTAATTTACCAACTTTAAAAAATTAATGAGCTTAACTAAAGATCAGTTAAATTTTTTTTTAATTGATATTTTATTATGATATTTTCACAATAAAGGTTTTAATGGACATGTGCGAAAACTTGTGAGGCTAATAGAAGCGTTAATTCACCCAGACGAAAGCAGACTACTGTAATCTTTACAATTATTTCCTATTTGTTGAATGCTGCTTGTTCTAATAAAATTACTTTTTACTTCACAATTTTAATGCAAATTATTACTAATAATCTTTAACATTTGCATTGGAACCGAGATAAATGTTTCTAAAAATTGATTATTTTTTAGCATTAGTCATGAGCACTATATACCCTAAAGACGAATTCGGAAGCAAAAGTTCTTTTAACTTTTTTTGATAAAGCTCTGTTGAAGTTTTACAAAGCATATCATTGGAGTAGATGAAATACCTCAGACTTTATCATTATAAATAAACAGCTAACAAATCATTAACAATGCTGTACAAGGTCACCAACACAAAAATCAACCGACAGTCAACTGTAGATGTTGAGTAATTTGTGATGGGAACTATAAATTTTTATGCATTTGTCGCACATATTTGCCCTCTTTTAATTTAAAAACATTGATATTCTGCCTCGATTAATTATTGCAGAAATTTCTTTCCCTTTAATGTTCCCTTTTTTCGTCATTTTATCATCTTTGACTCTTTTTGAACTTTTAGAAATTTTTTTTTATAAATCTGATGATGATTTTTAGGAGTATTGCTTTAATTTTTGAACCAAATTAGAATAGGATCTTGAAAAACTTGCCAGGATTTTTTGGTTTGGTTATTCAATTTATAATTCTTTATTTACACTGTTGTTTTACTCTAAGATTTTTAGTAGTTGCCACTTTTTTTTACTTCTAAACGATGTTGACAGTCCGCATTATTTGGTAACCTATTTATTGTATTATTTTTGTTAATCAGCGTCCATTAAATATTGTAATACAGAGAGTTTAGATATTTTCCGGTGTCGATTGTTATTAAGTAAACTTTGCTAAATATTTAAAATTTTTCAATATAATACTCAAGCAGCGTTTTTCATTTAATTTATTTTATTTGAATTGTCAGAATGTTAGCATGGTACTTCTTTGAAGATTCCAGAATATACTAGAAGGTAAAATCAGCTTGAAAATTCATTTAGCGTGGTTAGTTATCAAATGATTTCTTTGCTATATTTCGCGTACACTTTATTTATGGGCATTTTATAAATGCCGAAATATTTTTTTGAGGGTTCTGGAATGATGTTCTGAGCTATATCGGATCGGTCGACTTGGTGTGGCACGATAAGTTAACACGGATACTCGCGAAAGTTAGGTCTACTGGGATGGCAGCGATAACAATTTACTAGACTGCCGAGCTAATTTCTACTGTTTTAGTGTGCGTATATTTAAATTTGGTGCATGTTAAATATGTCTGGTGACCATAAAAGTCTCAGTTATACTGCGAAAATACAAATGGCTGAATACCGAGGAGAATGAGATTTGTGTTGTGGGTTTAGCTATATCAGAGGTGTTAAGCCAACCTTTGGAAGGGCAGATATATTGAAGCATGCAATGACTGTGGTGTAATAAATATAGTAAATTAAGCACCCTTTTTCAAATTGTATTTTATTTTAATGTGTCAGAAATTGGTTGGCATTAGACATTTATGCATTAAGATATACCGTAATAAATGCACATTCTTTTTCAAGTGGGCATAGGGAAAATTTGTCTGATCACATTAACAGGATATTTGTAAGCAAATGTGCATCGTACTGTTCGTGCTGAAGATGCTGTACATAGAGTTGCAAAGCTTTTAACAAAGATTACAATGTACGATTTTTGATTGTCCAAGCACAACGTGTATCCATGCCAATTATTTATAAATCACCAAATACAGAACATCAATTGCTTGAATAAAGAATCCTTGAAAGCAATTTAGCGAGTCATTAATTCTTATAATATCCCTTCTGGCATGTTAGAAATAACCGTACTGCACTGTTTCCATTATAACATTTAAATAAATGGCAGTATCCTGTCTTTTGCAAATCCTGTGTTCTTGTGAACTAAAGGAGTTAATGCAAAAAGTATGTTTAAGTATTTAAAACATCATGCTTGGTACGAGGTGCAATGTCAAGTTTAAATTAAATAGGCACCATTTAATAGCACTGAAACTAATTTTTAACTGTTGTAACTAACGTTTAATAATATGCGATGAAATGCACAAAATCAAGCACACATGCTTACTGATGGTGTATTCATTAATTATTGCAAAGCATTTGAGAATTTTATTGGAAAAGCCTTTCACAAAGAACAAAATCTTAAGAGGGTTTAGTTTTTGTGCCATTATTATTTCATTTTTTATTTAATGAGGCCGGGAATTTAAACTCTAAAACCCCTATAGCAGCTTACTTTGAAACCGTCGACGTTACAGCAAAGGCAGATCTTATCAAATAGCTCAAAATAACCATGTCAAAGTTTGTACTAAAAACATAATTAAACCTCACTTACATTTGTATTGCTTTTAACTACTAGATGTAAAATAAATTTGCTCCCTTATGCCTTAAGGAAAACAAAAATGCATGTTTCTAGTCAAGCTGTAGTTGTATGTGGTCCTCGGTGATAAAGATCGTCGCAAGGTTCGCTTATTTTTCCCCTTAAATACATTTATGGATTTTGTTTTCCTTTGTTTTTTGTCACGCACACAAATTTGAACGTTGATGGTTGACAATATAAGCTATTAATCTACCCTAGCTAAAGTTATAAATTAAGTTTTCATAGTCTTTTGAGTTCAGAATAGAAAACAGCACAAACTGGCCACCAAGTATTCCCCGAATATCGAGTTAAAATTCTAATATTATTCAAAGCTAAGCAAAGCCACGTTTACTGTTATTAAGATAGCAAAATTATTCAATCAGAATAACGATTAATAGTATTATAGCAATAAATTCTCTGCCTAATAGCGTTTTTCTTGTAAATTGTTTTATCAAGCCAAACATTGTTGATAATTGTTTTGTACTCTAAACATTTTTCAAATAAATGAAATTGGCGAGAGCTCACGTAAACTAGATTCGCTAACACTTTTAAAAATATTTTAAGAAAGTTATGGCTAAAAGTCCCCGTTTTGTAAAGTATCTCTATTAATTTTTTTAAATGCGACCTTAATTTGCAGCTAGTGCAAACGCATTTGTTCCGTATTGTATCTGGAATTGAGTATTTTTGTCTTCCGTGACAACTTGAGAGGTGATGTATTTTAGACGTGACAAGATTTTCAGACCTCTGATATACACTTTTAACGATGTTTTGTGCTTATTATTTAAATATATTTTCTTTCAAGCATTGTATTTCGTCGTAGAATTTATTTTTAGTTATATGTACTCGCAAATGGAGAGAAATAATAGTTTTTAAAGCTACATGTATGGTTTGCCAAAATAAATTTTCCTTGTAATTTTAGTAAGCTTTTTAAACGTTTTCTAAACGTTTGCACTCCTTCCTAATTTGCATTTGAGTTTTTGTAATGTTTTTATCCACCAACATGCATTCATAATTTATTGCTTTTAGTAGATTTGTTCCCGGTAATTTCCAGCACAGTGTTTCTTTTACATTTATAATTTTTTTGCAGTTTTACAAAACAGTACTCCCTTTCCAACCTAGCTAAATGTTAACAAATGCTTATGAATAAAGCGCTGAACGTGAGCTAGAATGTTGAATTGAATTTTCCCACAAGGTTTTCAATTTTGTTAAAACGTCACTGTTGTCGAATGATCATCTATAAGCTTTGCAGCTATGTACTTGATGAGCGTAAAAAAACGCGTTAGGTCTCATTGCTGAATTTACGCTGGCATTTCATGTTCGGTTATGAACTAAACTACTTTTAGCTATTTGCACTTAACATTATTCGATGTCCCAAGTCATGACTTAGATTTCGTTTTGAATCCATCTCGGATAAATCACTGTCAATAAACGACTAACAGTTAGCTGAGGTAGTGCATGCAAGTCTATTTACATACACGCACGGTATTGGTTAATTCTGATTGAAAATTCTTAAAACCAACAAAACTAAGACCCTTGACAGTCGATTCGATGCAACAAAGCAAATTTGTGAGCAGTGGGTTCCATTAAAACTCTTAGTTCAATTTTCGAAAGAAAAAATTTGTTAAAAGTAAAAACCTGTTACGGTTACCGGTACACTAATGAAAGGTCCTCATTGCAGATGATTGAACCCCTTTTTGGCCCGTTAACGTCTTTTTCCGCACCATCACCTGAGAAAAACACACATGACCACACGCCTTCTCAATCTACGTTAAGACTGAATTTAATGTCCCAGCTTGTGTATTTCTTGTATTACCTTGACCTGGCGGACTAGCCCCTAAAAGGTAACTGCGACGATTGAGGGGAATTAGTTAAAGCAAAGGTGTGACGTAATAAATGTTATTAGGCTAGTCATAAATCTCTAATTCATGTAAATATCGTTTTTAGAAAATGCTGATATCACCAACACAACCAGGCGGAAACATTCCCAAATTATGAATCTAAGACGTGCTTCATAGTCTATGTGCTGCTCAAAAGTCACCTGACCATCTAAAACAAAATGGCTTGGTTTAAACGTAGGATTGAGTCATTAAGAGTCATCTATGTGATTCAAAGCTGTTATCGCTAATGTAGAACGGCACACATTGTTTTATATTTAGTAAATTGGTACCTATTCCTTAGATTCTGCAACTCAGAAGCAGTTTTAACCCGTAATTTATGTTTATAATTGTGATTATTTGTATACACTGTTGAAAATGTTTTTCTTGATTTGAGTTTGATGGAAACTCTTTGAATAGTGGGCATGTAATTGATAATATACAATGACAACTAGCGTCACCAAAGTCATATTTCCGTTTCCGAAATTTTCCGGCTTCCTTTATTATAATTATGCAAAGCTATGGAAACTTGATAACTTTCCCTGAGTGAAATGCGTCATGGATAGCTTCAAGCGTGTGAGCACTCCTGTAGAATATAACTGTGGCGATGAGATCCCAAACAATTCTAACCATGTTTTTGGTAAGTTGATGTCCAGAAACACGAAATTTCCCAGCATACCCTCTCTTGAGTTAAACCTGCTTAACTTGATTCAACGTCAACCTAGCAACTGGAACGCTTACACTTCTCAATTACACGTTTTTCTTGTTTACTCGGCTTGCAGTTACTGCAGAACTGTAAATTTCTTCCTTCAAAGTTGTCCTTTAACAAAGGTGGACCTGATCAAATTAGCAGGAGTGGCTGACTCCACCGAAGACAATAAGGTGAGGTTTGAGTTATTGCGGCATGTTAGGTTCCGTCCATCGCGGCCTGTATGACGAGAAAGAACCTTGCTTTTCATCCTTCAAAAATTTGTTTGTTTTAAATGAAATGTTAGTATCTTAAAATCAATGCATACAACGTCAATTTGCCGGACTGACTCACTAGAGCTAAACTTATTAGACCACATTCTCACTTAAATATTGGCATGTAAACAAACAAAGTATTCGCTATTCCATGAAACATCAAAGTGAGGTGTTTTTCTTTTCTGATAGAAGCAGACGGTTTGAATTCACAAAACGTTTAATCTAAATCTTAAACATACTTAATTCTAAGGTTGAAATTTTAATTTTACTGGGATTCTAGTACTTCCGTTTTTGACGTTATGGATAAAAGATATACGTGAACATCTACTCTACTTGAAATACATATCTGACCTGGAAAAGCTGATGCATCTCAATTAGTATTTTTGATGCACACTGCTTCAGGTTCTCCTGGGGATATCGAAAGATAACAGGAAGAGATGTCATGATGCTTATCTTGCTCTTTACAATATAGTCCTAAATATTAACCTTTATATATTTTTTCACATATTCGGTTAATTTTTTTGTGGACTCTAGCATTTTGTTAAAGTACATGACTGAAGTGTATCTCCTTCAAGAAAAATACTTTTTGAGGTAGCTCGGGACATCAAAAGATTGCTAAAATTTTTTCGATAGTTAAAATATAGCGAAATGCAACTTTTACATGATCAATACCGCTAAGGCAGCAGCTGTGAGGCAATCATCCACTGATCCTGTTTCTGTTATTTCTAAAACCATGAGACATTTTAGACAACTTAGTTAAAATCCTTAAATAGCCATTCAGTGTTTTTTTTAAATTCTATTGGTTCATAAGGCAAATCAAATGCCTGTGGAGGCTCAGTTATTTACAGTCCACAAATCGCAAGACGAAAAAGAACTAATTGGAGGTGGCCTTCTACGTTCTGAGAGCCTAAAATCCATCGTGGATACCCTAAATGAATCCCTCAAAGAACTTTCCGATGTTGTTGGCATATCAAAAGATGGAGGTCCGGAGGTTACGTTTCTTCGAAGCAAACATCTTAAAACGGATGACTCGATTGAGTAAGATGGCGAGATTAAAAAAACATGCTTACTCAAAAGCATTAGGTATTAGTGTATAATCATGTTCTTATAGAAATGTGACCCAGTTAAGTTTAAACGATGCCAGTCGCTCCTTCGTAGACACAAATAGCTGTCACGGATTTGAAAATGAAGAAGACCAGGAAGAAAAATGTTTGGAAAAATCATCTGATGAAAGTGTCAAGTGTTGCTACTTCGAGGGGGGTGATGCCCCTTCTACGTACCCCGAGTATTTCTCAAGCGCCGAAGTAAGCCCACTTATATTTGTCTATTTGAATGGATACTACTCAGACTTACGCCCATTAAGTTAAAACGTTACTTAAAAACCGTGATGAATGAAGATGTACCAATGCCTAATGCGATTTTATGATTCAAATTGTAAATTTAGCGGAGTTGTAGTAAAAAAAAGTGAACCGAATGAAATGTGGGCATTGTCTCGTTTAAGAATTTTAATTTTTTTTCCAGCATCTTGGATTTGTTAGCTCCCAGGATGTCTTAGTTTTGTGTGGGAATGCACCATCGTTCAAACTGCATATTTTAACTAAAAGAGTTTGTGTTATTGCTTACTTCCTCAGAATTTTTGTCTCCATATTTTGCACAAATGTGGTAGTTATCAAAGCGGTTCCGATTATGTATCACTGAAATGAGCGGGATGCTGTGCCACCTTAGTAATTTCTTGTCAGTAATAGCTGTACCTTTGCGAAGTACTAAGACAGCTGCAATTATCTGCAATATCTCCAAATTTTCAAAATTCCTTGAAAACAATACATGTTTTTCACCAGACAGTAAAAGAAATAGTTTCAGAAAAAAAGTAAAATTAACATTTACATTAATGGAGTAGGGGAAAGGCAGCAGTAATTACACCTCGAAACTTTACCCCAACCGTGAAGCAAAAAATCTGGTTAGATAGTTTGGATTGTATAGGTGAGGGGCGACCAACCCGCCTACGGGACAGTAACTCATCATGCCGGAAGACCATGGCTTCAAGCTTTTTGTTTCCATCGTTCTAAACACTTAATCATTACCGGACTCGGTGTTAATGGCTCTATGTTATCAAATTTTCCGTAAAGGTAGGACACGAAAATCCACGTTTGTTTTTGTTCATCCATTCTGAAATATTGAACGCTGCAAAATTTTGCAAGTAAGCTTACTTTCCTAGTTCTTTCCATTCTTCCACATTCTCACACTTAGGTGGTCAGACAAAGTGAAACGTCGAACAAGGGAAAACATCATATTTGATAGTCACCCTTACATTGTCTGAGGTAAAATTCGAGCAAGGCCACTTTATAAAGCAAGATGTTTTTCGATTTAAAGTCCAAAAGCAATTTAAAACACGTCTAGAACTAGAATCTGAAAATATATGTCAATTATTCTTGCCTTTCTGAAGTAATTTTCTGTGAAAAACTTAAGTATTTTGTTATTGGTGCCCCAGGTGTGAAATGAGGCAACTGTGACCTATACTACTCATGTATTATCGATTACGCAATGTTTCTAATGCCTTGTTGAAATCCATTTCTAAATTGGCAACTGGCAGCCCGTATTACTCGTATTTTGTCTATTACGTAATTTTTCTGTCTTCTTAAAAAAATTTTTCAATAGATTTCTGATCACGTGACCACGATAGTTCAACTTGAGCGTCAGGTCATGGAGCAGAGTCGCTGTTTTCAACAACAGAAAGTGGCTTTAATGAGTAACGTGAAGGGCTCTGAAAGAAATCTTATTTGTAAATATGAGGCCAAATTGGAGAAGAATTACCAGTTAATTGATGAGCTCATTACTGAAAAGAAGGCTCTTACTGAACAATGTGCTAAGTTGGTCACCGATATACGCCTGGTTTCCAAAAGGATGTTGGCTAAGCAGAAGTTGTTAGAGGAGAAGTAAGTTTGTTCATTCCAAAAAGAAAGAATGCAAGACGCAGGGATCAATTTAAGATGCTGTTGTGTTATCCCATTGAGGCGCATCTTCCTACCGTAAAAAAGGGCTTTGGTCAAATATGCAGTTTTTGGTAAAATTATCAATTTTCAATGAATGTCATAAGACTTCCTTTGAGGATTTGTCGTTCTGCTACAAAAGTGACTTTTATTGCTGCTGCCGATATCTGAGATTCTTAGGTAAAAGTCAGCAGGAGGAATGGTGTTAAAGCAACCGATTCAATACTTTTCCAAATTGACTTGATGTACCATTGATCGGCAAAAGTAGCAAGTTACTATGACAAAATTCTACAATTGAGGATTCATTGTCACAACTGCGTTAAATTTAGTGATGTTCTATGTTACTTTTTGTGATGCTCTGCAATTTAGGTGCTACTGATTTCTACAATATTTACAAAAACTTATGTGATCGAATTTTCCTTTTTTTAATGCAAGTCATAAGGTTGAATTGAGGAAAGTCCAGGCAAAAACTATCGCAGCGGAAAAGATTAAGCGCGAACGGTGGGAGGCTGCAAGAACAAAAACAATCAAGGTAATTTGCTTCGTCATCATGTGCCAAGTTATGATGAAAACCGGAGGCAGGTTGAAGAAAGATGCAATTAATAAGGTGAATGGGAACTCACTCCTGGATGATGGCAGTTGAGCTTTCCATGCCAGTTTTGCATCACGAGGATTTGCGATTTTGCTTGAGATGACCACTGAATGTCTCGTCAATGTAACATTTTTAGTGGACACATCAGCCACACGGTAGCTTAAAACATTTTGAGCTTGTGATTTAATATACGTTGAGCCGTTAACAATTCTTGCCTTCTCGCTCAGAATAACTAGCGCAAGAAGGCTAGAGGTAATACCAAACTTGATTGCTGATCGTTTATAATAACATATTCAGTAATCATGTATGTATCATTAAGTTTTGTTGACATGGTACTTAATACATCTCTGAAGTTTTCGAGTTAAATATCAATGATTTTGTGCAATTTACTGACAATTGTGACTACTATTATCGGTGGTATTTGGATTCGCTCGCCTCTATAATGGCAGGCGTTTCGCGCATACCTTTCATGGGTGTCTGGGTTTCACCAAACGCTGGCCATTCTTTCAGCCTCATCATAAAAAATGATAGCTTTCAGCAATTGCGCATCCAGGTCACCGGTTCGGACATTCCCCAAAATCCTGATTTTGATACATAACGCTTTACGTTTTATGCATAAATTTTGGTTGATCAAGGTCGACTAATACGTCCGTGGAAGTAACCACTCTAATTTTGAAGCAGGTCTCTACAGCATATTTTTTAGGAGCGCGGCTGTTAAATTTTGCATGCTTTCCTAACACCTAGTTGTTGAAGTAAACTACTGCGAAAGCAGGGATATTTTGATGAATTCATTGAGCCCCAACTAGGGTCGATTTAATTGTCTAGGAGCTAACAATGAGGGGTGTGGAACGCGAAGTCCAGCGTATCATGGCCACCCACAAGGAAGAAATTCAGGCACTTAAACGACAGCATAAGGAGGAATTAGAGAAAGCTGATGCTCGGGCGTTTGATAGCTACACAAAAAAACTGGAGGAAGCGTGCTCGAATCTAAGCAAAGAGAGTGAAGAGGCCTGTGTTCGAGAGCGGAAACTGATAACCGAAAGGTGGGCCCTAAATGCAATTTCTGTCGCTATTTACACTTCCTAGTAAAAACCTGGTTTTTCGTTTTCTTTAACTCCTGCCCACGGAAATATTTTCTACTTTATTACCTTTCATTAACCTATAGTTCATTGTTAGACCAAACCATACTACAGTTGGAGAGTTTGGATTTTTCGAACGTTGGTTTTCATGTCCTTAATCACTTTGTCTCTGTGTTTATCATGTTCCTGTCACCAGTTTTTCGCGTTGGCATCATTGTCCACATGCTAGACAGGTGATGTTTACAAGCCGTCATGGCTACCAAAATTTAACACGTCCCACGACGCAGCACCAAGTTATTTCCGAGCCCTTCACGCACGCTCGCCCAACTTCTGCTTCGCATTTAATCTGCGGTTACGAGTAGTTTCCACAAATAGTATAATTTAGATGTGTGGTGGTTTAATCACGTCAAAAAGGGCTAATTCTATTACATTACCACAGGTATTGTTTGAAAAGCTCCTTATTTTTGCAAATTGCCACTACGTTCTTAAACCATGCAGAATGTGCATCCAAATTCGCAATTGTTCTTGAACCAATCGATTCGTGTCAGCATTTTCCCAATATAAGGTAAATGTTTTTTGTAACATCCTAGTCTCAGTGAGTGTAAATATGCATCCAAACGGAGCACCTAAATCGCTTAAATCACACACCATTTCTATTGTTAACCATGGACTTTTAACACTAAACACTTACATCAGGTGTTACCACCATACTAGTAGCACTTAGGATCCACCGGCATAACCCAGCCCACAACACTTAATTTGGCTGCGTCAGAGCTTTTCATCTTACTTGCCCTATATGTTGCAGTAAATGGTAACTGGTTAAATCATTTGGTGTGATTTCGTGAGTAAAAACATAAGCGCATTTTATTTATTCGCAACCTCAAATTTGCGTAACATCTTTGTTTTCTAACTTGATTATGTGACAACTACAATTATTATCATTATACGATTGCAAATGTTCGTGCAAGTTTCATAGATGGCAGAAGCACGTATTTTGAATGAGCTCGTGTTTCTTCCATATATATGACTGGCTGTTAGCCAAATCCATCAAAACTCAAAATGACCTTAAACGTTTATTTAAATTAATTTGTGTGGGGTTAATATACATAAATGAAAAGTTCCACTATATTCTAGTTTAAGAGAGGCAAGTGCTGAAACTGCAACAAAAATTATTCAGGTTTTTATTCGGATCGCGATCCTGCTCATAGAACGGATAAACTAAAATTCGATCGATCTCAAAATGGTGACGTTAGTCAAAACGATATTCTTTGCTATGGGCGACCTTGTGGCATTGATTGTGACATCATCAATTATTTTGTTAAACATAATCCACAAATTCATACTAAATATAATTCTCAGGGACCAAATGTTGTTAATTCGACCTTATTCCGCCCTTCACAGCAACCAGAACATACTTCATAACTTGATTCATGGGTCCCAGTGCCAGACTACCTGTTAATCTATAGACACTGAAAAATTCGAGTTGAGGTTATCAATTCTCTAGCAGCACCTGCTGTATTCCCATCACGTCATTCTTTCTGTTCTTTAAATGATTTTACCAAAGAAGCCAAATCAACCTCAAAAGTTTCTTCGAGAAACCATGCAGGTTCCACAAGGGAAATCGAGAACATAAAATATAGGGTGATGGTTATTGGGAATGATTGCGTGTACACTTTTAATGACTAAATGTAATTTGCCATGAAATTACCTTGTATTTTACGTAGTTTTACATTAGACAGGAATGTTCACAATTCACTATCTGTTTTTTTTGACTTCTTGCTGTTAATTTAGGTAAGTTCAGAACGGTTTCGTCTCAATGACCTTTCTTTTTGGTAGAACTTTGGTTTAGCATTTAAGTCAGGCTATGTGTAAACAGTGATGGTTGACGTTAAATCTTTGCCTTATGGCCATCCTACTCGCTTGTGGAAGCTATGTAGAACTCATCGAGCACGTTGAATGTAGCGTCTTATGAGTGGCTACAATACCCGACCACCTTCAATTGAAACCAGAATTATTGCAACAGAAATGACTCCGTAATGTAAGTCTAATTACTTTACACAAGTTGTGTTTTCCGCTCACATTCAGATACGAAGCATTGATGGCTGAAGAGCGCTTAGCATGGGAGGGCCTCAAAATGAAACTCACGCGAGAGTCAGCTGACGAAAAAGATCGCCTTATGGCTATAATTTCCCGAGAACGCATTGAATTTGAAAAGGAACTTGGTAATCTGAACACGGCTCTCGTCAAAGCCAATGAAGAACACGACAATGAGATGACGCGCATGAAAAGGGAGCTCATGACTAGGCACACGGTTAGGCTTAAACTCACACCGTTAAGTTTTTTCCCTGACACGATTTCATTCTGTTATTTCCCACTTTAACGGCCTTACTTTTCACCACTTGCTAAAAATGTGGCATTTTGCTAAGCCTTTTCGCAGTATTAACCGTTATCACCACACTTGTTAGATAAGTGTTTAGACTTAAGCCATTGGAACTATCCTGGTGGAACTGTAGAATCCGTTTCGCCAGCCCAGCTAGAAAAAGTGATGATTCACAATTACGTGACGCTTTTATTATTAAGCGATGAAAAACTAAGATATTCTAAATGTGTCTACGTCAATTGACATTTTAAAATGCATACAGGAGGCTTAAATCTCAAAGAAATTTTACACGCGTGATACAAAGCCAAAAAACAGGACCAAATTGATTTCGTCCTTAAATTCGTTTTTATCGTGAAAAAATAAAACAGTGGGTGTAGTAAAATAGTCAACACCAACTGATTGTAATATATTTGTTAAAACGTCCAGAAATTCACTTACGTATCAAACCTCCTTACTTAACAATAAAGACTAGAATTTTTGAAAGTAATAAATAAAAAAGCATTGGTCTTCTCCTGAGAGGAAATTTTCACTTGCTGTGATACTTCCTATGCTACTGCTTCAGTCAGAAATTGAGGCGCTACAATCTCGATTGGAAGTGGAGAGGTCTACTAATGCGGAGTCAATATGCGCCCGAGTTGAGTCAGAGCTACTAAAACGAGAATGCGAAATTGTCGAAAGACTTCGGAAGGAAAAGGATCATCAGCTGGATGCCGCTATCAAAGGTCTGGAAGCAAAATTAAACGAGTCTCGTGAGGAAGCCGAAAGTAGTGCCAAAGAAAAAGTAAGGTAATTTTAGGATCAGTTGTACTAACCTCAAATTGCTTCAAATACATTCTCTGGCTTATTTTACGGGGCGTGAAATCACGTTGAGTATACTATGTTCACAATATCTTTCTCTGATCATGAATAAAATAAGTTGACAAGATATTTCGTCAGCAATAGCTCTATGTTATTAATCATTTTTCTTTGTTTTATACAACGAATACAAACTAATTTCATTGTTTCTAGAAAAAGAGCACTAATTTTGTTTTGATCAAGGAACATAGTTAAGTTCACGACTAAAAACTGCTTGATTTCTTGGTGCAGGAACCTCGATTCTCCGGGCAGTAGTGTGGACGAATTATTTTGGTTATATGCATGTCACGCACGCTCACAGCTAAATGTTGTCATCTTGGGGTCACATGCAGATAAATGGCCTCATGTAACGCTAGTTAAATTGTTGCCGCCTTACGCTAACCATTCATTCAATGAGGAAACATGAAAACTAATTGGCAACACGATAGGCCATAACTGTCAGTTGCAAACACAACCATTTGGAAGTAAACTATACAAAAAAAGGTTGCGCGGAGCTATTATTGCTAATTTATATTCATTTAAACTTCAGTAATGCTAGTCCTTTCAGTATGTGCCAAGGTCATTTTAAAAATCCGTTGAGTTTGCTTCCTTAAATGTTACCACAATCGTCGGGGTCCTACTCGCGTTGCTTTACCCCTTGCGCCTTGCTCTTACTACCATAAGAGCTTCAAAAATCGTTTTCTTTTAAAGTATTAGTGAAATGAAAAATTCACAGAACTCAAGCCCTCAAGATTCCTGTGTGGTTTCGAACGTGCTCAACTGATATTACTTGCACGGCATTGTCCATTAGTATTTGCAACACCCCTTGTGTTGAATGTGGCTAGATACTTTCCAGATTGTTCCTTCTACAGTGGCAATAGTCTATGTTAAAGTAATCTTTACACGATTCATGCGATCTGTAAAATAGGGTCTCTAGTGTGCTCTCTAAATCGAACGGCTACGCATATTCAAACTCAATTCTTACTTATTGGTCTACCCGAATTTTTCAGCCTTAAAATAGTTAAATTGTGAAGATATTTTTTGCACTATTCAAATCATATTTAGGTCTGCTTTGCTATCTAAGAAAACTGCAAATGCACCCAAGGCCTGTGATGCAAATATCAAAGTATATAACAGCTCAGTAGTCAGAGTAATGCTTTTATAAAACACGAGTGAGGTCGATGAAAGAAATGCAGACGAAATAGCAACAATTTTTGCGGCGCATTGTGGGCGACTGCTAAGAGCGAAGAAAAGCTCCATGTGCTCAATTACTAGAATTTTGTTGACTGACTTTACGCACCCAGTTCCTACTAAATGGTAATTTTCTAGTCCATGCCAAATAATCATTCAAGGAAATTTTAAAACATAACAGTCAAACACCCAAAAAGTAGCGGAGAAACGGTACCGATTATAACAAGCTTAGTCATATTTGCAAAGAATTGTAACCGATTGTAGGCAGTTAAAGGAACAGCACCTGAAAGACATCGGTGAACTTGAGGTTCTAGAGCGTCAAACTAACGAGAGGTATCTTCAAATGCGTGTAAGTCTCAATGGTATGTTTATTTACCCAAACTGGATGCTATATTTTCATAAAATCTACGGGATCAATAACATTACTACAACCCAGGACACCTAGCCTATCGATTTTTAATTTTTATTAACGGCCCTTTTTCCTGCAAATAATAAATCTACATTCATCAATAGATCAAGTCCTACATACCACTACTGTTTTTTAGCTTAGAACTTATTTTTATCGAAGTAGTAAAGATTTCGTTCCGTCAATATGTAACCGGTGGTAAATTTTAATCACTTGGATGCTCCGTTTGTTCTTGATGAACATTACCTAAGTTTCCAACGGGGAGAATAAAGTTTGAGTAATATAAGTACGAGCCAACCATGAATTCCGGAATAATATACAAGCTTTTGTAATCCTTTCAATGGTACACATATTCACTTAAAGTGTGATTGGCAAGAAGGCTTCAGTGAAAAAATGGTGTGGGAGTGATATTCTTTCTTTAATCCGCTCGCTGTCGACTCCAGCTATTAGCACTATTGGATAAGGCCTTGAGAAAAAAACATTTTCGATAAAATGACTGCCATAATGCATCCCTTTCCTTTTTAGTTGCAAAGACCCAACCGGTTTTTTAATTTCTGTTTTTACACGACAGTTAAGGCAAATGCAAGATGATGTTAAAGTTAGCAAGGTAGCTAATTCCGTGGCATTTTGCCCTCTTGCAGTACTTAATTAAGCCTGGGGTCATGTGTACACGCTTTAAGGACATCCCCCGAAATTTCTGGTTAGTAAGATTCTAAATAGCGCATTCAAAACAAACTCTGATCACAAAGTAATCCGGTAAGACTCTGGGCAATAACCGACGGCTCGTGCTGGGTTACGATGCAAGTACTGATTATTTATTAAATTGACCGTGGCATTAAGCATCGAGGGCAGTCACATTGCCTGTTGTCTAAGTGGCGGTGAACATTATGTTATACATTTATTGGAAATTGTTTTTTGGCTCTTGTAAGCCCTTAGTAGAGTAACACAGAGTTCCCAAATTTGGTCTCGGAGCCAAATTATATAATTTCTTCAAAAGCAACTGAAATGAAAACATGTTTTACGAAACACAATGATTCTGTTGGTTTCAAATATGCTAGGGTCAGGCAACGTCAAATGAAGCGATGTAAGCGCACTCTCACACGACTCGCTAACGGTTAAAACGTGGATCGATCTTGTCAATCTCTCAAACATCTTATGTCGGCTTCAGTTGTCACAGAACAATGCGTATTTCTGATTCACACAAGCCAAAGCGCTATTTATTTGCTTGGCTCACGACATTAATTGTCTGATAGTCGGATTTCGTTTAAGGTTTTACCAAGTGGTTCAACCGCAGGTCAAAGATTTTATAAGGCATTTTTTTCGATTGTAAGGTTAATGATGTTTCTATTTTACAAGGCAAGATGCGTAGAACTCGAAAGAGATTGTATCGGCTTCCAAGAGCGCATCCGCCAGCTAGAAGGAGAGTTAAAAGAACTGCGGTCAGTAAACGAGAAACTGACAGGAGAGCGAGAATGTCTGAAGGAGGTAGTTAGACAAGAATTAATGGACCAGCTCGTCGAGAGTGAGGCCCAGGTGAGCCAGATGCAGCGTGAATTGGCACAGACGAGGGCTCAAGCCAACGCCGAAGTCAGCAAAATGCAGTCGCAGTTGGGGGCTGTGAAGAGGGCAACGGCAGACGGGCTACAGTCTTTGCATGAAAGGTGTTGCATTTCATTCGACAAAAAATTAAGTAAAAAATGGAAACCGAGGCACATGCACATAATCAGAACGTAATTATTGTCCTGCAAAATTGGCAAGCTGTTGCGCCGTCCAATTCGCCTACTTCAGTAGTACACAGTTTGAAGTTTTGATTTTGGACGCTTTTCTTAAAGGTCATGTTGTTTTAAAGACATATTTTTAACCTTATGCAACTCGTTGTAGGGTCAATGCCAATGCATACACACACTATTACAATACAAGGCCCTAAGGGCTATGAAGTGTTTATCGACTAAAGCGAATGCTCAGGGCCAGTGCATAGAATTCAAACGCTTTACACTTCACCATATCGTGGCACTTACGCTATCTCAGTCGATTTTAACAATGTTTTCTGCTCTGCTACTGTACTTAAGCATTTTTTAAAGCAATCCAAGCTAAACGCATTTTTTTCAGAGATTTAAATACATTAAGCCCAATTTCATGTTGTAACTCGATACTGAAAACCCTACAGCTGTATTTATATTAATCTGTTTCCGGGAATTCCAACATTCAAGTGCACTACTGCTGTCATTTCTTCGTTAACGTAGGCCACGAATAACAATAAGTCCAAAATTACACGCGCCGTATTTTCTCAAACTAGAATTTAATTGCGATAAGTTTACATTTATGTGTATTAATGCTGAGGATCATATTAGCTAAGGCTTCACTTTGTTTTCACATGCCTTATGTAACTCCTTTAACAAGTTTACAATTCACGAAGCTAAAAAAATTATTTCCTATTTGAGGATCAAAGAAGCCATCACAAAGAAGAATGAGAACATCAAAGAGATAATTAGGCTGCACGAGAAGGAAATAGAAGACCTGAAGACACAGCTAGCTATTTGGAAGAATCGAAGTGCTCAGAACAAAAGTCCTGAAGAGGAGTCCACTAACAGCAATGCTCACTTTTACCCTTCACCAGATGTTGATACCAGTTCTAAGGTATGCAAGAGGAATGCAGCTAAGGTTCGGACGGCCATCGTACGGCGGCGCTGAAGGACATTTCTTAGTCATTTTCTAAAATTTGATTATACGTTGCCTTAGCATCCTATCAACTCGAATTTCCGACAACTGATTTTGAACAGTAAGAGACTGGGTGATTATCGGATCCCCGATTACTTGTAGGTGGTGGCCCCGCTTTTATCATAGGAATTAGCATTGTGACCCAGAGGGCCCTCTTCATGAAATTTCTGGATGATTCTAAGCTGCTTCAACGACAGTAACAAACCATCAGAAGTGGGAAGCTCATAAGACCAATGCCTTCAGACATTCCAACCTTTCGCTTAACATTACAATTAAGTCTATTTTAATAGTGTGTGGACGAAGTCTCAAAGCAATCCCTCAACTAGTTGTAGTGTGTAGGCTGTGAACCAGGCGCCTCTGTTTTTGTAACTCATTTTGTTGCGGCAAAAGCTTACGAAATTAGACTGCGTTCTTTGATCACAGACCACTGAATAACCGACAATTTACTTTGACAAGCCGCATACTTAAAAAGGATTTAGGCTGCAACAGATCAAATGTGTCCTTCTAGGGTAAATAACCAAGAAGTCTACTTTAGAGATTCAACCAAGGGATAGAAATAGCAATTTTTTATTATTATTTTGAACAAATCAACCATAGGGCAGAAGGTTAGGGAAGATTCAGCATAGGGGGAAAAACAAGGAAAACGCGTTGAGGGAAAACGAATGGGTTTGTTGCAGGTATGTACAACGGTGGGCTTGAGGATGCATGGAATTGGCGTCTTATTGTGCAGACACAGAGAAATCAAGGTGTCTGTTACTATAAAATGCTAATGGGAGTAATTAGATGTAGGAGGGCCATTTTTCTCACTTGTCTCCCTATATGGGTTTGTAGAGAACTGTTGAGACGAATTTCTGCCGGTATCGAGATATCGCCGATAACACAATTACTCCGTCCTAAAGGGTAAAAACTCGATGATATCTACTTGATCCATGGTATGATTTTACGTATAACAGAACACATTTTTGATGTGTAGAGTTGGATTCAAGTTCAGAGGAAACCAAGTGGATAGTTTTAAACAACCACATGTTGGACTCCAGGTGTAACTGAAAACAGTAGTACCTTTGTTTTTTGTACATTACATGAATACCCTGTTTATTGCGCAAACATGGACATTCCAATGCAGAATAAACCCACCTTTCAGGTAAGGCTGCATTTGGTTAAACATACGACAATTTAAAAAAGCAGGCTATCATGGAGGAATTCCAACTGCCGCCATAGTACTCATAGAAACTGATGGAACAAAAACATGTTTCTAAGGCCAATTCATGTTCTCATAAGCCGATTTAGGGGTGCTCATGAAGGAATCATATTACAGAGCTAATACCAACATACATATACATAGGGTGATCTTTCCATTGGTCCACTAGAACTGACCTTGTATTAAAACTAAGATAGGATTCCTTCAGTTACCCTCCAGCCGAATTAGAAGTAGATTCAAAAGGCAGAAATGACCTCGATTTAGCCCACACAGCTATTTAACGTTTCTGGATGCCTGAATTTAAGCACAACTTAATACCTACACAAGTAATTTGTTCGGACCAGCCAACTACTTAAATGCAGTCAGTAATTTCGTCGATTGCAGGAGCCTTGACGGATCAATAAAAAGTTACGTTAAAAAGAGTAAGCAGATTAACAAGTAGAACATTAAAAAATATATTATTTAACAGGATACCATTGTCTTCTATCTGAATGATTCAACACAGCAGAAAATGGGGAAACAAAACTCATATACAACAACTTTCCACCCTATTTTAAACAAAGAAGCCTGGTCCAAGGTAACCAATTCCAAATACCTAAGTTCGAGTAAAATAAGACGCTCATAACATGGTACGGGAAGTGCCGGAAATAGAAAATAGGCGTAAAATGACAATACGAACTCACTTTTATCGAGAGAGCGTACATATGGTTAAGCATAACGTGATTTGGTTGAGGCAGGAGATTTGGATCACACTGTGCGTTGGTATCCCGATTCAGAATCACCTGAAAAAAAAATAAAACCACGAAGTTATTTTCGCAAAAAACAGCACCACTTGTCACATGACAGCAAGACACGAGTACAGACGCATGACCGAATAACATGGAATCCAACGCATAAAGCTATACATTTGACTTCGAATTAAGTAGGAACACTGTGTGTCTGATGAGAGTAGTTTTGATTTCGTTTACATTTATACACTGCCCACTAAATGAAGGTCATAGTCAAGGTACCAGAGATAGGCCAGCACTAACGGTAGTCATCGTGCTTGTTTACCTTCGAGACTGTTCGTTAAAACAGTGACATCTAGAAAGCTGACATACTATTGATTGGCGAATATAGAGCATCGCCGGCGACAACTCATAGTGTTGCTGAGAAGCAACCAACAAGGACCAAGCATGCAGTAACTCTGCTGCAATATTTACCTGTAGAAGCTGAGGAGGAAGAAGCGGTGGCTTGGTAGCCTTGCTTTCGATGCCCAATGCGATCGGAGCAGCTGGCTGACCGGCTGGTGAGGTTCCGGTGTAGGGGGAAGCACTGGTACTGTTGGCAGAACTGGCAAAGGCCGCAGAGGGGCTTTGTGGGATCACTTGGCCATATTCACCAGGCGGGGAACTACCCGTCGGTACGGCATCCATTTTAGTGAGCGCCTCAATTACATCCAAATCAGATAGATTCACGGTGATTGTGTTGTTTTGAACACCCGTGGAACTTGTCGTTGTTGGCTATCAGTAAAAAGTGGGTCGAATAAGTTTTCCGCAATGACGAATTTGTGGAAAGCCACACAAATACAGACACACCAGTTACCGTTTAAAAGTAAGGCGGTAAACGAGAGCATGTGTAGAACACGTGAAACTTCAATTAATACTCACATTGCACGATTAAAATGCCACGAAAAACAATGTAAGTTTCTAGTTTGTTTTTTTTCCGTAAATGTATGACGGGGAATAAAACGCACAATTAACTTCTCAGTGGGCCCAAAAACTTTAAAAAAACCTACAATGTTAGTTTTGCACGCATTATTTTTTTGTTTCCAGTTCGACATGATATAAATCAGGTCACAGGTGTTTTCGATAGCAGAACCTGAAGATACATGGAAAATGCCTAGCACAGATGACCTTGTGTAATAAATCGAAGAACCGAGTTATCTGCTGTTTTTACATAGCGAACAAGCCTTCGGTATTTTCTTGCACCTACTGGACGGTTGAAAAACAAGCACTACAAAAAAGATACCCCGTAATTGAAATTAGATTTGTAATACAAACGAGATTTAGCAAACGACGAGAAAGAAATACAAAAGCTGGTAATTCTCGTCGACAAAGCCTCCACATCATGAATACCAAGGTATTCTCAAGAACTTAAATTCTAATTAGATCCAATTTCTTCAATAAACTTGCATGCAGTGAGTGGAAATGCGTTACAGAAATTGGCACGCTTTGACTTCCACGTAGTGTTTTCAAATATGCACACGAACACACAAATGAATAATCAAAAGAGGCCCTTGACAGAAGGTGAAAATTTGGGTTAAAGCCCTAGGATGAACGAATTTAATTATACTTAAAATGAAAGTCCGAGAACAGTGAATAAAATTGGCTACCGATGTTCAGTGGAAATAGTGCACAATAATCACAAAAAAAGTAACTCGATGTCAAGATGAGACTTACCACATAAAACGTATGCTTACGAACAGAGGTAATCAAAAGGACCTCCCTCTGAATTTGATAGCACAGTTAGTAACCAGTCAATCCCAATCAATTCAAGATAAAAACGTGACAAACAGTACCCTGTATTACTAGTTCTAGACATCTGCGATTCATAGGTTCGACAGACGTCACCATAGGATGCAATATTGTCACCGATAAAAGTGCACATTATCTTCAATCGACTTTAAAAATTACAAACCTGAACAGAATATTCCAAATACGACACCTAATCTTCAACACCGCTTTCGCGGACTACATTCCAATAGCTCAATAACCAAGGTTATTCTGAGAACGGAAACATAACTTCGAAGGATATTTCAGAAGTAATAAAAGACGCTGATCTCAAAGATAATAATCTTACCTGATTTTTACCCAGTTTCCATTGACCATCTACTATGAATTTATACTGGTATTCGCCTTCAGGTAGATCAATTATAGTGTAGAAATTTTGCTTGCTAAAAAATCAATTACAAAATCAGAGATGATCATTAAAAAGTTTCCTATTGCTGGAATAGCGATAAGGGGTCCTGATAAAGATACAAATCATGTCGAGTCTAACATGCTAGAAAGGTATTCTGAAACAATAAATCGACTTTGTAAGGTGTAATTATCAGCATCATTTCCAAATTAAAGTTCAAAATGTGCACTCAACTTTGACTCAAAAATATTCCAATCGAAGCAATTTAATTCCTAATTTCTTAAATGATCTCAAATGCATTGGACCACACAGAATACACCAAAGGTAACAAAATTTACTTGCCTTTTGATCATGGGAATTTTAGACTTCCACCCGTTGAATGTTCCACTAATGTACACCTCTTTCCCCCCACCTTCCCACTTAAAAACTGTGGGCAGTGTCGTCTGTGCTGGAGGTTCATCAGGTACGTCAGTAGATGATTCGGGACTTCCAGCAACATCCGTGAATAAACAGGGGTGTTCAGATGTATCTTGGATTCGAGAATTCCGCAGCTGGTTAGCAATTGCCTCAATTGTGTGACCCTCTGTTAAAATACTCACAACAGGATCATCATCATTTACAGTCTAGTGAGATCGTTTAGTAAGGTGATTCGAATACCTGAGAAGCTTGCAAAATGAACTTTCTCTTTGGAGGATAATAAGGGTTGCTCATTACGCCAGCGCTGCCAGTGTACTCTTCATCAATTGATGAGCGCCTTTTAGACGTGCCAGGAGTGTTACCCATAATGTAATTGAGAAATGTACCGCCAGAGAAAGTGCCTACCCACGGCACAGCATATATATTGATGGGTCACTTAGCTGGTCCTAACCAATTAAACGAGAGATAATTAGCTCGACTTATTACTGGACATAAAACATCATCACTATCATATACAAAACTTATTTTTGCGAACATGCATTTTTAATATTCTCGGTGTAAGTGACCAGTTTTTAGCAATTATAATTTTTAAGAAATATTTCAACTGAGTTAACAAAGTTTAAAACTGCCTGCAACACTAATTACACCTCCATTTTTTAAAAAAATCTGATATTTTTTGTGAGCCTGTCAATGCCTTGGCTCTTAAATGTGTGATTAGCACACTAAATTACAATCTAGTCAATTTTTTGGCTATTGCTTAATAAAATTAATGTAATGAGAGCTGCTTTTACAAAGGCAAATCAAGTGAGGACGTGTCTAAATTTTCTCCCGTAATCGTATATCTTTTAGCATTACACAAGTCAGATTCGGTTCAGATAACTTGTTCTAAATTCTTATTACATTAAACACATTATAAGACTGATAAAAGACAAGTTTTTTGATTAGTTGAAAAAAATAATCCATCGTTCATCTCTGTTCAGATAATTAATGCGTTTATGAATAGATATGTACGCTAGTTAGGCTTTCTGGATACCTCTAATTACACCTAACCCTACTACCTTGATGTTACTCAGCGCCGTCAATTGTCACTTGATACTCTGGAAGCACCTCGAGAGAAAAATTCTGCAAATCACCACTTTTGTCTTTAAAGTTACTATCCGAACGAACCAGAAATACCTGAGTTAGTCGCTTCAATTAAAGCGAAATTGCCACTTTTTGGCCCTTTCCCTTATTTCTGTTATACGAATTCTTGGCTAACTGTTTGAGATACTTAGCTTGACTTTTAGTAAACAGACAGATGGATTTTAGTAATTTCACCAATATCTTTCACAGTTCATCATATTACAATGAATCACATATTTCCAGCCTTATTAGCAAGCATTCATTCATTCTGTGAAGTGCAATGTGTCGATCTAGTATTTCCTGCTCCCTTTGTGTCCTATGGTGATAATAATAGATTCAAATATCTAGATTATATGACTTTACTTCGTACATTATTCATATAAATTTACATAATTAACAGCGATTCATCTTCAGGATGCATACTCCCCAATATCACTAATTGATGACTGACTCAAAAAATTTTTGCAGATCACCAAACATAATGTATCGATTCATTTGGTATAGACGTTTAAAATACTACCTCGGCCACAGATTTTAAGTGCGAGGTTTTTAAATTGTGCCTGAAATCGATTACATACTAAAAACAGCTACGTGGGTTCTAACAAAGATAAAGAGCAGTGCCAAATTACACTCTTCACGGTTATTATTTACATTTAACTCGACACTATTTGAATTATCCAACATTAAAATTTTGTTCATTGGTACGATTTAACCCAGCCCCCTAGACACTGCCAGCAGAATTACAATTTTTCGTTTTGCGACTTCTTGAGATTTCGCTATGCTCTTGAGTCATTATTTTACGAAACCAAGCCTAAATACCATATTTTTCAAGATAAATTCTAAACTTCTTTGCTAGTAACCTTTTCGACTCAATAAAATTGCCACTTTTCGAGTTAGAAACCACATAAAATGCGTTTTTGTCGAAATTGACTGAATTCGACTATTACTAATTCATGAACCGGAACGTGAAGATTATAATTTGGAAGTTGTCACTTCAAGCCACTTAGGCTAAAAGGGTTTCACAGATAACCAATAACAAAATTTTCTAATTTGTGTAGGCAATTAATCGAAGTCTATTCGTCCATCGCTAAGTAATTTCTGTTGGCATCCATTCCAAGAGGATAACAATGATATCTCAGATTGAAGATTTGTTGGCATAGTTGACAGCTACCAAGCAAATAATATGAGGTGGAAAATATATGAGTGGGATTTCCCCCCCCCCAAAAAAAACATAGATTTGGATTAATAATGTTGGACCACAAAAAATTTGTGCAGCGTACAGCGTTTGCGCCTTAATAAAGCGCAAGAAATAACAAAATCCCTCGGTATCTGTCAATGTAGTAAAAGATACAATAACATTCTGAAGCTACAGACTCGTAAAGATTTGACCAGCTCAAATGTTTAGGTTTTAATGCTCGTAAAGCAGTTGCACTTGCTGTGACGTGAGGAATATGAGTTGTGAGGGATACAAAATTTGTAATTCATGATCAAAGAAACTTTGTGCAAAACCTATGAGCTATTTTACTGCTCCAGGCGAATGGGCTCGAATTCTAAACTACGCTGCTTTCGAAAGAACTTGCCACTCTGTTTTTATACTAATCAGAAATTTATTAAGTCAGTTTCCTGCTTTTAACTGTGAGTAATGTTATGTGATACGAACAGAGAATACATTTGGCAGTGTCTCTTGGTGAGTCACCCTCAAACACACATTTTCAGGTGTAAATTTGATTGGACGTCGGATACGCGTTCCGGCCAGCAATAAACCAATCATCGCCCCCTAAACACAATCTCAAAGTGCCACTGCATATAGTGGAAATGGGTCTTTGACAGGTTAACTTTGGAACGCGAAGATAAATATCAAGAAATTTGCATACTGGCTTGTGTGCAAGTAAAAGAAGTAAGATCATTGGGTTTGTGTTAAATGCGATCAGTACAAATGTGGAAATTTATTCACAAGAAATTTACTATAATCAAAAATTGCAGCAAGTTATTTAAGAATGCGAACGAATCACAAAACAACCTTTTGGTACAACTAGGCATCATTTGCACTGAATACCAGCCTCAGGTTTTAGATGACCGTTATTTCTTGTACAATATACTGACAATTGATAAAGCAAATCGCACATAAGAAGTTACTACTTATTCAAGTTGCTCAAACCCTATCAATTAATCGATTTTCAACCATTCCTAAGAGCGAAACCGATATCACACGTATTTTTCAACGAGCCCTTATAGACCTCCGACCTTCCCAACATCCTCCGGATTCCGCATGTTGTCCCACTTTTATATAAACCCCTGGCTCGACAAAGACCCCTTCGCAATGATAATAGTTATTACTGAAAAACCCCAATACTTCCTGCGTTACGCTCAGTCGACATATCAATATTACGGGAATCAATGTCCCTTTGCACGGTACGCGTAACCCCGAAAGATATTGATATTTAATCTGTCTACCTTGAATCAATGATGGTGGATTCAAATCATTTTTGACAAGAAAAGCCTTTTATGTAGTTTCTAGGTTGTGAAAAGTGGCAATTTTAATAAATCAGAAAGTAATGAGCTATTCGATGGGAAGCGAGACTGACTTGGATCTCCTCACTAAAGACATTGTCTCAGAAATCTTCTGTTCATCCGGATGTAACGTAGCTTAGCCACGACGTGATGCAACATCCTACTAGGGAATTTCTTTATTAGTAGTCCAGATCTACAGGTGACTATAGTCACGAATAATGATTTCCCTATGCACTAAATTGCAGAACGATGAACTGACATTACTTCGGGAGAAATTAGGTCGCCTAGAAGGCTGTCGAATCGGGATGTATCTTCCTCGGTGTGGAATTGAGGACACCGCAGCTTACCTACAAGGCTTCTAAGAGTTTGTAGATTCCACCTTAAAGTCTCCAACATGTGTTTAAGGTATTAGATTGGTTAGTTTGAAGCCCATTTGAAAAACCACTCAGTTCCTCCAATTCGAAGTGTGTGCATTGGCGATGTAAAAAAGCTTATGTTGAGCTCAACCTGATGTAGAGCAAAACGTGTCGAAAAGCTTAGCCAGTAGAAAAGAATCTTGATGTTCATGCTGAGTTAGTGACGCATCACCGGCTCCAGGAAACGTGCGAATCGATAGGCGAACACGCACGAACGCACACCTCGGCACAAGCCTATTTGTGGTGGCTGTACAAGCTTGTCGGAAGAAAAATAGCTTAAGCCGTGGCAGTTGTATAAGGCCTTGGCTACCGCCGTAAGAATCAATTTTGGTGACGCAGATGCAGCTGAGTAGCAAGGCTATGACAGTTCCACTATAAGGCATTTAATTTTTAAGGAATCACATACAGAAGCTCCGAACCAACCAGCACAACTTGTAAGCAATGATCGGCTTAGGGGACCTAAGACATCTGGTGATTAAATATTTCTTGCCATAATCAAAAGCAGCTAGCGACATCGCAAAACTGCCTTCCAATAAAGAATGAGCGTATTTGAAGGAAACCACATGTAATGGCCTAAATGATTGGTGTACATGGAAACAACGGATGAATAAGATTTATATCAGTAATATCGACATAATTCATTGGTACGAGAAAAAGAGGAAAACGCCTATCAAGTCAGAAAAGTTTGGGAGGCATCAAACGGTGATTAGGGCATGGTAGAGACAATGTGTCGTTGATTGCGCACCCTCCCAGAGAGAAGAGCCAATTTATGCAATGGGGCTCCGTGATTGTGCAAGACCGGTAGGCTCAGTGGATAGCGGGGGTAATCAATTTTGTTTTCGAAGAGCTAAGAAAACAGATTACACAGAATATCATCCAACTATGCTTAGGAAAATAATGGGGCACGACAAATAAATAATGGGACCAAGAGCCTGTAAAATACAAAAGCTTTCCTTCGACTAAAATTGACTTATACACCACGGTAATCAATTATAAAAGTCTCATCACATTAAAACTGTTTTCAAAATGCAAACATTTCGAATAATGTGAAGTAGACCGAGTTCAGATCTGTGATAGGACACGTTTAAGTTGAAGGGCATTGAATTTGAGAACTGAAAAGACCTTGGATTCATTACCAAATTTGACTGAATACATTTACCAACTTCGATGTCGGTTAGCGCTATGCTAGAAAGATTAAAATCTGAGGATCGATTTTAGGGTTAAACGCACGCAAGGGTTCCAAACCCTTTAAGGAACCGTTAATGGCATCATGCATTGTTCAAGAGCAGGTGAAAGACTAGTGAACGAAATGATAATGCCTTCCTTGCAGTTGTACTAATAAGATAGGGGATAAAAGTAAAAATATGAGAGGTAAAGAGGAATGTAAGAGAAGTACACCTAGAAGAATAACAAATCTGATAAGCAGCACTTTAGAAAGCAAACTTGCATAGATTTTATCAACATCATTAGCCACAGACGCTTTTAAGAAAGCATAAAATGAATATCACAAACCTGGCAGGTTTCGGGAATCATGGTCTGGTCATAGTGCATTAGACATCCATTAACGTAAAGCAAACTGGCCGCAATGGGTTCAGCAAGATAAAGGACCTTGTAATTGCTTGAAGCAACCTCACCAATCGACTAAAATGAAAAAATGATACGAAAGTACATAATAGGAAATGGCAAACCCCGGGTTTTAAATTGACGTAAGAATCAAATAAAAAAGAAACTATTAATCTGCTAATAATAATAATACCAAACAGTGTGATTTCCCAGATGACTTAGTTATGAAATATGAACAAATAGAATAAAAAAGAGAGAAGCATAGAAGTCACATCCAACTTGCACCAGTTAAGCAGGCCAACGCAACACACCTTAAAAATTCTGCGTGCGGCGTCACTGTTTCCAACAGCCATGACGTTGACACCGGCCATACAAACCGCATCTTTCAAACAAGTTAAAGGAGAAGGCACAGCCACAATTGTTGTCGGGTACTCAGGAAAGGCCCTTGCCACGGATTGGGCACCTGCCTCGTTTGTATGGGTTGAAATGCCAACTATGATTTCCTGACCTAGAATATTTTGACAGTATTTTCAGGAAACTAGGCACACTACTTGAGTTCGCCATGTTAAAACTATCACAAACAAACGGAAAAAAAAATACATTGAACCAAGATAAACTTAACCAAATCTACCAGTTTTTAAAAGTTACTTTGTAAAGGGATCACTTAGATAACAAAAGATACAAATGTGTTAACGTAAAAATTGTTGGCGAAAACTTATACTAAATGGATACCGGTAAAAAGGACGTCACCGCCCTCGAGCTGAGCCTGATCGTTATTTAACTCGGCAATTGTGAGACCCATTTCTTTCTTCAGCGTCTGTCGCACAACGCTTACTTCACTTTGACGATCAGAACCATAGGGCCGACACATCAAAGCAGTTCCGTTTAT